TTGGCACTTCCTAGTTAATAACTAAGAGTTAGTTGAGTTCTACCGTTAGTTCTAGAGATCTATCTTTGGCCTTACAAAGGATTGTGGAGAATGTTTTAACCTTTTCTCCTACTAGATTACTTTATTGGCTAAGAGTGTCTACTTATCCGTTTTCTTTTTCAGCTACATAGATGATTTTAAACTTATATTACCTAGTGGTCTATAACCATTATTATTGTCATAGCGTGAGTTCTTTAGTCGTCATAAACTTTAGTAAGTTCTTATAATCCATGTAGATTTCTAGCGTTAAGTAGCTAAGAGCGTAAATCCTCTAGTGCTTTAAGGCTTTTATAATAGCGTAGAGTTCCTTATTATATACGTTATATTATGTTTCTACATCGTTGAATTTGCATGAGTAATAGGCAATTAGGTGCCATTTACTATTCCTCTCTTATTTAGCGCAGGCGCCTAGCGCAAGATCACTAGCATCCATTTTAAATTATAGTGGTTCATCCGCTCGGAAGTGTACTAAGATAGGTTCCATAATACATACTATCTTAAGGAGTTGGAACGACGTTCTATACTCTACTATCCATTTGAAAGGTATATCTTTCCTAGTAAGGTTTATTAAGGGTATCGTGATCTTTGTATAGTCCTTAATGAACTATCGGTTGAATCCATAGAATCCTAAGAATTCTAGAATGTTCTTGGCTGTCTTAGGTATAGGCTAAGTTCTAATGCATTCTACTTTGCTTGGTGCCATCTCTATTCCTTCCATGGTGACAATGTGTCCTAGGAATTCGAGTCGTTTGACATGGAATTGGCATTTCTTAAGTTTAATTTATAGGTGTGCCTTGTCTAGAGCTTCGAGTACCATCTATACATGCTTAATGTGGTTAGATTCGTTTTTAGAATAGATGAGAATATCATCCATATACGTGATAACGAATATGTCTAAATGTTCGCGTAGTACATTATTAATAAGTGCCATAAACATAGCTGGTGTACCTATAAGTCTAAAAGGCATAACTACATATTTAAACAGTCCATAGCGTAATCTAAACGCTATTTTCCATTCTTCGCCTTTTTTCATCCTAATGAGGTGATATCCGTCTCGTAGGTCCATCATGGTAAAGAGTTTGGCTCTAGAGAGTCGGTCTCTAAGTTCTAATATATTAGGTAGTGGGTATTAGTTCTTAATCGTTATATCGTTGAGTCGTCTATAGTTAACGCATGGTCTATCTAATCTATCCTTTTTCTTGATAAATATAAAGGGACTGGCTACTAGTGACTTTAATGGTTGTATATAGCCCTTCGCGAGGTTTATCTTAATAAACTCATGTTCTTTTTGGAGCTCTTCTCCTAACTTGGGGTATAGTGGTCCAAACGGTGGTGTTTTTCCTTCGTCTAGGTTGATCGTATGATCCTAAGGTTGATATTCTAGTAGGTTTACTTTTCCTTCCTTTTCTATAAATATGTGTGTCCATTTCTTATACCATTCTAGTAACTTAAGGGGTGTGCTGTCGTCCTCCTTCTTACGTATTATGGCCTAATTTTTACCATTATTTGCTAAGGTTTAGTCTAAGTTTTTGATGTTATGTCGCGGTATTATGTTGTTGATAACTCCCTTATCTACCATTAGTTTCGTTCGATGCGTAGGCTTAGCTTGCATTATATAATTGTAGCGTTTAAAGGATATTATTTTCGAACCCTAGTCGATATGCGGGTTATGTATCCTTAACCAAGGCATCCCTAACACAAGTTCATGTGTGGATCCTTTGAAGACATTAAGGGTGATCTTTTCCCTATATCCTTGGACGTTAAGTATCGTTGTGACCTCTTGCGTTATTTAAGGCGTCTTGGGTATTAGGGTTCTATTCGGCTCTCATCCCCCCGCTATCATAACGTGCCCAAACGCCGTGCGGCGACGCCTAGACTACAGTGGAAGTAGATAAACCTGGAGGCAGGTAACCGGTGAAGGTATAAGTCTTGGGTGAGTAGAGTCAGCAATACAGTATAGGCGCCTGCTTAGTTTATGCAGTTTTGGTAAACTTGGTTATGAGGGAAATCGATCGACCAGACGACGTGAGGCCTTTGCCTCGCTAGATATACATGGGCGAACCACGCTAGTATGGATTCTATGCTTACCCATAGTGAGCCAAGATACCTGCTCCGCGCCTATCACCGACCGTATTGGCTCCCGAACCGCCGAGTGAAAATACTTTGTTGAGGCACCCAACGCTATTCCCACACAAGCCCCTAACTCCTCTACCCTCGCCGTTGGAGTTTTGCAAACCTGCATAAAGGTTGCAGCTGCCTAAATCCAGACAATGGGGCTTCCCACGGCCTCTATGGTGCATAATTTATTACATCTTCTCTCCCATTCCCACAGTCAACGGTACTACTCACCCATTCATCATGTCAGCGGCTTCCGTCATTTCGCAGTTGAGAGGTCTACTCGTCAAGGCTGAAAATTTACCCCTGAAGTTCTCTAAAGTCTACCCATCCGATGGCTAGTGGGACACTTTAATTGACCTAAGTGCAAGCCTTTCTCAAGTGACGAGGAAGGTTGAGGATGAAATACGGATGCTTAAGGAGTTGCGATTAGAACGAGCATGGGAAGAAAGTAAAGAACATCGTTCAAACGCATAGTTATTGAGGGGTGACCTTTTCGCTAAAGGTCGACTCAAGAACCCGTACATCTTTAGGAGGAACATTGTTACAATATTTGGGGGCCCAAAGGATTCGAAATTTGATTCCGAGGATATGAAGATCAGGAAGGAATCTACGCGCGATAGATGTGAGCTTATCCGAGGCTTAAGTGCTGATGGAGTAATTTCATGGGCTATTGCTTACCCTCCGACTCTTTGGGCTGCAGGCTCCATGGCCTTGGATGTTTTCACCTGCCTCCTTGACGATATTGAGCCAGAGTTAGAGCAGGCTTGGCCACCCACGGTATGGGAGACGTTGCACCTGCTCAAGGCGGATGAGGGTTTTTTGGAAAGCTCTCTTGTATATGAGGAATTCCTTGAAGGTCTGTTTTCTAAACTATTGAAAATAGTGTAATCTAACCAGAGCCAGCAATCGACAATATCTCATAGAACCCAGGGCAAAGCCGAAAGCGTAGGCGCTTTGGAAGCGAAACCGGGCATACTGTTCCAGCATCGACACGGTCGGCTCCTTAAGAAGTGGAGACAAAGCTAGTTAATCGGCGTAAGTGAATGAATGTTAACATATGAGAAGCTGCTCCTAAACATGCGCAATAGAAATCCAATACATGTTCTTGAAAGGGCCTCGGCACCTTATTAATGAGTTGGAACCTCCGCTATACGATGCAATGCGGACTAGCAATCAATGGGAATTGGAAGAGAGGCTCGGAGAAGAAATAACTGAATGTATATCCACGCTAGTTCCTAGAGACGAGAACGAGGATATCTCCATCACACTATGGGTTGGGCGAAGGGAAGGGCTCCGGCAGATCAACAAGTTCAAGTAATAGTGGACTTGGTCAGCTTTACCTAAGCATTTATTACCTCGACCTCAAATAATAGGGGAACATCATGCTTCCCAATCGTAGTAAGATTCTCGTATACCCAGTGCGGTGTAGCACCCGCTTTTACTTTAGGGTTGGAAATCCTGATTAATTCACCCTTGCATTTAATTTCCCTGGTATAGTCTACCCCGTTATATATGCGAGCCGAAACATACTCCAAACCATGCTCGGCCATGACAAACTGCTTTTGAGTCTACGTGTGGAGGTGTCTGTGCCGTAGATGGTAGAGGTAGTAGGCGGTACCGGAGTGGTGTAGGGTGGACTTCTATCTACACAAAAATTAGCCAAATAAGACACGATTTTATTGGAAGACCTTATATTCAGTTTACTAATGGTGTCTGCTAAATCTGCGTATATGCGAACTGATGGATAAGGAGCCACCAATAAGGATGCCTCACTAACCACTTTCCTACCAGGTCGAAATGTAAAGGGAAGCTGTGGTGTTTTGTTCTAATCTTAGATACGCTCCGGATTGGCTGATGGAGTTTTCGCGAGGGTTGATGCCGATTTGGCTCATAAATCGAGCGGGCGGTCGGATGGCAGAGGGCGCAATCTGGAAGGGAGACTCGAGCAACGATAGTAGTAAAGGAAAGCTACAATTCGCGCGATAGCGTGTCAGCATACTCATAGCCGTGGGTAGCATACTTGGGCGGGGATTTACCTTGGACTGGTGATACTCCTTGAGTAGCTCTGCGGATGGAGCAGGCAAGAAGCGGGGAAGTGGAGGCTTAAAACACTTAGTGGACTTTCTAGATCGTGATTTAAACGCTCAACTAAAGGGATGTGGTGGTGTCGAGAAGTCCGATGATGCGCATGATTTCTCCCAGGTGTTGGTGCCCGACGACAAGATTATCCCAAAAATGTTAGGCAGCTTGAGGGCCTGCCCCACCATTAATCGTCACGTGCACGATTACCGACGCCTAATGACCCAACGTTACATTGACGGTCTTTAGAGCAATAATTAAAGGGTATGCCATAGATAGCGAGTGGTATGCAGCCTTACATCATATGTGGCGCAATATTTTTACATTTCGGTGGCAGTGCGCTGATAGCGAAAGTCACTCAAGCCACGTAACTTAGTTAACCTTAGGGCCATCGACGTTTTCTCACTACCACCGGGCTCGCCAAGGCTTATGCAAATGAATTTCAGCAAGCAGTGGCTACTTCGATGGTGAGCAGAGCGACGTGGCTCAAAAACTCGTTTGCTACCCAAGGTCGCGGGGGAATTAAGTTGAGCGCGACTAGCCGTTCATTGCATTTATTCTACTTTTTTTAACGATGCATATGGTTATCATTCATAGAGGTGCCTGTGCAATGACCGGGCCTGGGCGACAGCACCATCTAATTTAGATCACAATAAAGCCTTAAATCTTTAATAGACTTGCAGGTGTTGGTATTTATGCAGGCCTGGAGAACTTTCGCTCGACCAATTAGCGCTTGGAAATGCGGAATGCGAAAGCCATCTAATTCTGCTAATAAATGCGTGTCCTTCAAGGCTGCGCGATGGCCAACCGTGTGCTCTTAATGTTAATACAGCGGTGATTTGAGGGCTAAAAGCATGGCACGATAAGCAATCCGACTGTATCCCAATTAGTGCATTAGAAGTCGCTCGACGTGCTCGTGAGCTAAATCAACACTGCCAATTTGAGGATTTGAGTGCGCCTTTGTTGGACCATTGCATGCGTTTTTAGATGCGGGCGCCATCCCGAAGCGCGCGCTTTATGGTGGGGCCGCGTCCAATTGGATGGAGGAAATCGTCAATGCTCAGCTCCTCGTCACACCAACCCTCCTCGCCGTTAACTTTAGCTGTGACTCACTTGCCGCCGAGCGTAGAGAATGCAATACAGCTACACCAGAAAGATGATAGCGCCAACGATACGATTGGCAAGACGCGATGGCGCCACTTATAATAAAAGTGCGCCTCTCTGCACATGCTAAGGCACCTAGACGCCTCTGATATAACAATGATCCGGCTTCTGAAGAGAACTGCATGCTTAAGTTAAGCCTCTCTACCCCACGCAAGCGTGCTCGTTCGGAGCAGGACATAGATCAACGAAGCGAAGCATTACTTTCGACTAAGAGAAGGAAAACCAGCCCTTCTAGCGAACTTCTATCAGCGTTTTGGGACAATCTATCTAAGATCTGGCTCACCAAAGGAGCTTTAAGAGAACTCAATAGGAGAAATATCCAAGCTTCTTCAAGCGCAAATCGTTCGGAGCAGCTGAATATTACGAGGGAATAGGAGAGAGTTGAAGCTCTCTGCAGCCACGACCCGAGCAATTTCAAGGACGTGGAATCATTCGCGAGACACGGTGGACCAGACTTGTCGGACCTAAGAAGCGTGAGATAACAATACTATACCGTCTCCTTGCGCCGCTAACAGTCCGCTTTAGTTTCCCGAGCCCGCCCACATCGCGAAGTACACTATGAGCGCGAGCCGTTCGAGTACTTAAAGCCGACAACGAGATCCTGCTTCTATAAGCACTAGACCAACTACAAATACAACGAGGATAAAAAGCACTAGGGTCTATAATCGGGACTTTCAACAGCACCTTGTTGACCATAATGTTTATCCACATGGGTACAGACATTCCGATGGCAGTGTGCCAATAAAGCCAACGAATTGGAAGGACATCAATAAAACCTTGGGACATCCTCGGCCTTCTCTTTCTCCGTCTGTGTTTGACGAAGAAGAATATGAAAGATTTATGTAGGCAGATGCGGACGCCTTGAAAGAGAAGTAAGTCTTAGAGTTGGTGATCCCCTTCCTTGAAGGCAAAATCAACGATGCCAAATGCCGCTCAGGCGGAATACCTTTCACGAATCTCAAGCCCTTGACAGACGGCACGCTTAAGCCCGGCAATCCAGACATATACTATGGTGCTCGGCCAGAATAGCTTAGCAGAAAGATTCGCATCGAACTTGGTGAAAAGATCGTTCCTTCAACACAGCATGACCTCCCCCTAGTGCCAAACTTCTTTCTTGCAGCCAAGGGCCCTGACGGTTCAATAGTAGTAGCCGGACGACAGGCGTATTACGACGGTGCATTGGGCGCACGAGGCATGGCGAGTCTAGAAGAGTACGGACAAGGTGATCCGGGATACGGCACTACTCATGCCATTTCATTAATCTACCACGGTGGCCAGCTTAAGATGTACACCAGCCACCTTGCGCAACCCAGCAGCCCTGGGGAGGGTCTGAAGTATCACATGACTCAGATCAATACATGGGGAATGACCGGAAACGCCGACACGTTCCGACAAGGCGCAAGAGCATACAGAAATGTGAGAGATTGGGCTAAAAAGTGGAGAGACGACTTGATTGGGTAGGCAAATGAGAAAGCGGCTCTTGCAGAAACTGAAATAATCACTGGTGAGGTAGGCGCAAGCCCGGCGCTAAGCTTTGTAATAGCAGCGTCAGATACGGAAGCTTACACCATGAGCCAAGAGTCTCGGACGACGCTGAATGAAGGCTCCAACGCACTGGGTATCTTTGAGGAATCCAATAGCTTGGTAGAAACCCTCGTAGTAAAGCAGTCCAATAAGCGTAAGCGACGTAGCACTAATGCGGGCAGCGAAGCATAGCTACGCGCTAATTAATCTGGTACACCCTCTACGCCTAACGATATTCTCCTTGTGTGTAACGATTTCGGCGTCTGGATAGGAGCACGCGGGGACCGACGGGATCGCGGTGGTCGGGTAGTAGCGCTTTGGGTTGGATCGCCAGACAGTTGGGAATATGTACTATATCATCGATTTCTGATTGTATTCGCAATGTTACACTTTTTGGTCAAGCTGCATAAGCCTCACAATGAGGGTGTTCTTGACGCCCATCAAGTTGGAGAGACGCCTTGACCGGATTTCAAATTCGGTGGCGTAGGAGTGCAGCGCTCCTGCCTTAGGTTTAGTAGAAGGTGTAAGGACTAAGCCTATTATTCTTCTAGGGATCTACACTCGCCCTAGCTCTACAATAAGGTGTGTCTTGCGCCAATAAGAATATAACATTATGAAAGAACAGTCATGCAGCCACTTCAGAAGCCCTAGAAGTCAGTAATACTCCTCAACAAGAAGCACCGCTTCTACCACTTTTCTCACTATGCCCCAAACCATCCAAGGAAGATTCCTGGAACAAACAACAGATAGACCTGAATCGAATACGAAAACTCTAGGAAACCACACTCAAATACCTTGAGAATCTGCGATCTGCGATAGCGGTATGAGAGCCTAGTGGTAGGCAATATCAGAGGACGAGACCATTGAAACATTCAATATCTGGTCATCGGACACGTTTCCCAACCTCGACAGCGATGCAAAGAGGCTGATATTAAAGATGAAGAACCTCGACCTTATGAAAAGGGCATTGATGTCGGATATCATGGCAGATATAAGGAGATTGAGCGAGTCTTTAAGGCTGACATCGCAATTAAGGACGGTATTTGAGTCTAGTTCTACATCGTCTCATCTTACCAACTTCTCGTGCAATTCTCTATCCTTTTTTCATGTACAGCGCTCGATCCCTATTTAGATCGTCCCATCCTTCCAACGAACTAACACAAGCTCCCCCCGCATCTATCTCCTTGCCCTCCAGCAATCCAAATCCTTAACTGAAACAAGTATATGTTCTGCCTTAATATGAATGCCCTTGTCGTCTTGCAGGACGGTGGTAAAATGAGTCCTACTATTATTCTGGCTCTCGTAGAACCCCTGCGCGACTCTAGTATAGGTGCGGTGAGTGCTTTGCTTGACTGCCGTGCGGTAAGAATAGGTCGCCTTATAGTGTTGGTAGTGCGAGTAGTACTCGAATGCAACGCTATGCTTGATCCTTGGCTTTGCCGCTTGCGACTCATACTATTCGCTGATGGAAAGCGCTTCTGTTTGTCTGTGACGTTGCGTATTTGCCGTTATAGTCGTCGTCGTCATTATTAGTGCTGCTTCCACTACTACTTTCGCTGCTGCTACCGCTGCTCGTACTTTCGATGGTAGAAATTCTTGGTAGGAAATGTGAGATGGAAGGAACAGACTATCAATAGCAGAGGCTCACCTTCCGGCTCTAACTTATTTTCCGTCGGATGCCAATACATGGTGGCTTCCCTATCTACGTAGTGGAAGGCCTCTTCCGTCAACAGTTTGATGTTTGTCATCGACGGGCTACTTGGCGGCGTTAATGGTAGTCGCCACTACGGGAGCTCACTTGACTGAGCCTTCGCTTTACCAACCGTTCCAGAGTTAATTGCATCGGTCGAAGTACTGGGAATACAAGTCGATCGTACGTGAGCAGACCTGCATCTCCTTCGTGAAGGTTGCCAAAGTCAGGGGTCGGAGCTCGAGTCTAAGTAATTGTTATTAACAACACCCGCAATGCCTACGCATTGTTAGAAAATGCATGCTTACGCTACTATCGCGATCGACCAAAGGTGCTTACCCTGACTGCTATCCTCAGAAGGGGCCGGCCGAAGTGGAGTTCTATCCCCTGCGTCTCCTTGATAAGTTGGCATTGAGACGCCTGTTCCTCCGTGGGATTAGCACTACTCACATCATTGCTTTCTATCTAGATGCCGCTAATCTAGTAGTTGGCTTCGGTCTCGGCTACATCTCTGTTAGACGTTATAGGATCTATAAATAAACAAAAATGTTACGTCGGCTACGGGGATGCCTACCTAAGCAAGTTAAGTCGACGACTTTAACACCATGCACCACGTGTGCAGGTTTCTCTCCATTCCCCTTTATACTGTTTGAATCAGGTTCGATACCCAGAATATCATCGAAACTGGGGTATTTACTCGTCGTCGCCAGAACGGGCTTTCTTCTTCGTTGGGAGGGTTCAAGAGGTCTACTTTGGAGACCCATTGCAAGGAACAAATTGGGGGGAACCTTGTATCTCCTGGGCAGGAAAAGTACTGAAAAGTGTTGCCATCGTGGCGTTGGTGTTTAGAAGTCCTAGAAATCTAGAGAAGCGAGAAACGCAGACATTGAAGTAGGCCATGAGCACGCTTGAGGAGCTCTCCACGCCCAACATCGCACAGCCGCCGAATGCTAGCAATAGTACAGCTTTCGCATTAAGCCCTTTCACTATTGGATGGAGCCGTTAGCACGTATCCCACCAATACTCGCCCCGAGACTAAGGAATGGTGGCGCCAGCTTCCCAGAAGAGATGCCGTAGGAAGCAGATTCGTCTCCTTTTCGTCAGAGGCCACCCGACAATCATACGCCTATAGATGACAATTCTGTCTGATCCGGTGCCTGCACGTTGATTAGGGGGCTCCCAGCAATAGCTCTCCGCTCGTTGGCACCTCCGAGACCCAAACCTGGGCTCATTTCTTCATTCAGGCCTCCAACTTCGTGCTCCTGGCGGGGGTGGATTGAATCATGGAGGCAGATTGGCGCCCGACGGGCTCCTGATTAATCAAGAGGATGCTCTAGCCGTTCCCTCCGCTTACTCTGTGATGCCGGAACGCAACCTGCCGTTATGCATGCGGTTAAGTGGACCCAGACTCCAACAATTAGTGTCGAGTGCATACTGGGCGAGTACGTGCTGGTATCGTCCGGCCTAGCTGTACGGCGGGTCGTAGCCTGGCTGAGTCTGCCTCATCTGACTCTCTCTAGAACTGATGTGCAGGAGCGGCAATCCAAGCCAATCATCTTCCTGAGGCTTACAGTTCCGTGCAATGGGTGACGGCCCAGCACAGGCCTGGCCCCTCCCGCTCAGACGCTATCGAGACGTGCAAGGCGCTTTTGTTGCCGACATGCGTGATTGATGACGCGGTAGGTTGATGATCTCCGAGATGAGCTGGCATATGGCACCTTCTGGAAGGAGGAACCGAAGGGATGACTGAATTCCGTTCATCGGCGGTGCCAGAGTAGGGGGTGGATGCCATGAACACTGCTTATCCATGTAGAAGGCGAGGGACCCAGAGCGGCGAAAATCCAGTCGGCAAGACTGAGGCCAATTGTATGCTTAACTTGACACGGTGCTTCCCACTTTCGATGGCGCAGCTTTGGTCATGCTAAGTCATCGAAGCCTGTAATATCCGCCTGTCCAGCTAAGGTGTCTCACACTGAAGCTGCCGTCTCCTGTTCTGCACCCTGAATATCGAAATTCGGTGGAGCTCCCTCAAATCGAGGTTCCAATTGATCCGAAGGTAATGGTCGAACCCAGGATTGGGGCCGGCGGTTGAAGCTGGAACACCGACAGCTGGATATTGATGTAAATATGAGCTAGAGCGTTCGGCAACGCCGGTTTCCTTTGAGGCGCAGCAAAGAAAGGGCACCATTAGTCTTGGTGAGGCATTTTGCTGATTGGGCTGGTTTCATTGTATGGCATGGCGCGTAGCTTCGTGGCCATTCAGTGCAGCAACTGAGCTTGGTGGCTTGGCTGTGGCAGCGAATTGGGTCGCATGAGCATCAATATCTGAGCCGTTGTTCATCTGAGTGCAATTTGTAATGCCGTCCATTCATCCGAGCAAAGTGTTGGCGGTGTAACGTAGCCTTCAGGCTTTGGAGTATCCTAAGGACACTGTTCCTCAAGTCGTCAAAAGGCAATGCGAATAATAGGATCGAAATACTAGACAGGTGCAATAAAGCGGGGAGGCTGCTTCATGGAGAGAATTGACGACAGTCGAAGTTACCGTCAGTGAAATGCAGTCCTGGAGCATCATGTGGGTACACTTGCCATCTTGCTGATAAGTATGAATAGTAGAAAGGGGGAGTAGGCATGGTTTCAGAAGGTGCAGGTAGAAAAGATTTTGGGTGAAATAAAACTAAGAAGGGGAAAGCTTCTTATACCTTACAACGATTATGTAATGAACATGGATTGGTAGCGGATCTAAGAATCTCCGGTGCCAAGATTTTGCTGGCTTGGAGGCGTCCATTTTTGGACGCAAAACACTCCAGATATGGAGGCATCTAAGCCAACCCAACATCGTTTATGGGGAGTGGAAGCAGACGAAGACGGATCAAACTCTCGCGGAGGACAACGTACTGGACATACCGCGTTGAGAAGGTCCACGAGTCCGCAGTGCAGTCCATTGATAGAAAGTCCCAGGTCGTCCAAATTGATAGTCGATCTTTGGCATATTACCTGGCGACCTGCACTGATATCTGCCCAGCTATACGTGGGACTCTACTGGAGGAGTACAACCGGGAATCGTAGCCAACGGATCCATGATCCTCCCGGAGGTCGTGGAGGTTTCACGAGCATTTGAAGAAGCGCGTTCAGCTACCAGCGATCATGACTTTGACTCTAGAAGCACTTTGGAGTGTCGAGGCCGCCGGAACACTCAAGCGCCTCCGAAACCTTCGAAATCTCCTACCGTAGACCGTCGCAAATGTTCAGCGTAATGCAGCTGCATAGTTTTGCTACAATCAATCAGTGAATTGCTGCGCTCTCTGATTCCCACGTTCAGTGCAATAGCTTCGTCGAGGTTCGCGGACAGCCAGATCTGGCGGGTAAATTTGTGCCTGTCGAGATGCTGCCGCGCTTCGATGAAGCTTTCGGGGTCACTGTCGTCCAACACCCAGAGACTCGTCAGAATCAATGCGGGTTCCTTCCATCGGACTTCAGTCGCAATACCGGTCGAATTGTGCTTGCACACATACCTCTAGTGGCGTACGCCTCGATGTCGCGGACGCAGAAGCAAGTCACCCACTGTTCCGTGGACGAATCTGACTTTCAGTGCTCGGACAATTTCTTGTTAACTTACTTTGGAGACTGGAACGTCTCGCCAAAGAACCCTAATGGCATGCACGAATATCCGCGTCCCGCGTATGGGGCCAAGAACAAGACAGCGGAGGAGACGGAGGCTGGGGCCGACATCTCCAAGCGCAAGACACTGCAGCCACGATCTATGTCATTTCGCTCGCCTCGGTCGTTTTGGTCATCCGGAAGCACACACTCGTCCGGGAGTCCTCCAATGCTTCCGGTCCTGATGGACCTCGGTCCAGAAGTACCTTGCCACCTCAATTATGCAATTTGAGATAGGACAAGAGTTATAACAGAGGCTAACACCCCGTCCAAACGCCCTGTGGAAGATACGGATCCAGATAGTGGGGTTGGACTGCTCGCTCGACATGCCACCATCGTGGCTCGGCTATCGTTTGTGGATAGAAATCCCAACCTCAAGCGTGGGCTGGAGGGGCTTCTGGATGACTCGACACAGTCCTCCTGCAATGCAAGCTACCAGTACGATGGAACGAGACAACGGAGAGAAGAATTTGTTAGACACCACCGTCGTCAGTGGCTGCGCCAGCTACACCCAGACGAGACGTAGCAAGGCGGAGATGGCACCGTGCACCATCCTGCCTACGATCCGGACCGCGTCTCATCTGCCGGCGTCTCCCTCGACTCCGTGGCACGGCACGAGCTCGAAATCGCAGATGCGCTTCACCGCGCCGAGCCCACCGTCGTGGACAACACCTCGGTCGACTTAACGCGCGCGCCGTCATCCATCTTGGGACTGATCACGGCCGCTACTGCTAACGCCAGCGCTCAGGGTTGGTGGCCGGAGGACCTCTCTGTGGTGCGCGCGTTGGATCCCATCTCCTTCTCGAGCCTGCCGCTCACGGCGGGCGCGCATCGCCCGCAGAGCCAGCTGGAGCAGCTGTCGACCAGCCAGTCGTTCTTTGGGGACATGCGGCGTCTGCAGCCGGATGGGATGTCGCGTGGGCAATTCCGGCACATGACTTCGTCGGGCACGGATGTGGCGGCAGAGATGGTGCCTCAGCTCCTCAGCTGCGGTTGGGGACTGTGGAGGAGAGTGATGAGGAGGCGGAGGAGAATGGGGATGGAGAGGGCATGATGGAGGAGAATTGGAATGGGGATTCGCGGATGACGGGCGGGGATGACTAGGCGGGGAGGGATGATTTGGAGAGGGGCGAAGTGTAAGATGGGAGACTTTGCGTGGGCGTCTGGCTGGGGCGGCTGACGAGTTTGGGATGGATGTTGTATCGTGAGACGATTAAGGATTGTTCTATGGCGCGGTTGTAGAAGGAGCCCGAAGGTTATGAATATATGAGACGTTAAAAAGATGCATGGCATTTGGGAAGAACTTTGACGTATTTGGGCAAGACGTGAGTCATGCGTTGAGCGACCCTGACCTCTTGGAATTACGGGGGGAATGAATGGCCGCAAAGCAAGGTGAAGGAAAAGGGAACTGTAAAGATGGAGGAGAAGTGAGGCGGAAAGGGGAGGGAGGTAGGGAAATGTGTCCGGAGGAAAAGGACCAAACTAACTGATAGAAAGCGGCAATAACGAACATGCCACTATGACGAAGGATGGGATCAAGATGAAGGACAACCTATCGAGGTAGGCTCCCAAATGAGAAGCGAAAGAAGTGAAATCGATACTCGCATATCTGACGTTGCGGAGAACACCTCTTCGTTGGGGATGAAACGACCCGGAACGGGATGACGAAAGGCGAAGATGACAAGGAACAGCGGCGGCGAAAATAGGTGTAGATCTAAATCTGCGAGATGGGTTTGTGGTTTCTGAATGAGAGGAAATCGAACGACATGTCCATGTGCATACGCACCGTCCAATCACCTCTCCACAGCGGAGAAATGCCCGGTACGTATTCAGGGCCCCCTCTATACGCGGTACGCCAAACACGCTACAACCACGCTCCCGCAAGCCCATGTGGGCGTCGTACAACATGACGGGGTCAGGCCACGCGTGTACAAGAGCGCACAAGAGCAATAAGAGTTTCAATACCCCCATGCGCGGCTTGGCGCCGCGTGGTAATATGTGGGCGCTTCCCTGTCTTAATAGAAGCGAGATGAGGGGTGCTACGCGAGTGCATGTGCACAGGGCGGACAGTTAGACGATTGTGTAGAGCGGAGCGATCCCGTCGTTGGTGAACCTCGGGAAGTTCTGCTTTTGGGCGGGCGTACGTGATGTTTAGTTTGAGGAGGTCGTCTTGCGGCTATTACGCTCGGCGTTGGCGCTCCGGGTGTGATGTCGCACTGCCGGCGGCCTGACAAGTGACACCGGCAACACACGTTATAGGTAGGTGTGGAGGCGCTGCCAAACGCTGCTCTCCGGGCGAAACGCGCAAAACGGCGTTTCGTTGCGCCGGCGGAAATTTCGAAACGCGGTGCGAACGCGACGAGGGCGTGGGCGTGGTGTCACTGAGGGGCGGGGCAGGCCGCCTGCTGCCGGCTAGACTTGCTGCGCGAGACCCGCACGGGTGCGGCTGCGCTGTTACACGGCTGCGTAAGACGCCGCGGCCACCAGACGGCACAGTGCAGTGCAGGCTGAGACAAGACGACGTTGCGCTTTGCGTTGCCTGCGGGCGTGGATGTATATTAGGCTGGGAGCGATCCCACTCGCATGTATATAGCGCCTCAGCTAGTCCTGGCTTTGTTACCTTCTTCCCCTGTGCATGCTTCTTTGTTGTCCAGCGTACAGTCCGTGGCATAGTTCAGGCGTCCTTTCTTTGTTTCTTAGCTTGTTCTGGAGAAACACTCCAGATATCGTATACTGCTAGCACAGCGTAATCCCCGCCGGTCCGCACACGATGCTCGACGCACTCCCGTCGCCGACGCGCTCGCTCGACGACCTAAGCAGGGAGGAACGCGCCTTTACGTTTGCCCACTTCACGTGCGAGCACGCCTGGGTCATTGGCAACATCTTGCGCAACGCCCTGCGCACCGCCGACTGCCCCGCCATCATCCACATTTCGCTGTCGTCCTCGCAGACGCTCTTCCATTCGCCGTCGATGCCCGGCTGCATGCCCGACGACGAGGCCCAGACACGCCGCAAAGCTGCGACCGTTCTGAGGTGGGGCCACTCGACGTGGTACCTGCATTGCAAGTTCAACGGAGACGAGAAGCGGTTCAGCGAGAGCTATGGGCTCACTGTCGACGAGAAGGCGAGGTACAGCTTGGAAGGAGGTGGGTACCCCATCTTCGTGAAGGGGCTGGAGGGCGTGGCTGGATCAGTGGTGCTCTCGGGCATAGATGGCGAACAAGCGCATATGGTGCTCTTGAAGGCACTCGAGGAGTACCGCGAGCTGAGGAACGACTTCCGCAGTCCAATGAGAAGCATGACTGTCAAGTGACTGCATGGCAGTGGTCAAGAGGAGGGCAAGGTAGGCTTGGGCATCCAGGCGCCGGTGCAGCCGCCCAGGAGCAGGAACAGAAGCGCCAGCGGGAACGTCCTTAATGGAATTGCCGAGAGACTATTCACGGTAGCGGCAAGGTTGGATGAGAACGATGACAAGGATCGGGGGCGGAAAGAGCACAAACAGCGGTGGAAGACATGAACACGGGGAACGACTCAGCATTTAAATCATGGATTGGAATGTCTGCACGGGACGGAACCCCAGGCGTCCGTCGATTGCATCAAAGGCGATCGAGTAGCCTTTGAGGAAGTTGCGCCCGGTGTTCACATACGGCGGGGGCTCCTGCCTCCCCGGAACGACGTAGGAAGGCGCCATGGTCGCGTTCTGCCCAACTTCAAACGAGTACGACGCGGCCACCTCGCTCAGCTCCTCACTCGCGCATGCGCCAAAGTCAATGGCGATTCTGGCGCCGTTCTTCACGCGGTGCACCGTTGGCGTACCCCCTTCTTTCGGATTTCGGATGATCACCTCAGGGAGCGGCTTACCATCCTCGGCGCGGATGTACATCTGTGAGATACCTGTTTCCAGTCAGAAGACGGCAGCAGTGCACATGCGGGAACATCTACCGGTGTCAATAAGAGCAGAACCGGGGATGCTCTTTCGCCCATTCACACGGAACTGCATACGAGGCATCGCCCAGTCGCGTGCGTCAACCGCATGCGCTATACCACGCTCTAATTTCATGAAGTCATATCCGCGCGTATTCTCCCGGGTCAATCCGAGCTGGATTCCTTTCGTGGACACGATATAGCCCGCCTTCATATCCTCAGGCTCAAACCGCGTTCCATTGATCGAATTGATATTCAAGAATGGATTACCCCATGACGTCGCGGTGCGCTGGCCCTCAGCGTTCTTGTTCCTGCCAAAACCAACGCCCATGTACGTTATCCCGCTTACATCTCTCTCGACTGGTTCCTGCCCCTCGGGACCAAGCGGACATTCAAACCCATGTTTTAGCGAGTCGTACCACGGGCACACCCAACTCTTATCCACGATGAGAATGGGCACCCTTGCCCCGGCCGAAATGTTTCCAGTCCCGTGGAACGTCAGGTTCAGGTCCAGATACCGCCCCACGTACACGATGTTGCTGCTCGAGAGGTACTGGCGCCCAGGCGTTCCGGCTCTCGGATCAACACCCGGGAGCAACGGCGCGCCGATCAAGAGACCAGTCGAGCCCGTGTCAACGGGCATATCGATACGAACATCCTCTTTCCCACTGTGGATCGTGACCCAGACCAAAGGGACGCCCCTCGTTCCGAACTTGTGGACGTACGGGAGGAATATGGATTTGTTGTAGTTCGTTCCGGACGATGCTAGAACGCTGGAGGAGGCGGTAGAGGGGATAGAAGAGGAGAAGCACATGTCGGGTTGATGGTGGTGTTTACTGTGCCGGGTAGCATACTCGCGATAAACATTCGAGATCTGGTAGTACAGCCCATACAAAGAAGCCACAAACGCGACAAGAAGCAAATGATACTGGTACGTCTGGTATGTCTGTGAATACGCACGCGTGATTGCCTTGCTTGCTGTGTCCTTGGAGTCGATCGTTTGGAGATGCTGGTGATGATGCACACCCATGGTGCTTGGACGCTGCGAACCGTGTTGAATGTCCGCAACCTGACCACCGTTTACACACCACGCGAGCTGTTGAAGCTCTAAGTACGCACGCTGGGGACGGCGGTGAGGAGACGATGTACAGAAGGGGAAAATGTAGGATTATTGAGCCATGCGGAGCTATGGCTCTATTGTACGTCATCTGGGCCCTCATTCGCCAGCAACGCGTCGCGGGAACAGCCGCCGTGGAGAACAGCGCGCCGTGTGTGCTGGCGCGCCCAGCGTCTCCTCGACAATTCCATGGCGGCGGTGGTCTCCACTCCACCTTCCTGATTCTTCTCTCGCGCATGTTTACGAAGCACCTCGGCCTTCGCGCTTGGAAAACCACGATGTGCGGGGAAGCACGGCAGATGGGTAGGGCGTGCGGAGGTGGAGATGCGGCTGAGCACACGTGATGAGGTGCGCATCTCGAATATGCACGTCTGGCTTGGCGGTTCGCGAAGTATGGGGTGTCGGAGCTGAGCGGTGAGCAGGTTGCAGGCATCGTGGAACTTTGCCCCGGTGCACAGTGGCACTCAGGACGCGCAAAATACGAGTTTGGACGGGAACACCAGCGCGACGGCCGTGTTCAACGCTGGGTGCGATAACCTTCGCGACGACCGCCGAATCGCACACCACCCCTCGAGCGCCCTCGATCGCCCTGAATCGCTCTCGGCCGCCGCAGCGAGCATGTACGCGGCAAGAGCTTGGGTACCTTGCCCCGCTCCAGGATAGAGACCATAGAGGCAGTTGGTACCTTCAGAACGCTACTGTGCCATGGCGCGACCGCCATCCCTCCAGAGCGACGGCGCATCCTCAGCGCACCACGAACGCGCCGAACCACGCCTCCTCAAAGCCATCGAAGAGCGCCACAATGACGCCGCCATCGCCATCATCGAAGACGCAAAGGCCCACTCCAAACCCATCGAACACCTGCTCCGCATCGGGCTCATGCGCGCCTCGGAGCGAGGAAACATCGCCATAGCAGAGTACCTGTTGCAGAACGGCGCAAAACCCAACGGCGCGCCAGGAGGCAGAATCAGCCCGCTACTCCGCGCGGTCGAGAAGAACGATGTCGGCATCGTGCGCGTGCTTCTGCGGTTCGGCGGCGATGTCGACGTCTGCGACAAGCAGGGACGCACAGCGCTTATGACGGCCGCATGGAAGAATCACTGGCATGTGCTCGATGAGCTGCTGAAGCGCGGCGCAGATGTCAATAAGAAAGACCACAAGGGGCGGAATGTGCTGCATAACCTGGCGGCGGATAAACACTGCAACTGGGGAAGTAGTGTGATTGAACTGCTCTTGAGGAGCGGCGTCTTAATCGACGGAGAGAAGGGACAGGACGAGACGAAGAGGACCCCTCTGATGTGGGCTGCAAGCACGGGCAAAAAGGAGCTCTGCGAGATGCTTTTGACGAGGCAGAAAGGCCCTAGAGCGAACATTAATGCGGTCGAGGGCAAAGAGAAGACGGCGTTGCATCTGGCAGTTGCGCATGGACGGGATGATATTGTGGAATTGTTGATACATTATGGTGCCAACGTGAAAGCGAGGAGTGACGGCAAGTGGACGGCATTACACAATGCATGCCAGCAGGGGAGCGTGAAGGTGGTACGCATGCTGCTTGGTGCGGGTGCGGAAATCAATGCCCGGCTTCTGAACGGAATGACGCCTCTTCACATAGCCGCGCAGAACGATCATCTTGAGGTGGTCCAGTGCCTGCTTGAGCGCGAGGATTGCAAACGCACAGCCAGAGACGCGTTCGGCATAACACCCTTTATTTTGGCCTCGAAGCAGAAGAATAAGGACATTGTGAACAAGCTCGCTCCCTTCAACCAACTCGAAACACTGAGCAAAGATGCTCTGTACGCTTGCCAGGGCTTCAGCGGGACTATCGTTGACTTTGGCAACTTCCACAACGAGAACCGCGTCACCAAGCGAAGTGTATACGAAATACTATATGCGAAGGATCCAAATAACCCACGGAAACCAGCGTTCTCGGTTCTCCCTAAGCAGGAGAAGGCGGTTGATTTCCGCTGGATACATCTTCCCGCCAATAACTTGACGTGGGTGGAGGCGCTGCTAACCAAAGCGTTCGTGGAGGAAGGTGCACATGACGTGCCGGGATACATTGCATTGGAGAGGAGTTTCGCCCACCAACATCGCGGGCAGCAGGTGCATTCACATTTTATGCGACCGTTGTGCCAGAGCATACCGCGATCATCGAAAGTCCACGATGACTCTGATCTATCTGACAGCGCGGACCATCAGCCCCCGGCGATTGTAGTAAGTCACGGCTCTGGAAGCGGCTTGGGCATCGATTCCGTGTCTGGACTCCAAGAGCACCTGTCACAAATACCGAAGTCGCCAGTTCGGACCGGCACCGTGAGTACGGACCAGACGGACTGGACAGTGGGCACGATAGGGTCAGGGTCAGGAAAGGACAATAAGCCACACAAACCGAAGGAGAAGCACAAGAAGACGCCGAAATGGAGTGGCGGGAGACAAGCTGGTGGTCGATCGGGCGGTACTGACACGCCGCCGCGACGTGATAATCACCAGCGACCCAGGCAGTCCAGCACTCCGTTGAGCGGCAGTCTGCTCAAGTCGCCAGGCAGCCCAGGGGGCCGGAAAGACACTTCTCTGACGGCGAAGGGCAACATTTTCACGTTCATGCCGTACCTGCATTTTGAGACGGACGCCAACAGACAGGAGATGCAAGATGCTATCGCACGCGCACAGTATTTAAGAGAGAAGGAGAAGCACGATGGGCTGGTAGTCAAGCCTAGGCTCAAGAAAGCGGAGACTTATGACGAGATGCTCTTGAGAGCGCATCTAGGGGGCTCGACCGTGAGCCTGCACGTCAGGAGAACTCTGGATCAATTCTTCTACCACAATATCGACACGCGATCGAGAGATCAAGACCAGGTGGTCTACCGCTACCAAACTAGGAGGATGACCTCCGAGGAGAGCGAGGTGGATCCAAAGGTGTTTATGGTCGATCAACTGTGGATGTGGATCCTAGGCAAAGACCTTGTCGTAACGGCCTTCCCACAAAGGTGGCAGCAACCGCGAAACGACCCCCTTAATGTCCTAGACGGCATCATTGAGAACATCAACAGCAACACGCGCGAACCAGTCCAGTCGGTGTACGACCTTGCCATGGTCATCACCAACCGCTGCTCTGGCGTCTTCGATCGCCACCGTATGGGCGACGAGGACTACCAATTCCTAGACATGTTTGAGTCCTCCATTGGCGAGGCGACTGAGACCGAAACACGTCTCTTCGAAGACTTCAATGCCGCTTCCAAGAAAGCCTCCGCCTGGCTCCAACACCACCGCCGCCCCAACCGCTTCTCGCGACACCTCGAAGCCGAAGTACGACACATACAACACCAAAACAAGCGCGGCACACACTCGCACTCGCATTCGCACACCCTCGCCTCCCCACCCATCCCCGAAGACCAATTCCACGACGACGACCGCATGGGCCCCACGCACTCCCCCCTCTTCGTCGACGAGCTCCTCGACATCGGCGCCGAAACCGACCTCCTCACCGAAATCAAAGACATCCGCGACGAAATCGCCATGATCACCAAGGTCCTCGAAGACCAGCGCACCGTCCACGAAGCCATGGAGCCCTGCATCCTCGAAATCTACCACAAGGAGCACCGCCGCCAGCTGGACCTGCGGCGCCGCTTCAAGGAGCAGTCGTCGCTGCTGAAAAACCATGTCAGTGATTTGGAGCGCATGGATAAGCAGGCGAGCCGTATCTATCAGAGTATCACGGATCTGCTGGATCTGAAGCAGAAACATGCCAACGCGTTTGAGGCGCGGTTTGCCAGAGACCAAGCAGCCGGCACCGCGCGGCAGTCCCAGACGATCATGGTCTTCACCATCGTAACCATCATCTTCTTGCCCCTCTCTTTCATCGCCGCCATATTCACCATTAACGTGCGCGAATATCCGCACCTGCCTGGCGGCGACCAGCCGTCCCTGCCGCTGAGCTACGTCGCGAAGTTCATGTTCGGAATCGGGTTCGCGATTAGCATTCCGATGATTTTTATCGCGCTAAGCCTCGATGCCATAGGCGACTTCTTCCGCGAGGTGAAGCGGCGCTGGGTCGAGTTCCGCTCACCTCACCCACCTCCTTCCCTCCATAGCCCTACCAGCAACGAGAAGTTCGACGGCTTCACAGTCGACATGCACGCCCTCGAAGCCGCGCTGAGCACGCGCGGCAGGCCTAGCGTCGAGAGCTACCTCGATGGCGGCGGCAGTCTTACCCTCCTACCCGTCACGAGTCGCGGGACTGCTGCACCGTCCAGCCCCAGCAAGAAACCCGTTTTCGTCAGCACGAACGGGAACGGTGCGGTAGGCAGGCGAGGCAGTTCGGCGGGGCGTTCAGCAACTCGCAGACCTGGGATCGTGGGGAGAGGCAGCACGGGGTTCAAGATGAGGCAGAGTCTGGACGTGGACAGGAGCGGGTAATTGGCATGGCCTACATCCATCGCCATCTTCGGGTACACTCGAGAAGATGGTAGCGAGGTGTATGTGCGCTGGAGAGCTGTCCGCCGTTGCTATGCTATTCGCAGCGTTCGCAGCGTTTTTCGGAGTGTGTAGGTTGCGTGTACCGTTTAGCCCTTATTTCACGTCATATACGGTATATATTGCCGCTTGTTAAGAATGAACGAGCCATTTCAATCAATAATTAGAATGTTCTTGTCGATGTTCTTACGATGCGGTATCATGGAAACGGAGCAGTGAGAATGGATATCGTGATAGTGACGAGCCCCAGGTTTAAACTTACCTAACCTAGGGGCTTACTCATTGCATGCACTCGACCGACGCATGGTAGGTCCTGCACGCACTGAATTCAGACTGTACCTAACCAGGGTACAGGTTAAGCTTTCGAGGCGTCTGACGGTAAGCAGTGAGAAGCTTAAGCGAAGCTTGGTGAATGTAAGGCCCCTGCATGCTTGAGCACCATCAGTGAGCCAATACTCGCAATAGAATCTCGGATGAACTGGAACACGTTGGCGATAGAAGAGCTACGCCGTCGATGGTGAGAATGAGCACTGACTGGCCTACAATGAAATGTTTTCGGGAACTGTTCCATCTTCTGGTCAGAGCAGTTCGTCGCACTACTTTGGAAGTGTGGCGGCGTAGTTTCCGCAATCAGCATCCACGGTATTCAATTCCAGCTGAGTAGGCTGCGAAGATAGAATCGGAGTTCGTCACTGTGCAGTCTGGATTTATATGAGATTGTCCTCGCCTCTGGTTTTCGGCAACTAAATTTCGAGATCGCCTTTTCATTAGCAAATCGTTGCAAGCTCGTCGCCTGCAATTTTCATTCCTTGTTAATTATATTCTTGCCACATTTTTTCCGAGCAGGATCATGGGCAATGTACTTTAAGTCTACTTTGACCGTTGGAGCTTTCGTTATTCTCGTCAGTTTCCGATGTTGTTGCCGTAAGCGGCAAGAGCGAAAAGGTCAAGGGCAGAGAGTCTGCTCGTGGCGGTAGTCCAAGCTCAAGTGAACCTTCTTTAGGTAATACTACCCTGGAGGGATGCAGCACTGTGCAAAAGAAACACATCGAGGCTCTCAAAGATGTAGATACGATAGCCACATTTTCCGGTCAGCACCTCGACCTGCGAAGCTCTGCGTAAGTCTTCAGCCACCTGGCATGACCAACGGCATCGTTGGGCCAATTCTTTCCGTAGGGATACACACGGAGGATATGAACAAGACGTCAAGTTTGGAAGGCGCTGTGGGCGACTGGCGCTACTGTTACGTCTTCCACCCGCAAGTACAGGTTCAAGATCACATGCCTGAAGAATTGCGCCGGGAACCCCATAGGCAATACTGATTCCCACGCGGGAATTTGGCCGAACAAGATAGAGGAAGAAGCAATTGGAAAGAGGAAAATATCCGCAGGCTCAGAGAGCAAAGGCAAGGGCAAGAAAATCGCAGTCCGCAACGAATACGTCGATGAAGAAGCCCTTTCGAAGCGAGGCAGGGCCCGAAGCGGCAGCAGAGGCGGCAGCTCAGGGCCAGCGGCGCTCCCTTCACGGCCAAAGAAGCGCCCACACTAGACAGACAGCAATAACAGCAATGATCAAGGCACCAAGAAGAAAAGTAAGAAGAAAGGAATGAAGAACCGCACACAACGCAAACATGACAAAGAGAAGAAAATTTTCAACCACCCTTCTGAGAAGGGCTTGAAGCAGCGCAAACGGGACAAAGACGTGTGTCCCGCCGTTCATCTCTTTTTGAAGTTCTTCACTATGGACTAGCTTAGTGTATTCACTCTGAAGCCCCTGCCACAGAAAGCCCAATCCAATTCAGGACGACCCACGCGTAACAGAGGCAGGTCACAGGAAAACCGTACCGATGATACGATCCCAAATAAGGTCCAAACGATGGGCATGGCGCTGCGCCCAACTCGATATGTGCGGAAAGGTGTCTTATACTGCGTCAAAGCGTAAGCTTCCCTCCCAAAACATCTCCCCGAGCTAATACATTTCACCGGCTCGTTACAGTGGTCAGAGCCACAGCACATTCGACTTGGGCAGCAATTATCTGCCCAAGGCACGGCACCTCGCAGACATGTGGCAGGGCGTCGTGCCCAAAACCGCCAAGGCGATTCCCTTCAGAAGCGCGGATAACATCGCTACATCTGCGTTTGGTGAGCGGTCCTAGCTTAGTCACGTACTGCAAGACTGCACCGAGACATTTTCTGACTCCTACTACCTGAAGACGTGTAAACATGACAATAATTATAGCGTTCCACTCACACGTTGAGACCTATGGTAGCAAGGCTAAACATGGAGGCGTTATGCTGGATTCGTCAGTCGCGGCTCAATGTTTGCTGGCCATCGTCTAGCAGTGCTGATCCTACACGTCGCATACCAGTCTCATAGCTGGTCCCCAGTACCCTTCAACCCAATCTCAATACAGCTCCTCAAACTGCCACCTCCTGGAAATCTCCTGGATTCCAGCCTTGACCACTACCTCCTACATCCCCACCGCTCTGTGCTCCACCGCCCACTCCCAAATCGGCTCCCACCGTCTACACACATGCATCGTCTTCGCGCTCGGCAGCGCCATTCCCATCCGCTCGTTCCACTCCCACGTCACCGGGCTGATATCCGCGTGGCACATGAGCGTTTGACGTATCAGATCAACGCAATGGGCATCATGTACGGCCGTCTCGGCTGCCGAGAGGTTGAAGTAGGAGCGGGGGTAGCGGTCTGGGTGTCTGAGTTTGTGTCAGTGTTGGGGAGAGCAGTCGAGGTGGTGCGATGAGATGGGAAGAAAAACGTACAGCAAGCGACGAATGCGTGAGAGGCAGTGGAGTTGGTGGAAGACGGAGAGGCCGACTAGGTAGCGGTCCGGCTCATTTGGGGATGGCGAGGTGGGTTCATTTAGGCGCTGCGCGAGGGAGGGCGCAATGGCGGAGGTTGCGTATGCTGTTGAGAGATCAGTTTAGTCTTGAGATGTGCGGTGATATGTGCGCGGCGTACTTTCGGTGAGGAGGTCCCAGGCGGCGTCCCCTTCGTCGGTAAGCTCAAGATAGATGTTCTTCTCAGCATGAGCCCTGCGCGAGATGTCAGGTCAGCATGCCCTGATAGTACATGCGGATGTGGTCAGTCTCGAAGGAAGAAGTTCCCTGTCAAACCAACGCATCTCACAACTATGGAGCTGTCGTACATGTCTGCATGCAGATTCGTTACGAATTCCACCGTCTTGTATTCTATCACGTCTTCTGCCGGTGCTATGCCACCACGTCAGGTCCGGCGTGTTTAATTCTTGGAATAGGGGTTGTTACAGTATACGCTGTTTGGCCATGGAGGAAGTGGGGAGCGTACGCGAGCGATATCGGTATAAAGCACAAGAATAGCGACAATAAGCACAGCATTGAGTATCACAGAGCAAAAGAATGCAAAGCGGACCCTGTGCGCTCGAGCGTGGAAGACGGTGTCAAGTTCTTCGTGAGTGTTCCTATTTCCCTTCAACAAATGCTCAATGGACTCGCGACGATTCTCGGAATCCATAGCGCGCGAATTGCAGTTATGCAGTGTAGGGCGGAAAAGTGTATAACAAGACTGGGTCACGAAGTAACCCTGTGACGCTGGAAGTATTGGAGATCAAGGCGACGATAAGCAAAGATGCAAGGCAGGTAGTTATGTGGGGTTGGAATCAGAGGGATACAGAAGCGGTAATGAACACTCAGCGTCGACAAGGGGGCCGATCCTGCGCTATCTAAGCGACACTAGTAGAGCGACATCATAACACCCAGATGAAAGGGCGATCCTTGCAATCAAGTGCATAGTGTTGCTCCGTACCAAACATTGCCTTCAGCGGGCATTTAATCATCATTTAGGACATCTTCTAGGGAAGTTGGTTCCAATTATACGCCGAAGCTCACATATCAAAGGTACCATGACTCCATTTTCTTGCCCTCAAAAGAAAGTCTCTCATTGCATAACCGAAGTACCATTCATAACGAGTGTGCTGTCAACTAAAGCTACTTTGACTGGACAAATCTAAATCATAGCCTACCCTGCTTTCCTTCCCGAGGGACGATCACTTCATAGTCCTTCCTAGTCACGAATGCCATCTCGAACGAGGCAAACATCCACGCTCTGCATTTAATCCGCAGATGAAAGATTGCAGATTGCAGACTGCTGTAAGAGTGTTACTCTAAGCTCGAAGCTTTTGGATAAGAGCACGCTTGGCCGCAGACATCTGTGTCATTTATCAGCGATCTTCCATCTCATCATATACAGACACGCTCGATTACCTGCTTAGCCGTGACACCACGCTTAGCCACATCGGCACCTTCGACCTCATCACCATAAGCCTTGACCAGAAGAAGGATAATCTCGTTTTCGTTGGTAAGCTTCTCCTCAGGCACGGCAGCACGCCTTGCCAGTTCGTGCAATCCGCGCTTGTCGAGCTTGTCCGCTTCGGGGACTTCATCGCCGTAGGCCTTCACCAAGAGAAGGATGATCTCCGACTCCCTAGTGAGGGGCTCGGTAGGCTCCTCGCGCTTGGTCAATGTGTCGGAACCCTCAGCTTCGTCGGAGTAGGCGAGGATGATCCACACGATGGCGTTCTCAGCGAGGTCGCTGCCAGTGGCGGGATCAACTGGGGCGCCGCGGGTCGAGATGTCCTTGACCTCGAAAGCTAGAATTTGGTAAGATGAAGCTTTTGATGCACTCAGTGGGAACTGCTGAGTAGAATGACTCACGTGCAGGAACCGGAGCTGGAGCAGCAGCGACGAGAGCGCAGAGCGCGACGGCGGCGAAGGTGGCAAGGAACTTCATCTTTGATCCAATGTGGGATGATATTGAGGGGTTTGAATTAGTTTCTAGAGCTCTACAACGGACGAAGACACTGGTGGTGAGGCACAGTCGGCTTCCAGCTGTCACCTTATATATTCCAGTGTACCGTTATCTGACATAGAGGCCCGTTCTACTTCCCTCACGCTGTGAATCCTGCAGTCATCCTCCTAATGGTCGGCACGATTTCGGAGGACTTGGAGCTTATTGATTCATGATCCACATAAGTGCGGGGGGGAAATGCTGGATAATTCCTTCTGACCCCCAGGATCTGGCACTCCTAATGCAATAGTACTGCCAATCTTTAAACACCTTCCTTGAGTGTTCAAGTCTTCGACCATCGAGGTTTGACGATCTCGTAGTTGTGATGACAACGCATCGACCTGCACATAGAGACCCACACTTGATGCACACTTACTGGCTATTGCACACGTCGTTGTCCTGTTGATAGATTACATGCTGATCAGGGTGGCCCCATGACTATCAGTATTGATCCAGAACCTATCGTCTCGATGTCTGAAGTGAACAACACAAATCATCCGTTCTTTGGGCCATAGTCTTTCACAGGATCTGACCCCCGAATCGCATGACTGAGCAGCAGACTTAATGCACCGGGATATAATGGCCACACATGCAGTGACAATGGTCACGCATGTCGCACTATTTACCTCTTCGAGTATATCCGCCTCGAACACATGGACTTGTATGCGACAATATTGTGGGATTCGATCTGCAAGTTCAAGTATCAAGGCGTTGAGCTAATCAGGATGCACGGAAGCCCGTCGGAGAAGCGTTAAGCTAGGTCTAGGATACGGCATGGTACTAGAGTATGCCCTGCACACCCTAGTCACTGGGTATCTTAATGGTCTAACCCTATTTGTCCAAAATTTGCCGGTATGCCTCTCCTACGACGTTGCTAGGGCGAGAGCTCCTCGCCTGAAACTCTGCACCCATTCTTCCACATCTACTTTCTCTTTTTTTTTTTGGCTTAAGATTGGAGGAAAACATTGTCCACAATGTCGAAGACCTCTTCAGAAACTGACAGAGAGGAAGCTCCTTTCCTCCAGTCAGATTACCCTGAGCCAATTCCTCAAAGCTGGTGGAGTCTGGGCCGAGCTTCGACTTTCGTTGTCTTTCAGACGGTTCTACTGCTCTTCTTTGTTTCGATTGCAATACTCGTCGCTGCTGCAACAAGACATTTGTGGGAGCCAGTGACGGATAGACAATGCTACGAGAAGTTCAATGTACCTTGTGGGTCGTCACACTTCCTGGTACATCGATCCGTTAGAGTTGACAGTTCACAGCGCCGGCATACGAAGGAGTCGAGTATTATGAGACCGACTTCGCCAACGCTTTCACGCAAGAGAGCGAGTACAGAGGCCGGCCGACGTCAGAGCTGGAGGATCGTTGGGCGAAGCTCTGGCGAATTGGCGGTATCAGCGTACCTGCTAGCAACTTGGCCGCATTGAATCGCTCGAAAGAAGGCTATGCACAGACGTCCGACGGAATGTATGGTGCCTTCCTAGAAGTACACCATCAGATTCACTGCCTGGTAAGTGCCCTACGGCAGAAATTTGCACTGGACTGGACTGAGTTTTCACTGGCAGAACATGATACGTCAATACACATGGCTCAACGAGTTCAATGCATCGTTCTTTGGATTAGAAGACGGTCCCAAGCTCAACCGTATGCATGTCGATCATTGTATCGAGACTTTGCGGTTGGCGCTGATGTGCAGAGCTGATACAACGCCACTGCTGGTCCGATTGGGTGGAGAACATGGAACTAAAGCTGACTTTAATTCTCACCATAAGTGCGTCAAGTGGGATCACTTCATGGAATGGGTGGGCGACCACGTAACTTGGTCTTGAATGCCTACTAGAGGCTGCTAGAGTTCCAATGGATGGCAAAATATACATGTGATTAAGATTGTACTCTATCTCCTAACGTTGCTGTAACTTTAAGCACGCCCAGTGCCTTCGCCGCTAGCATTGTAGATCTCACCGTTCCTCACGCACGTAATCGCACTATGACCGATACGGATATGGTATCGCGTTGCCTTTTCGCCTCCAATCTAGAATCTTGTGGGCTCTGGGACTGCGTGAGCCCGTTGTTGGCCTCTGCACTCAAGCGGCTAGTGAGAGCAGTGACGGCCAGAGCAATATGCTGACGAAGGATTTATCCGACTAAACCCAGAGAACCCAGGATCCGCATGCGCAAATACAAGTCGATGTACCAGAACAGTAGTTTCGGAGGAGATTCAAGTACATATGCACCTAACCACGCGTAGAAGGACGGCCGGGCTACGGTGTACGCAAACAGTTATTAGACGAGAGCGAGACTTCCAGACACTACAGCATATTCAAAGAAAAAAGACGTTATATTTATGCCAGGGGATGTTTCACAGATGCGAATGTCACATGCCTGCACTACGTAGGTAGTCGCGAGTTTGGTCTGGATACACGGACATATAGCACTAATTGGATCCCATCATGTTCTCAAGACACAACAAATCGGCCCGAATGGCGATCGTTATATCTACCGGCTGTAGGCGGGGAGGCGGGCAATCTTTGGGGGCCGCGCATTATCTTGCCCTCTCAGAAGCGGAAGGATCACGCTAAGCTTGTCAGCAACAAACTCAGGTGTTGCTTAATGCTGATGCTCACGTTCTGCGTAGAGATGAAATTTCCAAATGACGTACTTCTGTATATGAGTCAGCGATGGGCGACACGATTTGTAGATATGTCACTGGTCAATGTTGGTGGGTAAGCAGTCGTTGATACAAGCACTTCGCGCTAGATTCCATTAGGGCAGGTGCTCTCATCGGGAGAAGCCTTCCGTGACGGCTTGATTTGGGACCCGAGTACTACATGCGAAGCTTGTTTTGATCCTTGTCTCGTATCTGCAACATTCCATAAGTGGATATAACGAAGCAATTCGGTGGCTGACTTCCCGCTTGCGGATTGATATACAGTCCCTCCCAGATCGGAGGCCTAGTGTAGAACTTGGACGGGAGGATTGTACGATTGGTAGAGACGTTTTTTGTATGTAGATTATGCACGTTGTTCACTCTTGCCACCCCAGTAAATTGCGCCGGCAAGGACCTCACACTGGGCCTCCGAGCCAAGGAGGGCACCATACACAACCTTTTACCCAGGTTGGTAATAGAATGTCGGTCGTGGATTTACTTCCCATTGAGTGTTGCGGGGCCCTGTCTCCTCCACGAGTAATTCCTTAGTACCTGCATAGTCCTTTGAGAAGGATTGTTATATGGAACGCTGGTTGCATCGCGACATACTCATCGCGGAAGGTGCAATCGTATGCAAAGGAAGATATGCAGGGCTGTAGTGCTGGTGTGAGTGTAACTCATTTGAGATCTTTGATTGACCACCCCCACGACTAGATGTCTGTTCTGCGTCCAATGCATTGTTGATGCAGCTGTACATTGACCGCCACTTCAAAGCTGTTTCTCAGTATCTCGTCTCATTCCCCTCCAATATTCCATTCCAACTCGCACTACCTCCTGAAGCTCGAACAGTCCCTAGGATCCTACTTTCCGCCCGTACAAATCATGTCATTCAAGGCTATTCTCAACAAGATAAAATCTTCGGACAACATCAATGCCTTTTCGCCAATGTACTCGCGGCTATCTGATGAGAGTACTTTAGCCTCACAGACACAAGAAGAGCCAAATCATGACAAAAGCGACAATTACACCAGAGCACCGAAACGCATGAACTGGTTTACTATATGCAACATCTGCCTCTTTGTAACATCTACAGCATTACTGGCTTTGGCATACGCGCGTCCAGTTTCTGACGCAGTTTGCACACGTCAGCTTTTCAGCTACTCACCAGCCCTGGAGGCCGTTGAGTACCACGAAGAAGATTACAAAGGCGTTTTCCACCAACCATCAATCTATCGTGGTAGGCCGACGGACGAGATCGACGAGCACTGGCGGAAACTTTGGGACTGTAAGTCGCTGTCTCTGTTGCCTGATCAGAAATTCCTGGTAAAACGTTCAGTTGCTAACGCACACAGACGGTGGTTTCAATGTGCCATACGATAAGCTCTATCTTCTCAACCGCAGTACCGAAACGCCATGGCAGCGCACCCCGGAAGAGTTTGGTGGGGGCGCGACGGCCATGCTGTGGGGTTTCCATCAGCTGCATTGTTTAGATCTTGTGCGTCAGGGTGTGTACCGTCATGTATACGAGGAGAAAGGAAAGGTCATACCCGCGTTCGATGGACCGGAGTATCTCGTGTTGATGCACATTGGTAGGACCGCATCCAGCCTTCCATTACATAAGTTGCTGACCATTATTGCCAGACCATTGCATCGAGCTCATGCGCATCCACATGCAGTGCCACATCGACACCACGCCGTATCTCGTCAAGATAGACGACTCTGTGCCGGTTGGTTATAAAGCAGAGTTTAGCTCCCATCATAAGTGTCGGAACTATGAAAAGGTCCGAAATTGGGTTATCGATCATACTGCCATTCCCTGAGGATTGAAAAAGTGAATCTGGAGCACAACGGACTATGCGCCGCTTTGCAGTGGGGATGGATCAGTAGTTGAAGTAATCAATTCTATTACTATGATTCTTTTGAGTCGACCGAAAGACCTTGCTTAGTAAGTTCCGGCTCATGATATATGCACACAGATGCAGCCATGTAACTTGTTTCCAAGTCTGAAAAGCAGAAAGAAATTACGGTCGCTGTTGGAAGAATCGGAGTCTATTTCGTGAAGATCGAATGAGATCGACTCAGTATTTAGCCCAGAGCGTGCCAGTAGGGATATCCTCAGGTGTTCCGCCACTGCCAAAAACTACAAAGAAAGAAATGCTTCGATACTGATGATGAAGTTCCGGTAGCCGTTCGTCCCTGCTCGACCTTCTCACTCATACTCCTCCACAAAGAAGCAACCCTCAAAGCAAGACCGCAGTTGCCCTTGAAGCAGCATGCCAATTATATCGGCCTTTATACTGTCCTGTGTGAGTTTATTGTACATTCGAGGGATCATCGATCTCACATACCTTGGTATCGAATTAAGCGATTCATTGTCGATAGTTCCGCTGATGTAGTCGTAAGATGCGTAGATAGCAGTACGACATGCATATAGAGAGAAGGGCCGCAACGGGTTGATCATCACTCAAAGGGAACGCCACCTCGTCAGAGACATCCTGAGTCAAAGTGAACCATGGTGCAATGGTAAATCCAGTACTATGCGTCCAAGCCGGACGCAAGAGCTATCGTCCGCGCTGCTTTCTTGCATGTCGCTGCGGGCAAGTGGTAGAGTGCCGCACACTTCTAACAAGTTTTGATGCCCGTGTCGCATCGAGAGGCGCTGCCCGACCCTTACGCAACCATCCTCTCGAAGTGCGTATCTGACAGCAAGCTCTCGATGGTGACTGCGTGTCGCACCTGATTTGTCGCAAACTCTTCCTCGGGAATATGAGTTGAATGTCCGTCAAGGGAGTTATTCTCTCGTCTCTGGAAACCCGATAGTATGGTCTTGCTTGAAGGTCTTGCGCCGCTAAGACCTGGCAAATCTGCCAAATTTATCATGATTTCCGATTGGAGTTCCAATTTGTTCAACATAAAAGAGCCTCCAGCTTGTGCAAACAGTCTATTTCGGGCCAAAATACGACGCCAACAAAATTCGGTACAGCGTCTCAGCATGCCAAACACCGTTTGGTGTACACAGAAGGGCACGTTTCCATGCCTTGCTCTTACATCTTATGAGCTCTGAATGAGAATCTATTTTCGATTCCTGTGGGCTACAAGTGATTATATAGTTCAGATAGAACATACCTATGTGGCCATGAAGACAAACAAGGACCAGAACTTATGCTCTGAAGCCCTTCTTGTTGATGTAGCAGTTGACATTATGTACGGCAATATTATCGAGCGCGGGAATGATTGGCCAAATCGAGCCGCTAATGATTTTTTTTTTCTACTTGAGGTCTTACAAGTGCAGTTGCAGGTGCTTGGAGTAACGTCACGCTAGCAACGCATTAAGTTACTTTGGGCTAGATCAGCACCAACGCCTCATCCCACACGAACAGCTTTCCATCGCTGCCGACACTCAACATCGCGCTTTCGGGCATCTCATGAGCGACATCTCAAGACAAGGGGAACGAATTTCTCATGTGCTGGCTACTATTATGCCCAGTGTCTCGAGTCAATAGTGCCGTCAGTATAGGATGTTCGAACCGGAGCCCGAGCCTCGCCTAGGTGCCGAGAACCAGCAAACACTTGACCAGCAATTGGCCCACCGTATCTCGGATCTTCGCGATGAGTTCGCAAAATATCTTGCTAGGGCTCATGCAACGCACGCAGAACTTTCTGCGATTCTGGAGCAACCTCCAGCCGAATATGACAGTCTACAAAATATCGCCAATCAACGACTGGCAGCCTACGACAAGCATGTTAACTCCAAGAACAGACCTACGCGAAACCAAAAGCCCTGGCCAAATTTGGACAACCTCGCAGCCGACGTTGCACAGCTGGAGAACTTTTGGCGAGTCGCAAAGACCTCATCGGGGATTCTTGCCTTCCAGAAACTATTTTTCTGGGACCGGTCCACGATGCTTCAGTACAAGACAAGAGGCGGGCTTTCACATTTCGGAAAATGGGGTAGGTTGGTTCTTCTATATTGTGTTGGCCCAGTTCATCTCAAAAAGCTGTACTGACCTCGTTCAAATTATAGCGAGGAAAGGAGCCCTTATGACAGGCATCAATCAGAACAGCTTCTCAAAACACTTCCATCATGCGACAAAAGTCGACATTGTTGCCCAGAATGGACTGGAATGGGTTCGTGTCTGCTCCTCTACGGAGAAGAAGCTCTTGTTCGACCTCGCCAAGTTGGGATGGCAGAATGATTCTGATTCTGACTCTGACGATAATTTTGGCGCAAACGGAACCTCAGGCCCCTCGAACATAATTGACGACGATGAATCCCTGGAGATCCTAAGAGACGCCCACAAGCTCGCCCGCGCTGCCAAAGCGAACCCTTTGAGAGGCTGCACACCAAGGGTACGCTTCGTCATGACCCGTGTTGCTTCGGGCCGAGTGAAAGAGATAGATGCTATCTTGGACAAGATTCGTGCTACAGGAGCTCTGGTCCAGTGTGTCGGGAATGCACCAGAGACTATCTCTTTCGACGCAGCATTGACAAGGATGCAGCCCGGACCTATGCCGTCGATCTCGCAAGTCCTCAACATCGACTACACGATTCTGCGCGGACTTGTCAGCGATATCTCCCATACTGAATGTAGCCTACAAGACGAGCAAGTCAGGCAGGTTCGGGAAAGCATAGAATTAGAAATGACGGAGAAATTTCTCCTGGATGTATTATATCCAACAATTGCGTCGGCTCCCATGGTGTGCACCACCGAGACTTTCCAACAGCTGTATCAGTAAGTTAGATCCTCGTAAATGGTGTGAATGCATCTTACTAATGCAGACTTCTTGTAGGGTCCTCGGTCTGAGAGGCTCAGGTACAGAACAACAGCGGGCAGATATCCTGTTCGCGAGAGGAGGCCACACAAAAGCCAGTCCCGAAAACCTGCTCGCAGCATGGCGCAGCCTTTCAATGCATCCTGTACCTGGTTTCCTGCAACTACCCATCCGCGTAGTACAGAGCAAGCTTTCTGAAAATCTAGAGAAGCTTCCTGAGGTCGCGACGAAAATGCTCGACCTAGAGCTCTACTATTACAGCCCTGCCACGAAGAGCAGTGCTCATGCCACAAGGAGTAGTTTCCTATACGGCTGGGCTCACGGTTTGACAACGTTGACAGGAAATGGCGCGGTATCAAGGTACCAGATCAATGACCGGCTCGATCAGGGCGGGCTGGGAGATGGCGAGGAGGGACCACATTTTTGGCTATTGGCGCAGATGACGCGGGTTCTCTACGGTCGGCCACGACATCTGTGGACACTGCCGGATGGGGAGAATACGGTGGATGCAGGTACACCTCAGAATGAGGAAGCAATTTCGGGATGACTTTCCCAAGTTTAGACGTTTACATTGTGGACTCACGCATTGAATCAAACGTCGGAGATCAGATTTTGAAAAAGAGCACGTGACCTGTGGTCGCGGAACACGCATAATTTTCAGTGTACTGGTGGTCGTTATTCTAGAAAATGTTACATCTACCAATTATTTCTCGGTAGAAACCCATCAATACGTATATCTGGCCGTCTCATTTCGTCGTATCAGTACCGATCGTTACTCAGTGTATACTGCCTACGAGTATTCGTCGCAGACCAGTTTCTTCTCATTCTCTCTCGTTCGCAATGACCGGTGACTTCGCGCGCGAGTTTGTGGGTGTTAGACACTCGGAATTTCCATTGCTACCAGAGCGTGAGGATACAGATGATGGCAGAGAACTAAAGTGACGTATGTCAGCATCTGTTCAATCTATCCCGTGAGATGTTCGAATAGATGATATCCGCAAGGCTGCATTATCCGGACAAGGAAACAAAGCTCTGAGCGAGAAGTCAGGTCGACCGTGGAAAAAGAAATTTTGCCTTGTTGACTGGCGGCTCTCGGGTTCCAGATGATGTCTCAGTGGAATGGGTGGTGCTGATTACGAATATGAAGAGGTGAGGGAAACGAACGGAGTTGTTCGTAGGAAAGAAGAAGAGAGTGGAGTCGGTCGAACCTCCTGTAAAATGCAACAGAAGAAAACAGGTAGCGAAAGTGAGTGTTGCTACGTTTCAGGAGAAAACGAAACCGGTATTAGTGGGTGCAAAGGGCCAACGAAGGGGAAACGAAGCTCCTACTCACAGACCTGTCATCCGATCCGATGAAAAAACGTCGAATCCACGTCGTGGTTACGATACACATTAGTGGGTTCATATCTCTTGAGCCTGACTTAGACCTTCCATTTATGGGCCTATTTGGATAGATGTAGCGATGGTCCCGGAAATTGCCGTTAGTCCTCGGTGCCATCGCCCGGATCCCCGGATATTGGACTCCATGTTGGCAGAAACAGTGCAAGGAAATTTTCCCTGGCTAATCTACTATATACTGAATATAGTATGTGAGGCCATGGGAAGCAGAATGATGTTCCGGGCAATCATGGAGGACTTTCAAAGGTTTCTGCGGCCTCTAACACATCGACTTCCGAGTATTGCGTATATTGTTAGTGACCGGCAGGCGCATGACCTAGGATAGTGGCCACCAGGGAGACTTAAGATGCTTTCATATGGCATCCGGCGCCGTGCGATGGAAGTGGTTTGAGGGCTGCTGCACAAACTCGAAAAGTTCTATGATCTCAGTAACAGACCCACTCCAGGCATCGCAGAACTCTGGTAAGCTTCTGTAAAACGGCACTTTATTTGAGAACCTTTCCCGAATCGTACCAGAATGAGCAGGTTCTGAAACGGGGCGAAAGATCTGGACACAAATCCTACTTCGTACCAATGGTTGGTGTCCCTGCACGATTAGATCGTTCAACGTTTCATCCAGGTGGGGAGAAACATGATGATTGGTCCTGGGACGGATTCCCGGGATTCCACGAGCCTTCATAGAAGGCGAGGTCAGGCTGGAAACCATGAAATGGCGTCTGGGGCGAGGATAAGGGGTGTGTGATATTTGGGGTTAGAATGTACTCGGACAGGGGGGTTTCCAAAGGGTCGCGGGTTGCAAATGTGGACCATGGCTCCTGATCTTCGCCTGCCTGGGCCGCGAAAGGACTAATTGGATTTTGAGATTGTACGTACTCAGTTACTCGTTGTTCATCACGTGCTGCATCGTCGAGAGGCCTGACATGCTCATACATCGATAGCGGCCTCGTGGACAGGGCTCGCTCAACCTCAAGAGTTTGCCCGCTCGAGGGTCTATGATGGACATCGGAAGAATACTCCATCTTGATCAACTTCATGCCCTCTTCAGAAGGCGCATCGAGATCAGCGGACCTGAGCATGTCAGTACTGCACAGCCCAACCACCATCGTTCAGCGCTCACTACATACCGTCTTTTGCTGTCTACCAAAATTTTCCATTGGTCATTATCATTGAAGTGAGTACACTGTGTGAGGTTAGGACGAGTCTTGCAATAAAGCTTGCCATTGAGAGAGCACTACTCTTCCTTTCTGTTTTCTGCACTTGTCACATGCACCTCGTTTCCTCGTATTCTTGTAAGCATTTCGTTCTTCGACCGTCATTTTTCTCTTTGTCTTTGGGCGCATTGATCGACCATCATGCGCGCTCCAAACGAATTGTTGTGCGGCGGTCGGAGATGCATGAGCTTGCGATTGTTCCGAATCTGCGGTAGCTTGTGACGCTTTTCTGATTCGCTCTGCCAGTTTTGGGGAAATCGTGGATTCTATCAACGAAGACGGCGTACCATCAGAAGCGCTCAAGATTTCGGTACCCTCTGATAATACTTCTGCGTGTAATCTGGCAGCGGTTGGTGTAGACCCCTGTGTTGGGTGTTTGACGTTGCTTGGAGAGTTGGGGTCTATGATTGAGCTTCCTGATTGCATCCGCGACAGTTCGGCGTTAAGGAAATCGATAGTAGCTCGATGCTTTCGCTCCCGATGGGTTTTGCAATCTGGGTAGGCAGCCCTCAGCTTTTCTGAAAGGTCATCGGAGTCTACCTGCGCGGATAAAAAAGTAAGAGATACGAAGAACACTTCACTACAGAGGGATTGTCACCTACCGGATACTTAAACACGATCCCGGCCCATGGCGGCAGTTCATCGCTTGTGAGCTGCTGGCGTAAAATGAAGTCCATGTCGAATTGTTTCAGCACCATTAGGCTGGTCGCGATATTTCTGGAAGTAAACCTTTTTCTGAAAGCTCATACTAATCCCAGAGTTGTTAGCAGGAGGTAATGATCAGCTACGATGGGTCATGTTCTTACTGAACGCTTTTATTGACACCGCCGCAACGCCTCGAATTGCGACTGGAATAGAGTGGGTTTAGCCGATATGAGTCCTTGATCACAGGAAAACGATGCTACGAATAGGAAGATTCGTGTGTGGAGGCCGAAGAATACGAGACAAGGTGAGACGAAGTCACCACTGGGACAGAGCAGCGCCCGCAAGACAGATAGGCAACCATATGTAGCTGCACGGAAAACGCATTAGAAACACCGTGCATCGCCACGGTGTCCTAAAGCAGATAGGTAGGAGCAAATGGCAGACTTAGCCGGGGTTAGTGTCAGCTCGATAGATGAGAAGCGCTACGTGAACACACCACCCGCCTCATCACTGGAACACGAGGACTCACAGACTGAGGCGCAGAAATCATTACGGGGCATTAGCTTTGTGGAAGTTGCATGTTGGAGATCCATCGACACGTAGGCGAATCGACTCGATGTGGCGCAGCTGATTGGTTGCGGGAAGTATTCAGCCTGACCCGTATTGGGCATCACCAGAACTGTTACCTAGTGTTGGGCAGACATGCAGGTCAACCGGTCATCTTAGAACGAATCTAAAGTCTTGTCGGACGATGAAAGGTAGGAACGTGTCGCAAGCCTCCTCGGAGCCAGCGCATCGCGATCGTTTGCAAACCCTGCAAAAAGCGCTCTCACGCCTCGCGTGCGAGTTCCGTCAGGGGTGCAGGAAAGAGATGGGATATTAGATGAATGAGGCTAACAGTGGATGATCTCACGCGGTGGAACAAGAGCGCTTGCGCAGTTGTTCGGACGGACACTGGTGCATGTCATTGGTTGAATTGATCTTTCTTGGAATGGTAAGATAAGCGAGGTGCGCTAGCTAGATCAACGATCTGTACGCCAGTAAGGTATTGCTTGCGACACACATTGAGTCCCCTGACATATTATATAGATAAACGTGCAATCCACTCATTAACTTGCTTCTGGCTCGCATCCTTCAGAAGTCTTCCCGAGCAAGTCTATTTTCGACGAGATGTTGATCAGTTATCTGCGTCCCAAGAGCTTTCCTTTTTGAATAGACATCCAGTGTGGAAACCGCCCTTATTTCTAATTTTGCAGTAGATCCTGATGACGATAGAGAAAGTAGATATGAGCGCACAAGCAATGGACAGGTTGAGTAGACGCTGTATTTGTGGTTGGAGCTCAGGCATCGTGACTTGTGATTAAAGATCTAGATATCGAGGATATAGTGTTATTCAGCTGACACACCGTACCCCCGAGGTATGGAGATTGTTTTGACTTATGTAGAGCAGTTCGTACGGGGAAGGTGGGCGTGGCCGAGAATGCTCGGAAGTATGGCTATGCGCGGCACTCGAAGACATCAAGGGACGTTTGTTATGTGGAACGTAGTGCAACTCAAAGGTTTGTACGAGATGGTCATGCTATATATAAATTAGAAGAATTCTCTACGCGTGGCACGCGAGAAATGATGCATTTCATGTACAGAATATACGCACAAAGCGCACATCTCATAGTTCAGTGCAACGCGTTGGCCAAGGTGCTTCTACACTGAAATAGTACAGTCTTCCCCTCTTTTCATCAGATTGAATCATATCGAGCGAAAAAGAGTGTGCCTAATCACAGCGATCGAAGGCCGGATGCTAGCCTGGCTCCTTTTGCAACCCCCGAGATGTACACTACCTCTGCCACTGGCGGCACCAAACCTGTCCCAGTCTGAGTCAAATATCCGTAAAGCGGCCTATGTACGTGATAGTATCACTGTGGAGGAGTATCCAATATGTTTCGCTCTTTCGCGCAATGCGCGATCAGCTTATAGTGTTAGTGTAGACAACAGACGAGGCGCGGCACAGCTTACGCAGTCTCCTCATTACCTAGGCTGATAGTGTCAGCCCAAGCGTGGCACAGGTGGCGAGACTTGAAAAACCACGTCTATTACGCCCAAGATGCCTCGTTCACTTCATAATATACATTAGCAACAAAACAAGCTGGCCTCAATCACGGCAAACAATGCAATTATCGTAAATCATTCTGCAGTCCATACTCTGTCTACCTACGATGGTAACTCGATAGATCAGGGGTTCAACAGCCGGTCTTCTAAATAGCGTCATGCTCAAGCAACACGGCTACAATGTCACAATCCTCGAGGAGTTCTCCGGCACCAGGGACGGCTAAGATGCCGGTATCACCATCGGTCCAGACGTCAAGAGTTTCCTTGCGAAACCTGACCGCGTGCAGCGGCCCTTCGCATTGACATGCATACCCCCAATCAAGTTTAACATCCAGGGAAAGCCGATGCTCGAGCACATGCAGACTATGGTCATGACTTGTTGGACATTGCTCTCTAAAGCGCTGCGCGCAAACTTCGACGGTGTGACGTCTATAGCGGTACCAGTGGCGCCAGAATTGAGGACATCGGATGGTACAGTCAAGTATAGGAGTGGATCGCGCGTCACGGCAGGCAAGGATGTTGGAGATCGTGTTGAAATTCGATACGAAGACATCGACAGCCAAGTAAAGACGACAATTTCCGCCAACCTTTTCATCGTTGCGGATGGATCTAACTTTTCGATGCGAAACCTTCTAGGCCCAGAGGTAGAGCACAGTTACGCGGGTTATATCTGATGGTGAGGAACTATTTCTAAACGCTGCGTCTAAAACATAAAAGTCAATAAAAAGTACAGCAAGAAAGTAGCTTTCCATTTTATGCCGCAGAACAAACATCATATAGTATGTTAGTGTCTCAGCGTATCAGTGCGCGTTTGCTAAGTGAAGCGCAGTTACTCCACACCCACTAACGACGGCAACCTCAACGAAGGTAAGCGACCGTGCAACTGGGTGTGGTACAGTAATGTTCCCAAGGGGTCGCGAGCGAACTAGAGCGTGTTATTGAAGGCAACATGACGCCTTCACAGTAGGAGAAGGTGGTGTTGAGATATAAGTATGCGCAGCGGAGATTTGGATTAGCCATAGCTGCGTATGGGCTGAGATCGAAGTAGGCAGCCGTATGGGAAGGCTTGAAATGGCTGCTACTTATGTTGCTCCAAAAGACTGGGATCAAATGAGCAACCGATATAGAGAATCATAAAGATGTCCATATAGAAAGAAGCATGCGTGCGAAAAGGCGGGTCCCAGGGCAGTCAACCCCACCGATCTCCTGAGACCGCCATCTGTGACGTTTCTACTGTATGGGCCTGTCCTGGAACCAAGTATTTTCCGGAAGCTTGTTGAGATTTCTGGCATAGTGAATTTTAGGTCGTGCATTTATTCCAGGAAAACGCTGTAGTGCACGATCCCGGAAATCTTTAGTCAAATGCGGGTATGGCGATGATCGCACGGTACACCGATGAACGAGGCAAGTGCAAAACCAGAGCTCGTCATAAATAATTCAGATGCAATTGCTGACGTACCTGACAGCATAGCATGCTTTGAGCCTCTCGCAGAGAAGTGAGTTCCTGCATGTCCCACAAAAGGGCGGCTTTTCCCACGCAAAACACCGCCCTTACAAATCGGAGTATGACTCCTCGCTGTGGCTGTACTGGGTCTCAACAAAGACGGATCCCACAGTCGCATCGAAGAACAGAGCTCATATAAACCGCCACGCGTCCAAAACTATTCGCGAAAGACTTCCTGACTTCACGATTAAAGAGTCTTCCGAGATGTGTGGAAACGCGGCCACACGTGCGCACGTGGACACGCCCGCCCCTGCGGCGATCCCTGCATCTGCACCCACCGATCGCCGGCCAAAAACTATTGATGCGCGACCTCCAACATCCTGCAACAACCACGACGACGACAGCACAACTACATTTTCGCAGCCCGAAATCGCACCCATCCGGACACCCCCTTCCTCCCGCAAGGAAAAGCGCAAGCAGCGCAAAAACGCCACCCTCCCGACGCCACCCTCCAGCGACACCGAACAACCCACAAAGCGCACACCACCCAACAACCCCCAGCGCGCGCCCTCCCTATCACCCAGCCTCACAATGGCCAAATCCCTCACCCAAAAAACGTACCCCCTTCTAATCTGCTCCCTCGGCAACCCGGGCCCCACCTACGCCCACACCCTGCACTCCGCCGGGCACACCCTAACCTCGCACATCGCCGCGGTGAAATCCTACCAACCCTTCACCGCGGGCCTCTCCGGCCGCGTCGCCCGCCCCGACAACACCACCTACTCCTTCGGCCCCTTGCAAGGCTTCCGAAAAACAAACTCAAAAGAAGTCGGCCCCGGCGAAGACGACTGGACGCTCTGGCAGTCCACCTCGCTGATGAACGTCTCCGGCAAGCCGCTCGCGCGCGCCTTTGCCGCTTTCTCTTCCGAGCTCGCGCGGCACGGGCGCGGACCGGGCCGGCTCGTCGTCATCCATGACGAGCTGGAGGCGCCGCTGGGCAAGGTCAGCGTGCGGGACGGCGGGAGCAGCGCGCGCGGGCACAACGGGGTTAAGAGCGTGCAGGGCGCCATGCCGGGGGGTACAAAGTGGTGGCGGATTGGGGTGGGGATAGGGCGGCCCGAGAGCAGGGAGCCGGATGCGGTGGCGGGATACGTGCTGCGGAAGATGCATGCGGGGGAGATGCGGGCGATGGAGAAGGCGTGTGCGGGGGTGGTGAAGGTGCTGAGGGAGATTTCCGAGGGGAAGCGATAAGGGATGGCGATGGGGTGGGCGAGTGTAAGATACGAAATGGGTTGGCGCGGCATATTGGCGTTTTTCGAATGGCTTTGGCAAGAGAGGAGGATGATACCCTGCTGGAGCAAGCGCATAGCATAGCATAGCATAGCATGGCACAGCATATAGATCTGTAAAATACGGCAACGCTTGAAGATAATCAAATGGATATCAATGTCCAGGTATCGAGCAATACTCCACAGAATGCAACCGTACCCATAACGTGCCGAAGCCAGACCGGATAATTCCATGAGGATCATCAGTACGCAAACGCCTTGCCAACCCTAGTGAAACCATAAAGCCAAAAAGTACACGCATTCCAAATAGCATACCTCGCTGAGCCGTCTCACTTGGCCAACTGCTTCTTCTGCCTCCTCTCTGCCAATCGCCTTGCCGCCGCTTCCTTCCGGTCAACAGGGAGCATAGCACGCTCCTTTGCGACCTGAGACGATCCTTCAGCATGGTGGCTAGTGATCTTAGCCCGATCGAATTTTGAGTCTGTTGAAGAGGTGCTGGACGGTTTGACGCCATCGAACTTGCGAGCGGCCGCCATCGATTCCAATGTGGCTGGAGGAGCCACCTGTCTAGTCTCGATCTTAATATCGACGGGCGTGACCTTCTCCGAGCTAACCTCCTTTGCAAGCTGTGCGTCTAGCTTCGACTTGAAGAGCAAGGTTTCTCCTGTGCTCTGGGAGGGCCTCGAGCGCTCGGCCACAGGAGCTTGTGAGACAGACTTCGAAGCTGTGTGTCGGCGAGTGCGAAGAGGCCTGCCAGGCCTCGTGTAGGATCCTCCACCGCCTCCTCCTATCGGAACAGCCATCTTATCGTAGTGTGCAATCGAGCTCTGATCTGCAGCTACCCATGGATCGGGCGAAGGCTGCGGAAGTGGGCTTGATGGGGCAGCCGGGGCGGGGGATAATGGTCGCTGATTTCGCTGGCTCACATCGTGCTTGCGGTTGCTGAGGACTGATGTCGAACCAGGTTCCGCAGTCTCCGCAGCCGAAGCTGACTTCGAGGTGGACTCGACTTCGCGGATAGCGACGCGTGGAGACCTCCCTAAGATTGTGGATACATCTCCGGCCGCTGCGCCTAGTCGCGGTGTTGATGAAAGCGAAACTTGGGGAACTGGCGCTGGCTCTGGCATGGTTTGACGGCGGACATGGCGAGGCTTGGGAGGAGAGTTCTCCTTGCCAACTGACACCACACGGACTTTCTGGGATAGATATGAAGCATCCGCAAGTTTGTCCTTTTCGACTCGTACTGCCTCTTCGTTCTTGCTTGTATCTTCGAATATTTGAAACGGAGACGATGACTTGGCCTCCTGTAGCTCGAACGACGTTGCAGTCAATGACTTCTCCAGAGTTGCAATGCGATTTTTAAGTGCTGTGATCTCGATGCCGTCGGACAGCTTTTCGGCCATTGCTTGGCGAAGTCGCTCCTGGTAGTCCTTGTTCTGCTGCTCCAGCTCTTGCTCACGCCGCCGGAATCGTTTGCGTTCCTGCTCGAGCTTCGTGGCAAGCTCTGTGACCTCGCCGTCCTTCTTCTGCGCGTAGTTCTTAGCTAGCTGCTGCTTCGCAATCAGCTTCTTGACCTCTTTCTCGCTCCTCGCCGTGTATTCCTCGTATTGCTCCTTCCAGTATTTGCCCGAGTCCGCCCGCGGTGCGCCCAAGTCCATGGTGATGTCGCTGTCGTCCCGTGCTTTTGGTTTCTGTCCGCTCCTTGGTTGTGTCGTAGTTCGCGCATCCAGAAGGGCCGCGGTGAGCTTCGTGCGAGGCTTCTGTTCGCTATCTGTGCTTGCCTTTAGCTCTGTTCCAGGAGTCCATGGGCTTGGGAATTTGCCCGGACAGTCACTAGGTATGCCACTGCGGCCAGGGTTGACGCGCTTCCCCTCATTGTCGACGACGTGCGCGCCAAATGACACCGACTTGCGTCCCTTATTGACGGTTCCCGGCGTCATCAGGATGCCACCCGGCAACTTGGATGGTGATACGGGCGGTGTTTCTTCCTGAGGAGCCGCGACTACAGGGACTTTGGAGGCTGCGAGATCTGGCGACAGCTTCTTCTGCAGTCTCTTGCCTGCGTTGGTCGCATCGTCTGGGGCTGGCGTACCGAACACGGCGCGCTTGAGGGCCTTGACAGCGAACTGGTGTGCGGGCGTCTCGGGCGCGTCGATGAAGGTGCTCTCGTATCCATGATCTACACGGTCAGCTGCGCGTGTCCAACGCGCTGTACGGCAAGCTGCGTACCTGGCTGGAGGTCTTCAATCGCATTGGTAATCCTCGGACCGGTAATCCAGGAAAACATTGCGCCCGCTTGTTGGAGATGCACTCGTACGAGCTCAGTAGCTCCGAGTGAAAGTGGGCGTCTGGAGGTGGCCGTGGAGCCTGCGCAGGCTCGATTGCGGATTTGTTTGGCGGCTTGTTTACAAGCCAAAGCGAAAGGCGGGCGGGTCGCTCACGTCACCACGTCGCGGGTTGTGTCTGCTTCAGAACGGCCACTGAGGCTACCATATGCTGCGCAGGCCAGTTGCACCAGCTTTCCGAGGGCGAAGGAGAAGGTGCGATGCAGCGCCTGTTTGTTATGTGTCTTGCGCACCCACTCGAGAATGAGAAGTCGCGTCTGGCGCCCTAGGACGAAAGAAGCAAGGCGGCACGCCGCATTGTGGGGGTGCCACCCCACCGCTACTTCCATGAGCTGGCAGCGAAAGGTTGAACAGCTCAGACCCTCCACTCCACAGCAATAAAACCTGCCGCAGTGAGAAGCACCATGTCTGCAGTGTGAAGGGCGGCAGCTTCGGCTGCCTAGTCTCCTCTACGTCAACGCCCATGTTGGCTCATTTCGACCACTTACGACACAGCCAAAAATGGCCCCGCCAAAAACACCGCGAAGCAAATCCCAAACAGATGTATCCACGTCGTATAGCATGGCTCCCGCCCCGGGTCGCCCTGCAGACTACTTCCAAGCCGCGCAGCCCTCAGAGGCCCTTGCGCAGGCGCAGGAAGATGAACGCGAAGTCCTGAAGGCTATCTTCATGGACGACTACCAGGAAGTCGAGGCCAAAGGCTCGTGGGGTGTACGTACACGGCCGCTTTCAATGCGCTATTTGGCGCTATAGGTGCTGACTTGGACGTAGAAAACCACCGACAGAGTACTCCGATTGAAGCTCAGAGCTTTTTCTAACGATGACATTTCATGTACTCTATGTGCAAAGATCACGGCTACCTATCCCAAATCTTTGCCGATCCTGAATTTAGAAGACACGAACAATTTGCGCCTCAAGACTCTCCAAACACTGCAGGCTATGCTGAGAAAACGACCAAAAGAGCTGGTTGGCGAAGTCATGCTTCACGAAATTGCCACTTCAATCCAAGATATCCTGGAAGATGAGATCGCAGTTCGAGAAAATGACGGCACCTTCGAAAACCTAGAAGCCGAGCGAGCTGAGCAAGAAGCGGCTGCAGCTGAGCTCGCAAAACAGCAAGAGGAGAAACTTCAGAAGAAGCGCAACGAAGAGAAGGCGGAAGAAGACCGTGCCCTCCAACAAATGGTTAACGATGAAGTAAGACGAAAAGAGCTTATGGCGAAGCGTCGAAGCCGCATATCGACCATAACACCCACTTCGTCTTATCAGAATGGCCACACTGGAAGCCACGTATCTTTCGACAGGATGATCGAGCTGCAGTACGACGGGCGAACCACCGAGTGCAGTGCTGTGGAAGGTCTGTTGCCGTTTCGACAAGGGCCTGTCACCGAGGAACTGCTCGTAAAACCCGTCGGAAGTGGCGAAGCTGTCACCCTGGTTATGAAGCGGACTCGAGTCGGTGCAGAGAAGCTGTCAGATGCTGCGCAGCTGAAACGAGCCATTACGGATTTCGAAGAAGAAATGGAAGAGATCAAGAAGCTCCGCCAGTCGACGATCTTAAATGTCTTCGACTTCAAAATCGAGCAACTGCCTGAGGCTATATGGGAGATCAACGTGCTGGTCGAGTTCGGTGACAAAGGCTCGCTTGGCGAGAAGCTGGATGACGACGGGCAACTCGCAGTCGCCCGAGTGAGGTCATGGACTGTGGACCTATTGGAGGCTCTCGATTACTACCATCGGAACGGCATCATACACAAAAGGATCCATCCGCACAATATCCTACTACACAAGTCATCGACCGGCGGGATAGCTGTGAAACTAGCAGATGCAGGCTTTCAAGAGACACTGCACAGCCTAAAGAATTTCGGTCGCACAGGTCAGCCTTTCGCCGCCTCTCGATCGGCATTCTGGATTCCCCCGGAACTCGCCCAGGAAGCACGGCGGACACGCAAGACGGATGTTTGGGATCTCGGAGTTGTGTTCCTCCAGATGCTGTTCGGATTGGACGTACCCCAAAAGTACAACTCTCCCAAGGAATTGTCCGATGCACGCGGTTGCTCTGAGCCTGTACAAGAAATACTTAGGAAGTTTTTCAAGCCGGATCCGAAGAAGCGACCGTCTGCATTCGACTTGATTCCGTGCGAGTTCCTGCGAGACGATGTGCCTGTGTATGAGCAGCCACCCACACCCATGCGATCTCGGCATTCATCGACTTCTTTGGCGCATTATCGCTTGCGTCGCGAGTCTTCCGCTGGAGTCGGTGGCATGACATATTCTCGCTATACAAGCGACTGGGTCGAACAAGATCGCCTAGGAAAAGGAGGATACGGCGAAGTGGTGAAAGCCCGTAATAAAGTTGATAACCGCATTTATGCTATCAAGAAGATTCGACAGAAGACGGCCGCAGCACTCACTGAGACTTTATCTGAGGTCATGTTGCTGTCCCGCCTCAATCACCCTTGTGTCGTTCGCTACTACACAGCTTGGCCTGAGGAGGAGACAACAATGATGTCCGATTCGGACGATGAGGATGATTCCACAACGTTTGACGCCGACGATTCCGAGTCAGGCTCCGATATCTCACCTGGCAATACTGGTGCTAGTGGGTACGGGGTGGCAAGTACTGGAGGCTTAGATTTCATCAGCTTTAGTGGCGATCCAAAAGTCGAGTTCGGTTCCGACGATGAAGATGCGAATGACGATGACGGTGCTATCGTTTTTGGATCCGATACAGGCAAGTGGGACTCGTTCTACCTGCAGAGCTAAGCTGACACGACCCAGAGGACGACGCTAGCTTAGCTGACCTCAACTCGCCAATCGCAAAGAAACGGACTTCTTCCAATTCGATGGCTCGGCCTGCGAGGACCATTTTGTATATTCAAATGGAACTCTGCGAGAAGCAGACTCTACGAGATCTGATTCGCAGAGGTCTGTGCGATGACCCAGATGAGGTTTGGCGACTTTTTCGTCAAATGCTGGAAGGCCTTGCCCATATTCACAGCCATGGGATCATACATCGTGACTTGAAGCCCGACAATATTTTCATTGACATGGCAAAAGTTCCAAAGATAGGCGACTTTGGTCTTGCAACAAGCGGGCAGTACCAGAGATTGGATCGTAAAGCATCAGCCGGCATACTACCGGATAGCGACATGACCCGCAGTATTGGAACAGCGCTCTACGTTGCCCCTGAACTGAGATCAACTGTAGCCGGCAACTACGACACCAAGGTTGACATGTATTCGATGGGAATCATCTTCTTCGAGATGTGCTACCCTCTGAACACTGGAATGGAGCGAGATCAAGTTCTGCGCCAGTTGCGCGAACGAAAGCATACCCTTCCGGCAGAGTTCGAGACCCAGGAGAAGTCTTTACAAGGCAATATAATCACTTCGCTCATCAGCCATCGTCCCAGCGAACGACCAAGCTGTGCTGAACTCCTACGGAGTGGCAAGGTGCCGCTACAGATTGAAGACGAAGCTGTCAAAGAAGCACTCAAAGCTCTATCAGATCGCGACTCTCCTCATTACACGAAAATGATGGCCGCTTTGTTCTCCCAAAAGCCTGATACTCAAGCTAAAGACTACGCTTGGGATATGGGCAACGGATCTGGAGCTCAAAATATCCAGGCGAACGATATTCTCCTTCAAAACCTCGTCAAGAGCCGGCTGGGCCTGGTCTTCCGTGGCCACGGTGCGGTAGAGGTGCAACGCCAATTGCTTCTTCCTTGGTCCGACCACTACGCAAACAAGAACGTTGTCAAGCTCTTCGATCCGTCTGGCACGCTGGTGCAGTTGCCATATGACTTGACGCTGCCGTATGCACGTAGCATAGGTCGCGGTGCCCCGTTCTTGGAGAAGACATTCACGATCGGCTCCGTATATCGTGACAACTATGGAGGGGCACCCCGCAGCAGTGGTGAAGCCGACTTTGACATCCTCTCCTACGACACCTTAGATCTGGCTTTGAAAGAGTCTGAGGTTTTGAAAGTTGTCGATGAAATTATTGAGGAGTTCCCCTCTCTAGCTTCTGCGCAAATGTGTTTTCACCTCAATCATGCTGATCTGCTGGACATCATCATGGATTTCTGCAGGATCAACGTTTCCCGACGTAGGGCGGTTAAGGAAGTGCTCAGTAAACTAAACATCGCCGAGTTCAACTGGCAGAAGATCAAGAACGAACTGCGTGCTCCGGAGATTGGCGTTTCTTCGACATCCCTCGACGACCTTGCCCGTTTCGATTGGCGCGACACACCTGACAAGGCATTTTCTAGATTGCGTAGGATATTCGAAGGGACCAAGTATCTGGATCGAACACACGCGATCTTTGCTCATTTGTCCTCCGTGGTCAGCTATGTGAAGCACTGGAACGTCAAACGGAAGGTCTACATCAACGCGCTCAGTAGCTTCAACGAGAAATTTTATACTGGTGGTGTCCTCTTCCAGTGCTTGTACGATGGCAGGAAGCGCGAAGTTCTTGCTGCCGGAGGCCGGTATGACAAACTCATCCAAGAATATCGCTCCAAGGGCCCGGGACACGCTCATCCTGCCTCGTCGTACCATGCTGTTGGTGTCAACATCGGGTGGGATCGTCTTGTCAACTCCATGATGCGATATTTGAAGAAGCCAGAACGATCAACTTTTCTCCGCAAGCAAGCTGAGGAGGACACACCAGCAGTGTCGTGGATGCCGCGACGGTGCGACTGTCTTGTTGCCAGCTTCGACACCGCAGTGCACCGCTCCACAGGCGTAAGGATGGTGGCGGACCTTATTTCGAATGGCTATACGGCGGAGCTAGCCATAGATGCGCACTCGGTGGAAGATCTGCTCCGTCACTATAGAGACGACCGGCATAGCTGGCTCATCGTCATCAAGCACGGTATTGCGCCAGACAAGCCTGACATCAAAGTAAAGAGCATAGCGAAGAAGGAAGACATGGATATCCGGAGTGCAGACCTACTCAACTATCTTCGCAACGAGTACCGAGACAGGGAAGCACGCGAGGGAACCGCAGCCCAACGCCTCACCAAAGCACTACCGGCAGCAACTTCCTCTTCTACATCCACCGCCAAAGCTAACGTGGATGTTCTCATGTCACACCACCGCTCGAAGAAGAGCAACAAGTGGAGCATCGTCGAGGCCGCACAGGCCCGCTCCGCCGAACTCCTAGCTTCATTCCAGGGCGCGCCCATCGCGGCTATCGAGACAAAAGACGAAGTGATGATCTCGATCCACGAGACGCGGCTCAGCGATCCAGATAGCTGGCGCAGGGTCATTCAGAACCTGCCGCTCGCTGAGCGAAAGTATCTCCAGGAGTTGCACGACTTATTGCTAAAGTATGCGGCGAGATGGAAGGAGATCGTAAATGAGGGGTCTGCGAGGAGTGGCGAGGGCGGAAAGGCTTTCGTGTATAATTTCCGGACCGGAGGGTGCTTGCTGTATGATTTGGAGAGCTAGGCTAGTAGGGTGAGAGTGTGGAGACATGCGATTTAGGATGGGGTTTTACCATGAATACAACGAACTGTGGCGTGGAATATGCGTTCTCCACCTCAGAGAGGCAGAGAGGCAATCGTAGCATAGCAATGGAGAGCAGACTGCGTGATAGATAGCTGCAAAGCGGGTATCGGTAAACGACACAAACCCCTCATATATCCATCTGGGTTCTACGACCCCAATCGCCTTCTCAACACCCTACGCGACGCTACCGCGCGAGCTGTGCCCGCGCAGTACCTACACAAGATCTCATTTACGCCTCTGCCGCCTCCGCATGCAGCGCCTTCCCCTCCTTGACATCGTGCGCCGCGGCCTGCGCTTCCTCGAGCCCCAGGCTCGTCGCAATGGCGTAGAGGCGCGCTTTCTCCTCGGCCGCCGTGGAGTCGCCGAACACGGCGTCCATTTCTTCGAGGGACTTGCCCTGCACCACACCATATCAGCATCTGTCCTCTACGCACACTCCGAAAAGAAGAGAGCAAAAAGACATACCTTCGTCTCGGGAATCAAAAACCACGTAAACACAAAAGCGATGAGCGCGAACGCCGCAAAGAAAATGTACGTGCCCCACCCGATTTTCTCGAGCATGTCGGGCGTCACGAGCCCGATGATGAAGTTGCACATCCACGTGCTGCTCGTCGTCAGGCTCATGGCTTTGCTCCTGGTCCCGATGTTGTAGATCTCGCTGGGCAGAACCCAGCCGATGGGCGCCCAGCTGTAGCTGAAGTTGACGTCGTAGATGTACACGAAGGCGATGCCTGTCCAGCCCGCCGCAGGATGGTCTCTGAGCGTGTCGCCGTACCCGCCAATGACGCCGCCGATGATGACTAGAGAGATGAAGGTGCCTGCGGCGCCGGAGAGGAGGAGGGGGCGGCGGCCGAGGCGGTCTATGAGAAACAGTGCGGGCAGCGTCGAGAGGGTGTTCACGATGCCGTAGACGCCTGTGGCGAGGAGGCCAGATGTTTTGCCTGAGAGGCCGAGCTGCCCGAAGATGGTGGGCGCGTAGTAGATAATCGCGTTGCATCCGATGAACTGCTGGAAGAACATGACACAGCACCCAATCGCGGTCCTCCTGAAGCTCGGCCAGGTAGAAAACAGCGTGGTGTACCCCGCGAGATACAGCGAGACTCCTTTCTTCCCGGGGAACGTCTCGCGGTTGAACGACTCCTCGAAGATGACTTCGGCCTTGATGGCGAGATACTCCTTCTGCAACATCTCGTCGTCCGGGCTGGTCTGCCGCACTCTCGCAAGGGCTTTCACGCCCGCTTCCTCGTTGTCTCGCATGCAGTAGTAGCGCGGCGACTCTGGGAAGAAGAGCATGCCGATGCCGAGGACGAGCGCGGGGAAAATCTGCAGCGCGAAAGGAACCCGCCACGAGGCATCGCTCTGGCCGGTGCAGCCGTTGGGACCCACATCGTTATAGGGATCGAAGGTGCGGTCCGAGAAAGTTCCCCCCGAGTACGGGATGTCAGGCGCGCACCGCGTCCCGCCGATGTACTGCGTACCGTATTCAAGCCAGTAGCTGACGAGGATACCAAGCGTGATGGAAAGCTGCTGGAGCACGACGAGAGTGCCCCGGATCCCCGCCGTCGAGATCTCGCTCATGTACATGGGCACAATCATGGTGAGCATACCCACCGCGAAGCCTGCTATAGCGCGTCCTGGCACAGTCGTTAGCCATCCATGACACTAAAGTGTAACTGATACCTACCAGCGAAAGCCATAGGGATGTCCACCGCGCCCGCCTGCAGCGCAGACCCCAGCGTAAAAATCACGACCGCAATCTCAATCGACCCTTTTCGCCCGAAGCGATCCGCTACAGGGCCGTTGACGAGCGAGCCTGCCCACGCTAGCAGCAACAGCGTCGACACGAACCACCCCTTGAAGCTGCTGTCTGTTGCTATGCGCGGGAACTTTGCGGCGAAAGATTCCATGGTGAGGACACCACTCACGACACCCTGATCGTAGCCGAAGAGGAAACCTCCAAGGGATGAAAACTACCACCGATCAGCCGCTGCCAAAGACTCATCGGGACGTGGGACGCTCACCGCCGAGAGACCCAGCAGATACGGGTTCTTTTGCAGTTCCTTGTACACGCCCTGCGGCGGGGCAGGCCCCTGGGCTGCGCTCTGCACTTCGGCAGACATATCGCTTTACTTCCTCTGCGAGGTATCCGTGGCTGTTTCCTGGTCTTCCTCGATTCTCCTCGCACGCAGGGACCTCGTGGAATGGCCATGGCAACACACCAGCTATATATCCCACCGCCGATCACCACACGCAGAATTCATCGGTCACACGACCTGGGGGTCTGTCGCCCTGCTCAACATGCAAGTTCGTCGATCGCTGTGGAGATTTCCAAGGCAGCGTTCCCCGCTGAGGTTGGCTGGGGTTGGATATCGGCCGCGAGTCATGCAATGGGTTACCTAGGCGGGTTAGAAGCCGATTGCAACGGCCTCGTTACGGGGACGGTCCCACATAAAACGGAGCACCGCGCAGAGCATACAGGGCGTGGGCATCGTGTATTCTTCATTCTGGTTTTGGGAACGGGGTCAGGTTCATACGAGACTCCGCACACTCAGATCCAGGTACACCCGATCGCACATTCAAACTGGGTATCATTGCCATCTCTAAAACTCCAACTCCTCAACCTCCATCCCACATTCCTCGCACCTCTTCCGACTCAAACCCGTCTCGTGGTCCAACACACTCCGCCCCCACTCATGCACATGGTCCCCAAACGTGTTGATCTTCTGCCCAAACGCACCTATGCCTGCACCCTCAGTCTCCCCCATCCGCGACCGCTTGTATGCCTCCACGCGCGTCCGCTTCTTCAGCTCCTTGAGCTTCTTGCTGAACTTCTTTTCCTTCTTTTCCTTGGTGGCTTTCTGCCGCTTCTCGTACTCCTCGTCCAGCGCGGCGGGGGAGCCCCATTTCGCGGCGGAGAAGGCGTAGTGCTCGACCTGCAGGCGGAGGAAGAGCTGCATGTTCTGCCAGTTGGATTTGTGCGGGTTTGGGCGCTCGAGATGGGGCAGGATGGACTCGTCTTTGAGCTCGGGGTCCGTGAGCAGGTAGTCTTCTTTCGCCTCAGTCTTGGTGAGCAGGCTGTACTTGTCAGGGAACTTGTCTTTGCACGCGTGGCAAATGCCGATATGGTAGGCGTCCTGCCACTTGTGGTCTATCTCGAGGGAGCCGCACTCGCGGCACTTGCCCTTGATGTCGCGCTTGCCGTCGCCGTAGGTGCCTTTATACTCCTCGCCGTCTTCCTCTGCGGCTTTGAGCAGGGCGTCTTCTTCTTCGTCGCGGCCGTCAGCCTGGTTGAGGATGGAGAGGCCGGGCTCGTAGATGCCGGCGCGGTTTTCTCGGAGCTTTCTGCGTATGCGCTCGCGCTCCCACTCGGCGAGGGTCATGTTTGCCGGCTTTTCTTCCTCCTTCTTGCCGTTCCACATTGCGCGGTTGTGCGGATCGTCGTTGGTGCTTAGGAAACCACCTTTAGTGTCGGTCATCTTGCTGAAGTCGTATTCGATAAAATCCGAGCGCCCAAAGTTCTTCGCCGGTGTTATGAGGTCGTTCGCAGGTGGCGGGATGAAGCCATTCTGGTCGCGCTTCGCCGGCGATGCTGCGTTGGCATTGCGCACAGTCGCGGGAGTGTTCGAGGAATTTATGACTGAGTATGCGCGTTTGGTGCCTGCGACAGGCGGGGGTGTAGGCTTTGAGGCTTGCGCTTGTTGCGCTGCAGCTTTTGCTCTGAGACGGGCTTCTTCCTACGTAGCCGTGTCAGCGATCCGTGAGTCAAGCGGGCGATTGCAGCTTACCATTCGCCGCACTTGCTCTGGGGTGAGAGGATTTGGAGGCAGCTTGCCCGCCGAGCGCATTGCCCGCGGGGGAGTTGAGGGTCGTTCCGCCATGGTGCGGCCGTAGAGAGGCGTGGGGAGAGTGACTCTTTCGCGTCAGTGGAAGGTTACAAAGGCTTCAAGCGCAGGGGAGGCAGCGATAGCGCAAGGGCGGCGAAGTTCGAGATCCGCAGTGGCGTTGAGATCGCGGTTCCTGAGCGATGATGACGCCAAGACATTTCCTCACTGTGTCTTCCACCCGCACAACAAACCACACAAGTCTGCAACACGAGAGAGAGTGCATAGTTATTTTCCTATCGTCCTCTCTCGCAGATGGATACTACTACCCCTTCCTTCTACAATATCGTCCTTTCCACCGGACTACGTCACTGCTAGGTCCCGAGGTTGAGGGAAGCGCACGTGATCACGCGCAAGCGTGTTTTGACTGGTGTACCACCAATCCATGTGTGACGTTCCTTCACCATCCACCTCAGCCCCTATGCTAGTTCTCCATATCATTTTCCCGCCTGCAATCCAGCTACCACGTGCCTCATCAGGGTCTCAAAGTTCCAAGGACGACGCTGCTCGCTTTAAATGGCGGAAACGGTTCATGCCAAGGGTTTGCACAAAGATGTGGTTTCATCAAGCCTCAGTTTGCAGTTCTTGTTCAGCGTTCGCTCATATTTCGGGTACCTTAAATAGTAAATTTTCTAGTATGACTAGGACACCTCTTGCTCTCCTCAAATAGCTCATCATTTTGCTCATCGTTGTCTTGCCTGGTCCCGGTGTCACTGCGTTGTTCCTTCTTGATTCCGTTCCGCACTTGTTCTCTGAGCACACTTGGCAGCCACTGGTAATCTATGTCGTCCATATCCTTAAACTTGACAAGATTGGAATGATCCTTACTCAAGGCTATCGCGGGTTGATCGGGCCAAGTAGCAGATGGTTCATGCACGGCCTTGCAAGGTATCGCTGAGTCAGTGTGCCTGCGTCTGGAGCCGGCAAAGTCACTTTCATGATCAAAGGCGCAATCCGGAAACCGTATCTTGACGGAAGAATTTCGTAGAAGCAGACTATTTTCCCACCCCTGTGAAAGAGTCTAACTCTCGAAATGCCTAATCTAACTTAATCATCTCCTGCGAGCCTACACCGAGAACAGCCCGTATAGCTGTCGACGGATACAACCATCGTTGGGCAGCAGAGGCGAGGCGGGAGGCCCGGTGTGGAGTCCCTATGAATAAGGTTACTCGAATGCTGTCCATCAGAGATTGATGGCGGCTGGATTCGTAGCAGCTTGGACCATGGCCTGTAGAAATCGGATCAACACGATAAGTCAAGCACGCAAGCCTGTCTTCAAGTTTACTTTGATCAAAAAAGACTGAATTCGACCCCAAGAATATGGCTCAGGCCACCGCCGGCGCGTCTTCATCTTCAGCGTCTTCTGGCCACCCCAAGATCGCGCCTTCAAGCAACAACAATTCGGCCGCCCGTCCAACCGCCACCAGTTCTCTTCACAAACCTTTGTGCCAAGTTCCATAAACAATCGTTAGGGTGGCTCGTACTTGCTGGTGTACTAGGTAATTACCATACACTTAATTAGCTGCTCACCTCCCGGTGAAAGATAATAGCCATTGAGGATGTCGAATTCCATCTCCTAGGAAATAATCACGAACTCCTAAACACTTCATCAAGCCGCTGCCACGTGCATTCGTCACCGATAAATTCGTTCTTGCCGTCAAAGGCCTCGATAAGCTCAACGAAGGCTCCCTGTACTCGTATACTCGAATCAGAATTGGACTTGCAACCCGCTTTTAACCTTGGTCTTTTCGACGACCGATTTAAGGATGGCAATGGAAAACATGGCAACGAATGGAGCAGGTGGTTACGCTTTGTTAAAAGTGTCAAGAATGACCGAGACCCCGATACGAAATCAAGCACTTGCGACGCCCGATTTGAATATGGCGACTTGAAATTGAACCGACTGAATACGACCACGTGGTTGCGATACTGGGGTAAAGCCTTGTATCACACACAGCGATCCTGTACGATCGTTTTGGTCAGGCTACGGTACGTGATCATCGCATGCGTCTACGTTACAACGGCCTTGACTGCGATGCAAGTCGTGCTTGCAGTCACGACCGATCCAGAATGGTTGACTTGGACGTTTAAACGGTTCTCTTATGCTGTACTCATATTGATCGTATGCCAAGCGCCCTTTGTGGTCTTTTTCTTTGTAGTGCAAGGATTGCAATTGGTTGGGTAGGAAACAGGCTTCCAAGTCCAAAATGACAGAGTCTAAGAAGGGCGAGACATCGTCTTCAGCGTTTTTAAGTATGTGGGAATTTGCATATACATGTTAGCGTGTTGTTTGGCAGCCTACATAAGCTAGGAGGAGAAGCATCCGTGGATTTCCTGATATTACATGTTCAGCCAGTTTACTTGGATCGTTCGAGCTAACAGAACGTTATCAATTTGCTATTCTCAATCTGCATAAATTTCATTTTAGATTCCCGAGGGACTAATCCCCTGTGATGTATCAGATTGTCCGGATCAACATTCGGCTTCTATCAAAAGCGTGTCACCCAAGGATTCCTCGGTACCCATCATGATTCCAGACTACTGAATCAATCAGGATGTTGGCCATCATAAATTATTCAAGGGTGTACGTGTCGAGAAGCTCGAGAGTTCCTACTCTGCAATTGAATCCTAAGCGAGTGTCTGGAGATTCGAGCCATTTCTTCAACTTCTCTTTGCGAGCTCTTTCCTCGCTGGCGTTTGCTTGATACACCGAACCACACGTTCAAGCTGTCACATATATGGCAGGCGACCCAGATAACAACTTCATGACCAATCTTGACTTTCTGCTGGATGTCAACTAGCTCTGTGACACTTACGATTTTGCACTGCGTAGATGGACTGGTAGTAGAGGTAGAGACACTTGATCTCGCCGACAGCTTCTACATCAAACTCCGCTACAAATGCAAAGGTCTGTTTATGTACATGTATTTACCTAGACATGTGCATGATTCGCGGGTCAAGTTCTCGAAGTGCAGTAGGTGGGAATGTCGCTTGGGCAATCTTCGCTGCAATCACACTTGGAGCTCCCGACTTGGATAAAGATTGGCGTATTCCAGTCTCCATGGAAACGAGAGATGAGAATGGTGGAAGGCAAGACAATGTACGGTGACGCATACTCGCCCTACCGCAAAGCGAAGTCGTAGCCTGAGTGCAACCGCGAAGACATCCCCATACCCGCACGCACATTCACAACCCCTAACATGCTGTCCACCACGACAACTTACCTTTGAGCTTTACCTTCCAGCCCTTTCTTTCCAGCAGCCCACCTCAGACCGTCCTCTGGCTTCCCTCTCCCGTCCCCGTAGCCCCATGGACGCGACACCGGACTTCGCGCACCTCCCACAGACCACCCGTTCCATTCCGCACCTGCCCTATACGCCCTTGTGGGGGTTAGATTGCTGTACGCCCGTTGAAAACCTGACATCATCCAGCGCCCCAAGAATCTGACTGCCAATTGCGTACCGTACCTTGCATACCGCCCGCCCCTCGGGCAGGTGAAACACAACTATATCCCTATGTTGCCTACACACATGTATGCCCGAGCGAACCCGGCAAGAACGGATTGTGTGCCCTTCTATTCATCAGTCACCATGATGCACACTGCGCGTAGACGCGCGCCCAGAGGTAGAGCCTGCACAAACCCCCATCCATGCACCACACCTACACCGTAACCCGCTCATCACCCGGGCCCCGTAGCCATACCTCTCCTACGCTCCGTGCGAAGCGGGAGTGCACCCAACGCGGCATACCCGCTTACACATCACGCACACCCCGACGCAACGCAATTACAGCTGCAGGTCAGAAACCCAGACCTCGACCTCGATGTCGCCGACGCGGTCAAGCTGGTCTGCCCTTCACACAGCGACGCTGGAAGCCCCAACGCTAGCTGGCTAGCCTACCGCCATTTCCTACCACCTCCCAACATGTATGCCTCCCCTCACCTCCCCTCCACTCCACCCCACCACCAGCCCTCGCGCGCGAAAAGCGAAAAAGGCTGGTAACGGCCCTAGATAGCGCGGAGGTACTTGTGTTTCAGGTAGCGAAAACCTGGAGTTCGACCCGCATGTCGAGCATGCAGGTCCGCGAGCAATTGCAAGTGCTGGTTGGTGCGTTTCAGATGCAGCGACGGCGCTGCGGCCGGTGTAGGCGCCGGGCTAAGAATGGCAACCGACTCGATCTCAGGCCCATCCATCCTGACTGGCTGGCCGCCGGTACAGATAATCTATTCGGCGGTGAAGACAACACCACGGTGTAGGTGGATCGGCTTGGATGGAAGAGCATGTACGTTGTGAAAGCGTTTAAATTCTGCGCTATGATATGATACAATGCAGCCCTCTTCTTGTGGCGCTTGTTTGTAGTCCGGTCCTCCTCACGTCCAATGTATCCACACACCTGTCATCCAACCCGCCCGCACTCGCAGGCTACCTTTTCTTGAGACTGGCCTCGCCATAGCTCACGGCTAGGCTGGCGCTAGACCTCCGACCTCGTTCGCATAGAAAAGAAAATGAAACAAGACATAAAAGGGAAAGGAAAGAAAAAGGGTACTCATGGCCGTCATAAGCTCGCATCCCAACCAAGCCCAAGCACCAGCACCATGTTGTATCCCCGTGTAGAACAAAACAGATCAAGCCGGTGCCATCCCCAAGCGGTGAAGATAGGCAAGAAAAGAAATAATGCATGCAATGCAATGCCGCGCGATCCAAAGTCTAGATAGATCAGATCAAGAAGACATGAAAGAAAAAAGGGAATTAAACTGGCTAAACACAAGAAGCAATCAAGGAAAGCGGCCGCGGAATGGCGTCGCCGGGTGTGTGCGCGAGAGCACACGAAAACACGCAAAATACGATTAGTAATTGTTGGCAGCGATGAGGTGGTGCTGCGGGGGAGCCATGGACATGGCCAGCGGGCCGGGAATGTCGGAGATGGAGGTGGGGATGTGAGGCAGGCCAGAAAGGTAGTCGTTGCCGGACTCGGGCGACTCTTCCTCGAGCGAGTCGAGGTGGCCATCCTCACCCTCGAGGTCTTCCTCGTTGAAATCGAGCGGCTCGCCGTCTTGGCGGGGTTCGTGGGTGCGGCGATGTCTGTGAAGCTATTGTTAGCGCAAAGTACATTTGATCGACACGTAGCGAGACGTACTGGGCAAGGTTATCGGATCGGGAGAAGGCCTTGTTGCAGAGGGGGCAAACATACGGCCGCTCTTGGGTGTGGGTGCGCACGTGCCTAGCGCCTAATGAGCGGCTATCTCAAGTCGCACTGGGGGAGGGTGGGCGCTTACCTCTTGAGGTGTTCTAACCTCTTGAAGAGCCTGCCGCAGGTGGGAATGGGGCAGGAGTGGGATTTCTGGGGGTACGGGCCAATCTCCATCATGGTCGCGCTGCGCGCTCGTCGGAAGACATTAGGAGCACCTTGGGCACGGGCAACTGCGCTGTGCTGGAGAGGGCTGTCAAACATGTCCCCGTTGACGAGGTTATTCAGCTCATCCTGAGGAAGCATAGCCGGCTGTTGTGGCGGGCTGTCTTCAATGGTGTGGAGAGGAGTGCCGTGGCGGGAGATGTTGGCATGGGGCTTAGCCTCTGGGAGTGACTGGTGCAGGGATGGACCGGTTGCGCTGTCGGGAGAGTTGTGGTTGGACTGCTGGTGCACTTCCTCGCCTTCGGGCACAGGCATGATGGAGCTCGACATTGACCTCCTCAAGTCGCTAGGGCGGTGCACCTGGTGGGCGTTGCCAGTGGCAGTGACGGCGGCGACGGCAGCAGCAGTGGAGATGGACGACCGCCTCCGTCGCTGCTTGTATGTGGGGGAGCCCTCAATCACAGAATACACGTTCCCTGGGGGGAATGCGCGGTTGACGCCAGGGTAGCTGGGGCCCATCAAGTTGGACGGAGGGATATTCATGAGCGGGTTGAACGAGTGCGATACACCGAGCTCGGGAATGGCGCTGTAAAGACCAGTGTCCTCGTTGGCAATGTACGCAGGCTCGGCACCAAGGCTAATCTGGTGCTGAGGCGGGGTCAATGGCTCGAAGGACATGCCGCGCGTGCTGTAGTCCTCGTAGTGTGATGAGACGAATGAAGGTGCTGGCGAGTATTCCATGTAGGCAGGCATGGAGCTGTGGCGCTGGTGCACCTGTGATAGCGGGATGCCATTGCGGTCGTACTGAACCTGCGGCGCGAACTCGCGCTCTCTGCTCTTGACAACAGTGCTCTGCATGCTCGGCGCCATGGACATCTGCTGGTACTGGACCATGGGCGCCATCTGCTCTTCGTGAACCTGGTGAGGCGGCATTGACTGCGGGACCATCTGAGGTGGCGGCATTGAGTCCATTGCGCGCATTACTGGTGACGTTGACTGCGAGTAGGTCTGAACGTTGTTGTTGAAGGATGACGAGTTGGTCTGCTGGGCCTTGGTGAGCTGCTCGAACAGCGATTGCGACGAATCGAACTCGAACGAGAGGGCAGGCTCGCTGACAGCGACGGTCGTGGCCTCCTGGCCCATCTTCTCGCGCTTGAGGTCGCGCTCCAATGCATCGAGAAAGAGGCGGTCGTGCGGCACGCTGTACCAGTAGAAGACCTTCTGCTTCTTCTGTGTGCGGATGCAGTTGTTCTTGTAGAGGAAGTCAAGGAACGCGCTCTTGGGCTCCTCGAGCGACGCATCAGTGCCCGACTTCAGGTTGCGCAGGTCGGAGAAGATGCCCTCCTCGAACTTTTTGGAGTTCTTGACCGGGCGGCCAAAGGCCTGGAAGCGGAATGACAGGCATCGCACGATGTCGGTGCCGGAGATGTGAAAGAGGTTGTTCCTGCGCGGGGTTAACGGGGCTGCGACACGCAAACAAGGACTGGAATGCACTCACCATAGCACACAGGACACATACTCGCCGGTGGGTAGTAGGAAGCGGCGGATGTACTGGTCGGGCTGCCAGTCGACGGGCGCCGAGATGAGGAAGTACTTGACTGCGCAACGGTTAGCGGGCAGCGCCGAGACAGAAGCGCGACGGGCGATGGGCCGGCACGTCAGGGAAGGGCTGCGACATACGGTTGTCCACCTGCTGCAGCGCGACGACGCTGTCCGGCGGCAGGCTTTGCTGGGCGTCCTGATCTAATAAGAAGGTCTCAGGCGCGACAGAGCGCGCAGGCGGCGGCATGGCCGCATGAGGGTTGGAATACATGGTGCGTTGCAAGCCGCGGTCCTGTGCACTCGGGTTTGGCAGGCGTGCGTCAGACTGTTGTTGCGAAGGATCGTGGAATGATCTCGAAAGGTCCTGCCCGGGTGCAAATAATGTAATATGAAGCGTACTGCGAAGGAAACGGGCGAGCGATGGTTTGAGGTCTGTTCAGAGAAGATAAAACGTATCGAGGGCCTGCCTCGGAGCCAAAGCAGTCTCGACGTCAAGCAGACTGGGCAGCGTGAAGGATAGGGCTTTAGGACACACGAAACGCAAATCTGAGGGGGGAGTGGCAGAGCTTTAGGTGTCGGAGGCCTGGTGAAACAGGAGCTGGTCGTTTTGGAATAATCTATTTCGGGGGCCCGCCCTCAAGTCAGTGTCTGCCCCGGCCCTGGCGAGGACGCGCGGGTGTCTCAGCAGCCAGTGCACACCTTGGGCCAGCCGCCAGCGAATCGTGGTGCGCACAACACGGGGCCCTGGGCGGCCAAGAGCACGCCGACTCGCGCTGCAGACGGGCGCGCGCCGTGGGCTCGACGCAGCCGCTGGGCCTGCGAGCGCTGCGGGCTGCACCATCGCGGCCGGCGGGAGAGCGTCTTGCTCCTTCATGCCTGCGCGGTGGAGCTCGCCGCCGCCGCCGCGCGCAGCGGCGAAGACGTCAGTCGCATTCTCGCCAGCATCATCGGGACACGCTTGCCAGCCTGCTGCTGCGCGCGAACAAGGCCCAGCTCAGGTCGCCTGCACGGCGCAAGCGACGCATGCAGCCTAGCCCGACCTCCCACCGTACACAGGCTCGCCCGCTCCCATAGCACGCGGCACACGGTATCTAGCGACCTGGCCGCCGGCCACCACCGCAAAGTCTATCCGTGGCCATCCAGATCGGACCCTGCTCGACGCTGCAGGCCGTCTTGCCGTCCTCGCCAGCCCGCGACAAAGTCTAAGAAGACGACAGCGCCCATTGCATGCCATCGCGAATGCGTCGTTTGCCAGTGGCGGACACCGCGTCCACTCACAGCACAGCGCCCGCAACCCTTGCCCGCCGTTATCGCGCCCAATCGTATTGGGCGTTGCTCGCAGGCTCATTTCTTCTTCGTCGTCTGCTGCTGGCAGGCTGCTTGAGTCGGCCCCCGCTGCGAATAGGTTGCTGTAATAAGACCCGCACCCACCGGCCGCACACGCAGCAACTGCACACGCGCGCACACGCTGCGCCGCTGTGCGGTGTGCGAGGCGGCCGACACACTCCCGAGAGCTGCTCGTTCCTGGCAATGACCTGCGGGCCTCGAACAAAGCGAAGTGCTGAGTGCGAGCATGGTGCATCCAGATGCAGGTACAGGCGGAAGTAGCACTCGGCGCCAGGTTTGATCACCACGCTGAAACGCCTTTCCAGCCTTCCCTGAGTTGCGCTGCTAGGACGTTGTCGATGGTCCGTCTGCACGTTATCGAGCAGATCCCACCATCGCCGCCTCTGGCGTCTTTGTTGCCCATGGAGAGCCCTCTGGGCGCGTCCGGACCTCAGCCGACCACTGCATTGGAGGACGTCTCTAGGCGTGACGCTGCGCAGCGCCCGTCCAGTGAGCGCGCCCACGAGTCGTTTCAGAGTTGCTTTTGGCTAGAGCAACACCAGGGTCACTAGCCGTTGACTTCCCCCAGTAGACCCGCTCAACGGCGAGTCAGCGAATAAGACCCGGTTATGCCGGCCTTTATGCAAGCGCTCAATCAAGGTCGGTCGTCAAGAGGGTTGGGCGATGGCTGGACCGCATCTGCAACCCTCATGCAGTCCAGAGTACTGCCATCGCAACCGTAATTTCATCCGCAAACCAACTTTCAGCATTCGCTTCGCATATCGTACGCTACGCGCTGGCAATTGTCGTGGCTTCTCATCGTCAACCGCGCTGGCGTGTAGGCAACTTGAGGTAAACTTTGGTCTGAGCAGCCGCCAACACGTTCGTTGATCCTTCGCAAGCGAGGGTGATGAGCATGACGAGCACACGGCCCGGTGGTCGAGCCACAACGCTTACTTATCCCAGTGTCACCTCGCCCGTGTCCTATTGATCGTGACTCGTCCACAAAGCACGATGCATCAGCGGAGTGGCATTTGCCCATTGTCGATGTGATGAATACCGAGAGCTTCCCATGGTTACGGTTGTCTGAAACTCCTGCAGCCTCGTCTTGCGCTTTCTCGGGATCGTGTTTCCACAAACACCGCTCTAGAGAAACTACGTTTGTCATGGCTGTGGCCTCGTCGGAGGAAACATCGTATTGGGACTGTGGAGTCCTGTACCTGCGTTAGCGGAAAACCCAAGGTGCCCTCCTGAAACCCATCCGCATTCCCTTCGCCTGCCTGAACGGGATCTGAGGGCGTCTTCCAATAAGCATGGACACTCGCTTCAATCATAGCGCTCTGCATCGAGCACAGTTCATAGGCACTGCTGTGGGAAGGTTTCTTGTTCCATTACTCTCCACAAGAAAAACAAATGGCTCGCGTGTCACTCTGTGGCGGATACTGCGTTCGAATGCGGATGTTATATGACCTTCCAGAGCGTCGTGCAGCCGTGGCCGTTAGTATCGTCGAAAACGGCTCTGTCAGGCCTCCTCTCTTGTGACCATCCGCATTGCAGTAAGCCGCCGAGCGATGTGATTGCACCTACGCGGTAGGAGTTGTAGAGGAATAGCCGGAAGGTTTAGCCTACATAATAATCCCCACCCGTCTATGTCAGCGGCTTCCTGCTCCAGGTCTCGAGTTTCAAAGAGGCTGTCAACAGCCATGATGCATCACGCCCAGCCTGCAGTCGAGCTTACCCTTTGCGCGGTAGCAGTCGTTGCGATGACCGCGGTGGTCGATCATTACGATTCCATGCTGCCTGCCGCGCTGCCGATGGAGAACGAAACGCGGCATTTCTTCTTCTCCCGCCGGTGAACAACGTGGGCGTGAATACACGAGCGTGAGGCGAGTTTGATGTCCATGATCTGCTTCCGCTGTGTCAGATTTCGAGGGTCCTGTATCAGGGTGGCGGGAGTTTCACGTTGATGGCTCGCAGAGGTCCCATGACATGCAACGTCGAAAGCTAATCCCTGCTTCTGTACCCTGTAGAAATGTGGACTTGGCAGTGTGCGATCATAAAGTGATGAAGGTCGCGTTGCGCTAGGCAGGTTCTGCGAGCGATATCCTAAAAGGTGGGTTGTTTTGGACGCCCTGCGCCTGATCACCATCAAAAGTGGACTGCATCGGGGAGAACATACCCAAAACTTCTAGTCGCGTTCCAACTTCGACTTCAGCTAGCCCAGTTCATGTTCAGGTACCTTTTGTATGTCCTGCATGATGGAAATAGAGTTCACCTAGCGGAAACGATTTGAAAACCTTGTCCCACCAGATAACGTTTACCTCGCGTGGAGTGAGGGGTACGCATTACAATCTTGCCAAACTTGATCATATGGGATCAGGAAGCTTAACGGGAGCCACCACGGGCACCACGGCACCTTTAGAGCCGTCCGTGTGGAGTACAATAGCGCGCATAATGCGCTAGAAGAGACTAGCGATTCTCCAGGCTGACCTTGCGACTTTGGCGATTAGGTGTGCCACTCAGATTTCGAGATGAACTCAGCTAGCATGTTCCTGGCCAGTGAAAAGAAATTGACAGTCCAGACTCCGTTCGCAAAATACGACCCTGGAATTGGAGAGCCGGTCACGGTTCAAGCGAATATCGCAAATCTCCCGGGCCAGAATACCGATGTGCTTCGAGCAAGTGCCGACAGAATTAGGTCGAGCGAGGGCTTCGTGAAAGCATGCTCGCGCTCAACATTGCGCGTGGGGCGATGAAAGCGTTGGAGACCCTGGGAACCTCCCCCGAACAGGGAACCCTTCTTCGCGGGCAGAAATCTTGATATCCGCATGAACAGCTGCACGCCGGTATACGCTGTAGACGCATGAAGACGAAGGCGAAGGGCCAGCCTCTGTGAACTAAATCGATCACACGAAGTCATCGACCCTGAGGTGTTCTTGTTCGTGTTGAACGACTGAAGGCTGAAAATTTGGGAACTAATATGCGTGCATTTCTCCTCCACCGCGGAGAAGCGACGCGTCGACTAAGTCTGGTTGTGAGGAAAAGCTCTAGGAGCAAATCAATGTTGGCATTAGTCGTGGTCAGATCAAGCGCGAAAGGGTAGCGTAGCTTCCCTTGGGCAGATCATTTGATATGTTCAGTGATTTGGCCGCTCAAAGCCCCAAGAAAGGCGTGCTGCTTCTGCAGTCGTTGAATGCCGGTCAACAAAGTAAGCCCTCGGAGATGGGCTACGCGAATGGTCGAACATGCTGAGGACCAGACGTAGCGAGCAGACCATCGGGGAAGCAAACAGCAGCCTACTTGATGGCATGTTCTGAATCAAGGAGTTTCCCTATCAAAGGCAAATCCGGTTTCATAAGCGAACGCATATATCTCTGTATACAGATGTTTAGAAATTCGCGTCGGAAGTAGGCGTGATTGGTATGAGCCGAAATGCACACAGGCGACGCGGCAATGCGAGCAGCAGTTGTAGACAGACCATACATGTGTCCGGGTGTGATCCAGTGCTGAATTGTAGTATTGCTGCGTTGATCAGAGTGAACAGCCCAAAATTGTTCACGACGGTTGGTGGCTAGCCTAGGCTAGGCCGCGCCTGAAGACTACATAGTGTACTCGACAATCGGCGGCCTGTATGCTGCTCAGAGCATAGGTCCGAGATGAGTCTCGTCTTAGGCTTGTAGCGGGTCGTGCCATTCGAGGTCTCAGTCGTACAGGTCCATCCTTCTTCGTCATTGGGAAGGAGCAGGACCTGTCTTTCTGAGTAAGTCAAATATTCACCCGTTGTACCCATCCCGTACCGCCATCGCGTATCTGGAATTTCGAGAGGCACATCTCCAACGGAATATGTTTGGAGAGTGAGGTAGCACGATGGTCGGAGTGATGCGCTGCTGTTGTTCGAATAAGAGTCGTTGGGCGAAGGACGAGGTCCCAACTTTAGCGCATTTCTGCGTCTTGGCGCCCCCTGGGCCAATCGCTCTTGTTGTATTTGCCGGTCAATGACGGCAACCCTCGAACGCTAGAACATCGCATATACCGCCTATTGCGGTTGCGAATCTACTAGCTACATGTATTCACAAACCACTGCGTTGCAGTCACTGTCGAGATGCAAGCTGCGGGTTATTCCTCGACTTCCGGGGTCCAGGCAGAGCCTTCCCCCTGTGTGCTCACGTGCCTCTCTATTTCCTTCATCCACCTACGCTACATGCGTCTCTAGCTCTTACAGAAGTGTGTCGAGACTACCGACCGTTCTGAGACACCAAGGTAGCAGTGCGGAGCACCGACTGGCCTTCACTACATCATCCTGCTGGAGATCGAAGGAGAAGCAGCCAAGCGAACCCGAGAAGGTCAGTCCACACGCTCTGTAACAGTATGCTTTGCAATGGCTAAAAAAGGTAGAAACCACTCTTGGAGACCGCAAAACTACTCAAAGCAAAGATCCCAACCCTCAAACATGAGCAAGTGTTCAATATACCTAATGTGCTCACCTTCTCCCGACTCTTCGCAACACCCGTCATCGGCTACCTAATAGTCAACGATCACCACCTATGGGCCTTCTCCCTGTTCGTCTACGCCGGCTTCTCCGACCTCCTCGATGGCTGGATCGCCCGCCGATGGAACCTCCAGACCGTCGTCGGCAGCGTAATTGATCCCATGGCCGACAAGTTCCTCATGACGACACTCGTATCCTGTCTTGCTATCAACGGCAGTCTCTCGCTTCCGCTTGCTACCCTTATCCTTGGACGAGATGTCAGTCTCGCGATCGCAGCGATTTACTTCCGGTACGCGTCACTCCCCGCGCCAAAGACGTTCGCGCGATACTGGGACTTCAGCCTGCCTTCCGCCGAGGTCCACCCTACGACCATATCCAAGCTGAACACGTTCCTCCAATTGATCCTCATTGGTACTACCATGGGTGTTGCTCTCCTGCACGATCCGTCGGCTGTGTCGTCCTCCGCTGGTGGTCTTCTCCTCTCCCTTCAAGACGCCATGGGCGGTCCCGACGGCGTGGCGCGCATGAAAGATGTCATGGGCGGAGTGGTAGCTGCGACGACGACGTACTCTGGGCTGAGTTACGCATGGATGAAGAGCGCAGTTAAGATTCTGGGCGACGATGAAGCGCTTAAGCGAAAGCAGGGCTTCAGAGGACGTATGATCATCGCAGGGACGTTCGGGAGCGTTGTAGCTCTCGCCGCAGCACTGTGGTATCGCGAGATGATGAAGAAAGGCGAGGAGAGTGAGAACATCAAGTACACAAACGCCTAACACACACATTGCTGCATGGCAATCACAAATCTCTCATGGTCTTCGATTAGCGTCGTCTGTATTATAGTTTCAAAGGGCAGCACGAGTTCGGTGCTCGTGCCATACACAATTATATTGTATCAAACATGCTGCGAAAGGTGTTTTTTTTTTTGTTCAATACAGCGTGCCGTGGTCTGTATACACTCGATTTGTGCTGTTCTCGACAGCATCACCACCTACCCCCAATCTCCCCTCAACAACAACACCTCAACATCGTTGTGCTCAACCGATACATTTAATGCTGAATTGTATCCTTGAGACACTCAGCATGAAGTTTTCTGTTCTTGAGACTGAGATTATCTTTTCGGACGATGCGTAGGATTTTTCGTGTGGTTTGCTACCCATTGAAACGAAGTAGAAATACTTGGCGCAACATCATTACGAGTCACGTCTTAGGGCTACATACATGGTACAGATATTGATAGTGCGATGCGACTTATACCGGTTTCGGCACGGAATTGAAGTATTTGTAGTATTCGAAGCAGCTGACGTCTAGCATTGGTTGCCCATGTTACTTCCCTCAGAGCTCAACACGGGTGGGATCTATTCTTTGAGTCGCCAACCCCTTTCTATCACTTCACACTTTGCAGATGAAGTACATCATCGCCGTCGTGCGAGCTACGCGCCCTCCTTCTCCTGCTCCTCATTCCACTTTACACAGTCCTCAAACTTGACACCTGAACCCCCAAAGATGTCTAGCGCGCTCCCAATTGTAAGATCCACCTTGCCGTTACTTAGCTTCTTTACCAACTCCAGATCCTCGAGGGACCGGCCCCCTCCTGCATACGTGACAGGAATGCTGCACCACTTCGCAAGCTTGCTGACAAGCTCGTGGTCAATGCCGCGCTGCAGACCTTCCACATCGGCGGCGTGGATGAGGAACTCGGAGCAGTAAGGCTCGAGGAGAGATATTGACTCTGTTGGCAGTGTCAGTGATGTGCTGATTATCCAGTGAGTGCGCACAACATACCTTGGGTGAGTTCGAATTCGGTGATGACCTGCCACTTGTTCGTGGCTACAAACCACTTGTCGTCCTTCCGACGGCAGGAGAGATCAATGACAAGCTTGTTCTTGTCATTGTCAAGGGCTTCGAGTATAGCCTTTAGGCGCTCCATGGAGAAGATGTTGTCGGGAAATAGAGCAGATGTGATAATTACCTACTGCATGTTCGATGAGCTTGGGTACAAACAAATGCATAGAAATTCACCCACTTTGTCTGCACCGTTTTCAATCCACTCGCGAGCATTGCTCTCCTTGATACCACCGCCAACCTGTATCTCGCCGCTCCACTTGTCCTGGGCTTCTGCTGCTCCAGCGGCTCTCCACGCAGCCAATGCGTCTTTCGCAGCCTTGTCATTGCCCGGTCCTAGCATGATGATATGCGCACCACTCAGGCGATACCGATGGTAGAGCTCGGCATAGTGGGCGGACGGCTCGGTAGATGTGAAGTTCGTCTTGAGCTCGGCTTCCGATGTGCCCAACGTACCGCCGACAATCTGCTTCACGTCCCCATTGTGCAAGTCTATGCAGGGGCGGAAACGCGTCATTGTGTTTTTGATGCGCAAAATGTGCGTCGACGCGTAGGAGGACGGCGGGGGAGGGGCAGGCCGGCCTTGGCGGGATTCTAGCTCCGCAGAATTTAGCGTGGCTCGGAACTTTTAGCACCCAAATCTTAGGACGACTACAAACGCTCAACTTCTGCTATACACACCGCTCCTCCCAAGCTACGAAAAAAAACATGACGCCTGCCCTGGGAAAACGAAAGCGCATTACGCGCGAAGAGCTCGAGCAGTCGTCGCGCGCGTCGTCACCCTCTTCGGCGTCGCAAAACTCCGAGGGAGAAGACATGCAGGCCCGCTTCCGCAGAGCCTTCGAGGCAAAATTCGCACCCTTGGATATCGAGCCCGTGAGGACCAAGATGCAGAGGGTGGAGGAGCCGGCAGAGGAGCTTGAGGAAGACTCAGATTGGTCCGGCATCAGCTCCGAGGACGAAAACGAGACCTCAAGTGGTGTACAAGTCTTTGACTACACCGCCGCCGACCTGCCGCGCACGAAAGGCTCCAAATCCGAGTACCGCGCATTCATGTCCGCAAAACCGCCCTCGCTAGCTGCCACGACCGCCGCAAAGCCAAGGTCCGCGCCGAAGCCTACGAAGGAGGACGATACTGTGGAGGCTGCGCATATGAAGAACGACCTCGAACTCCAAAAGCTGCTGCGCGAGTCAACTCTCCTCTCTTCGAACGCTCCTACATACTCTACCCGTACAGGCAGTACCCGCGAATCGAATGATGCGCGACACAAGTTGACGGATCTACATGTTCAGTCGTTAGGCGCAAAGAAGTCGATATTCACACAGAAAAGTATGCCCATGTCGCATCGCAAGGGCATAAGCGCGAAGACGAAGATGCGCGATGACAAGAGACGCGCCGAGGCGAAGGAGAACGGCATCACGTTGGAGAAGGAGCAGAAGGTCCGGAAATCAGTAGGCAAGAGAGACAGAGGCGTCGGAGCCCCAAGCGTGGGCAAGTTCAAGGGTGGAACTTTGACGCTGAGCAAGAAAGACCTGAGAGGTCTTACAAGCAGTGCAGGGGACAAGTCCAAAGGCAAGAAGGGAAAGCGGCGGTAAACAAAAATACGCATCTACAGTCACTGATGGCCAAACGAATAGCATTCAGCAGCTGGACAGTTCATTTGGCGCTGGCCGACTCTCGGCCTTGTACTAGTGTTTACCGCTTATTTGCGACCCCGTGTAAACGTAATGTTCACATCTAGCAACTGCGCGAGACGGAGCGCTACCCCCTGTATGGTCCACCAGATCAGGCTGTCCTTGCATCTTTTGGCCACGATTGCTTACTCGCGATCTGAGCGGTTGATGACCTCCCGGCGAGAATTGTATCTGGATAAACTGCTGTGCAACCGTCTGCATATTAACGCTCATCCAACCGGTGCTCGGCTGGCTGAGGCGAATTTGCACTGCAGCCTTCACCAAGTTGCACAGTCGAGTCCCGATGCTTCTCGACCTCTCTGACGTTGATAGAGATCAGCACGGTCCCATAAAACAAGCAAATTCTGTCGCGGTAGTAAAGTGCGGCAAAAGACGACCAACCGTGCTTACCTTGTGCGCACGTTGACTGGGGTCGCAATGGTCACGCGAAAACTTTAAATTAATCACCTTCACCACTCTCGCGGGCCACCACTTAGCCTTCAATAGCCAAGATCTACACTATCAGTCCCATCAATTGGATTAAGGTACAACCAACCTTGCCGCGAACGCACTGAAGCTTTACACGTCTCTTGGTAGAGTGCTTGACGGGACGTACTGCTACTTTCGTGCTAACAAACCTGAGGTGCAGCTTGAAGGAGACGGCAGGACTACCAGATGATAGCGTGGACAAGCAGAATTCTCTAGCCATTCTCCCCTTATTTGTAAAATGCTCGATGCCGCTTCAGCTTTCGCGATTGGATGTCGCAGAAACCAGCTCGAGCATACAAATACACACGTTCATCCACTCGTGAATCGGGCCTTTATTGTACCTCAACGCGGAGCCTTCTCCAGCACGTCGCTTACCCCACCGCTTGGCAGGAGTGGTCACGATTCCTCGAGCAGATCTAGCACTCCGTATTGGAGCGCTTGGTCCTGGCAACCTACCAGTTCGAGCATGGCGCTGCCTCATCCTCCCACTTACCCACAGCGATCAACTATGAGACTTGGCGGCTCAAGTCGGTTTGCATAAAGTGCTCCAAAAGTATTGGACGCGTCTGGGACAGGGCAAAGTAGCCTCAAATTGTCAGAGCATCCAGCCGTCCACTCAATATATCATCAGCGGCTATCATGCGTTCCATGTGTTTCCAGAAGAGCTTGGTTTACTGGCATCGCATCGTCTACCAGGTTATCGTCTGCTTGTGGGAGGCTTGTTTCAGCGAACCACAGTCACAGTGGCTACGCGCCTTTTTTTTTTTTTTTTTTTTGACACGCACCAAGACTACGGTCTTGTTCAGATTACAGCGAAGGTTGCATCTCGCGCACAACGACCGTCGTATAGGGTTTTGGGTGTTGCCATGCGAGTGCAGTACACTGTGATGTTATATCCAAACATCAATATGCTCAATGAGGCACCACTGAGGCCACAATGATACGAATCGAATGAGTCTCCGCCTTGATTACCTGGGACCGAAAGTCGAGTTCGGTACCGATGGTTACTGCTTGCCACTGATTGACTATATGCCGACATTTTATTCGTGGTCGGAACGCAAAATGAAGTCCCGTGGTCTGACATCTTAGATCTCCCCGCAGTGGGCTCAATGGGCGATATGGGGATCGCGGGGTACGATAATGCAGACTGCGCAGTCCCTCCGCATATGCAGGGTGTCTCAAGTTAATTCATCTAATACCCCAGGACAAGGTCTTACAGCCAAACAACACCGCTGGCTGCGATCTTCAGCAAGGCGCTGTGGAAGGATGACCAGCCATCCGGTCTAATGTTCCGCCTCGGATGCAGACTTTCGGCAGTGGAGGGCAGTCTAGCACCAAATGAGTTACCCTGAGTCAAAATACGATGTCGACTGGCAGCTATGGTTGTTGGAGTTTAGGTCATGCACATTCCGAGGAAGGCACATCTGGATTATTGATCTTCGCGGGACTTCATCAACATCATGGTCCGGATGTGGACCCTGTTATAGTGGTCATACATACTTCCGGTACGCGTAGCTATCTAAGCCTCATCATGGCACGGGGAATCAAGCACGAGCCATTGAGCACATTGTATACCGCAGATTACGGCCCTGCTTCCCGACGATGTAGACACCAGATGCAGCAAAGCGTCTCCATGTGCCTTTACATATCGCCACCGTCGCTATAAGAAGCGATGGTGCCCCAAGTCTTGCTTCGACACCTCACTGAAGTCGTATTCCAGTCGGCAACATGAAGGGTCTCTACTCTGCTGTGTTGGCTTCGGCCATCGCTGGCGCTTTCGCTGCCCCTAGCCCTGTTGAGCAGGGTCCCGTCACTGCACGCGCTGCTATGGCTGCTTGTGCCACGCCCGTCACCCTCAGCGGCAACCCCTTCAAATCTCGCTCCATCTATGCCAACAAGGAGTACTCAAAGGAGGTCATCGCTGCTGCTGCCTCCATGACCGACAGCGCCTTGGCGGCGAAGGCCTCCAAGGTTGCCCAGGTCGGAACCTTCCTGTGGATGTAAGTTTTCATGAGATCTAGGCTTGAGCACTGCTAACTCATCAATAGTGACACCCGGGCCCGTATCTCAGTCATTGAGGACAACCTCAAGGACGTTCCCTGCGATCAGCTCGCCGCATTCGTCATTTACGACCTCCCCGGCCGTGACTGCGCAGCCAAGGCCTCCAATGGTGAGCTCGCTGCTGGAGACATCACAACCTACAAGAGCGAGTACATCGACCGTAAGTTTGATTTCACTCAAATTCCCAGCAAAAATGCATCACTTACACCTCCCAGCCATCGTGGACATCTTCAAGAAGTACCCCAACACCGCCATCGCCCTTGTCATTGAGCCGGATTCGCTCCCCAACCTCGTCACCAACGCCGACAAGCAGGCCTGCAAGGACTCTGCCTCCGGCTACCGTGAAGGTGTCGCCTATGCCCTCAAGAAGCTCAACCTGCCCAACATCGCCATGTACATCGATGCCGGCCACGGCGGCTGGCTCGGCTGGAACGACAACCTCAGTAAGCGCTCTCCCCTCCCACCCCCATTCCCTCTCTAACATCCCATCCAGAGCCTGGCGCCAAGGAGCTCGCGACCGTCTTCAAGAACGCTGGCTCCCCCAAGCAGGTCCGCGGCATCAGCACAAACGTTGCCGGCTGGAACGCCTGGGACCTCTCGCCTGGCGAGTTCTCCAAGGCCACCGACGCGCAGTGGAACAAGTGCCAGAACGAGAAGACGTACGTCGAGACCTTCGGGCCTTTGCTCAAGGATGCCGGCATGCCCGGCCAGGCCATCGTCGACACGGGCCGCAACGCCGTCACGGGTCTGCGCAAGGAGTGGGGCGACTGGTGCAATGTCAAGGGCGCTGGCTTTGGTGTCCGTCCGACAGGCACGACTGGGTCGTCCTACGCCGATGCGTTTGTGTGGGTTAAGCCCGGTGGTGAGAGCGATGGCACGAGTGATACGAGCGCGACCCGCTACGACAGCTTCTGCGGCAAGGACGACGCGTTCAAGCCTGCGCCGGAGGCTGGGCAGTGGAACCAGGCCTACTTCGAGGACTTGATCAAGAACGCAAAGCCGTCTTTCTAAGCGCGTGGGGCGGTGCCAACAGTGTATATAGGATGGGATGGGGCGGTGGAGAGATGGTGGGGAGAGCCAAAAAGCTATCACCGCGCTGTGCGGTGCTTTATTCTTGTCTATAGCTTGCAATCTATCTCTCGTTGCGGACGGCATGGCTTGCGATGGGTCTTAAATCGTGACGTCGTTGGCGTGTCTTCTGGCCGGCTCACTGCGCAAACTACGCAGGCGTGCGACATGCACAGAAGACATCTCCGTCCCGACGTACACTATCCGGCGCCACTACCTCGCGCCTCACTCTTGGTCGCATTTTCGGTTGACCAATCACGCGTAAGATAGTACGAGACCCCCCGCGTTCTCTTACAATGCTTCTTCCCGTGCGAAGTGAACATCGCTTCATGTAGCAAGAGCTCCGGTAGTGGCTTCAAGAGAGAAAGCGTTGCCGGGCCATAGAACGTGTGGGTTGGCGCTCCCAGAGGGTATAAGCTGACATGATGTCGCCCACTGCTTCGTAGGAGAACGAACAGGACTGCCAAGGGTGGGACATTGGAGATGTTTCGAACTTTTTGCTAGGTGGGACACATCTATTTATTACTTGTGGTAGTCCTGTATTGCCATCTCTTCGATCCCTTTTACTACTGGTACGTTTCCGGAGCGTTAAAAGTAAAGCCCGGGTTTCCGCTACGTTGTCAGCTCCATCCTACGTCCTCGACTTGCTCCTTGACAGCAATGGATCATGCCACGAAACCTGGCATAGATCTGGTCTAGCCTGCCTGGCCCCACGATCAACTTGTCGATGATTTCGAAGATCTTCTGTTCGATTAGTAAAAGAGTGAAGGCCGACAGACATTTCTTCGACTAAAACGATCACACCGCCAAGATGAGCCGGAGGGAGCAGCACCTCTCGCACGATCCGGAGACGCTCACAGTACGGATGAGATCAGAAAGCTACGATATGCCAATTGTAGGAGCCGCTCAATGGAACGATCATCTCGCTAAGCGTTTCCGGTGTTCTGGAATAGCTGGTAGTAGTTTCATTTCTCAAAGTATCCTTTGCGTATCGTTGCTGAGCCTCCCGAGCCAAATCAGAACTTGCGAACAGCTCTGATAGATCGAGCCCATGCGCCGGACTTGGTGGCCTGTCTGCGTCACATTTTCTTGATATATACATACAGCATGCATCCATTATTTGGGACGCTCTTCCCTCTGGTACTTACGATAAGCAACCATGAAGTGATATAGGCTCCCACCCACAGATAGTATGCTCCCGTTCACTTCGATATCGTGCCTGAGATTTGCAGGATGCCAGATGTGAGACAGCGAGCGGTATTTGTAGCTAGCTGTATTTATGATTATGGGTCGCATGCTACACTGTAGAACACTGCCTTTGGCCCCTGAATGATATTCAAGACGCGGCTAGAGTTTGTGGTGTGGTCGAGTGGCTCAAACCGAAAGGCTGGAATCGACATTGTTGAAGAGATGCAGGCATGCGTCGCTATTCAAACTAGACAGGTGGGGACCGCGATCCTGGGGTGGATGGGCTTCTATTTGGGCACGTTCATTCAAACCCCTGAGCAATCCCATGGCTCCTAGTGGCAGGACCAACAAGGCTGAAGCTCGCCAAGATCAGGTGTGCCTGCCGTGGTTTGATTGGTAAAACATCTGATCCCATCTAGTATACGCGCGAGTGTCGGCCCTCCGTGACACTCACGCAAACAACTGGGTGATATCCAAAATGATCATGACGGATTCATTTTTCCACTATCGTAACCTTCCAGCGACCTCACACCATCTCTCTTTTTCATCCTCAACCAGATTTGAACACCGCCTACTCATGAATGTCAACATCTAATCCCTCCCCAGCCTCAAAGAACTCAAATGCCTTCTCAGCAATGTTCTTCGGGTTCAGGTTCTTGTTCTCGGGTGCGACGACCCCTCCAACATTGATCAGACCGGCGTGCACGCCGCTCTCCCCGAACGCCAGGTTGAAAGAATGCACCATGTTCCGCTGGCTCGCCTTGGCGAGGCCCAGAGAGAGCAGCTGCGGGATGGGGGCGCGGGGGAGGAAGCTGTTTGTGACGAGGAGGCTGGGCTTTGAAGAAGAGTTCGACCTCTTGAGTTGCTGGAGGCGCGGGATGGCCCATTGGGCGATGGTGTAGAGGGAGACGTTTGTGGTCTGGGGTAAGTTCCGTCAGCCAACCTCTCCATATAGATGAAGGAAAGTAAGAAGGGGAGGATACGTACCTTAAAGTCCTCCTCGATCTCCTCAACAGAGACGTCCAGCACCCCACTCGGCTTTATTCTCGCGGCGTTGAAGAAGACGACCTCTAGGTCCTCGTCTTGGGTCAGGTCGTCGATTTTATTGAGGACGCTGGGGATGGAGGGGGTGTCGGAGAGGTCTAGACGCAGCGTGTCGACTTTGACGTTGGGGCCAACTTTGGAGACGAAAGGAGCGTCTTCGGCAGAGAGACGCTGCTCGTTGCGGGAGAGGAGTATCACGTGGTTGAAGCCATGGAGGGCGAATTCTGCGGATATGTGGTTTCCTATGCCGGGGCCCGCGCCGAACGTTACAATGGTGCGGGTTGGGGCCATTTGCAATGGTGGAAGCAGGTAGATTTGGAAAGAGGTAGAATCGGTGGAATCGGTGGAATCGACGGAATCGGCTGAAGAGTGCACACTGTTGTCGAGCTGTAAAAGACCCTTATATAGTCGTCCCAGCTCGCGGAGTACCTCCGTTCATCGCCATTTCGTCAGCGCCCACCAGGTGGGATCTAACACAAGTCTCTCATAACCCCGCCGAAGCTGCGCTTACGAAGCCGACCAGTTTATAACTCGCAGCACGGCGCGCATCAATGTAGCCATAGAATTGTCCCAAAAGAGGAACAGCATACAACTGCATTTGTCATAGTGAAGGGGGTGTCAGCGTGCCTGCCGCGCTAACGCCTAGTGTCCGCCTTGGTCGCGCCTGCCTGGTTATGTCACCACCCATTTCTCTTACTGCCGATGCACGGCGTCTAGTAATCCACCCACGCCAATTGTCAGCCATGGACTTTGACGACGAGGCCATGCGCCAGCATGTGCCAGCCTCCTTCGGGAAGCAAGATGGTTCCGTAAACGTCGAGGCGCAGATTGAGCGGTGTCGGCGCAAAATCGTGGACGAGAGCAAGGCGCAGGCTGCGGCGGAGCTGGATTCGGACAAGGACAGCGACGACGATGATAGCGATAGTGATGAGGATGAAGACGAGTTCCCGGTCTCGCACGAGCTCATCATCAAGACGCACGATCGCGCTGTTACAACAATCACGCTCGATCCGTCGGGCACGCGCTTGGTGACGGGCTCCAAGGACAGCACGCTCAAGCTGCACGATCTGTCCGCACTGACGCCCACGACTATCCGCGCATTCAAGACGGTCGACCCCTTCGAGACGAAGCCCTCGGCAGCGGCAGAGGCGCATGCGATACACCAGGCCATCTTCGGCCCGCACTCGGGTGGTCAGTTCCTGGTCATCACGGCAACACCGCAGGCGAGGTTGTTCAACAGGGATGGCGTCATGCTCAAGGAGTACGTCAAGGGGGACATGTACCTGAGAGACAAGCTCAATACGAAAGGACACACGGCCGAGGTTACGAGTGCAGCATGGCATCCGTACAACAGGGATCGATTTGTCACGGCTGGAACTGATAGTACGGTGCGAATATGGGACGTCAACAAGAGCTTGCAGCAAGAGCAGGTTGTGGTGCACAAGTCGAGGGCGGCCGGCTCAGCAGGCTTGACGAGGATGACTGCGATTGGATGGGGCGCGGCGGGAGAGGGCAACAAGAGTGTCATCGTGTCGGCTGCGCTGGACGGCAGCTTGGTAATGTGGGGTGGGGAAGGACCGTATCATCGACCGCTTGGGGAGATTAGGGATGCCCATGCCAACGATACGTGGACGAGCGGGCTGGACATCAGCGCAGATGGTCGATTGGTAATCACTCGAGGCGGCGACGACACCATTAAGCTCTGGGATACGCGCAAGTTCAAGACGCCCGTAAACACAACATCACACCCTTCGACCTCTTCCCAGTTCCAAACATCAAATATCCAGTTCGCACCAAACTCTGCGAGCGTCATCACCGGATCAGAAACGGGACATCTCCACATCCTCAACCCTGCGACGCTCCGACCGGAGCTCGTAACTCCAGTTACGCCAGGCTCGCCATTGATCACGGTCAACTGGCATCCCAAGCTCAACCAGATCTTCACGGGCTCAGCCAACGGCCAAACAACCATCTTGTTCAACCCCAAGCTCTCCACCGCTGGTGCCCTTACCATCCTCAGCAAAGCCCCCAAGAAGCGGCATCTGGATGACGACCCGCACTTCACGACCGACATGGACCCGCTAGGCATGTCTGGCGACGGTATTGATGCTGGAGGGAAACCGGGTCCTACACCAGGCTCGTTTGCCGCACGGCATCCCACCGTGGGTCTCACGGCGTCGGGCAGAAGCAGAGACCCAAGGAGACCGCACATCCCCCAGACTACGCCCTTTGCTAAGAGCACGCCGACTGAGAATTATGTGAGGGACAACATTGAACTGAGCAGCATGCGGGACGAAGATCCACGCGAGGCGTTGCTGAAGTATGCGCCCAAGGAAGGCGAGAAGAACGTCTTTACGGGCGCGTGGGAGAAGACGCAGCCGAAGACGATATACAAGGACTACGATAGCGATGAGGATGAGCCGGATGCTAAGAGGGCGAAGCGATGAGCAGGAGCCTGCATTTACGTCGCTCAAAAGTATTGCATTGCTGGCGTTGGATTGAGATAGATATACCCATATTCAGGCTTTACATATCAAAGTCATCGGAGAAGTGTCCGTCATTGTGTCAACACTCTTGTTCCATTGGTGTTCGTTGGTCTGGTGCGTACGGCGCGCGAACATGTGACGCGACGCGACGACGGCTCTGTGCTTGGCGGCAAGGGGCACTCCCAGCGCCGAAAGGTTGACGCGACTCGCACCCGCACCTCAACTACCGCCGCCTACCCCACACTCCCTTCGCCGTCACTAACGCGCTCGCCCTCCAAAACACATTTACGCGACCCAAATCCTTCCATCGCCCGCCCGCCAGAATGTTCGCCCGCACCTTCCGCGCCGCCGCGCCCAGCGCCAGCCGCGCCTTCAGCACCACGCCCCGCGCGTCGCTCGCGCGCATGTCCATCGTCGGCCGTCTGGGCGTCGCGCCCGAGGAAGTCACCGTGTCCGGCGACCGCACGCTCGTGCGCTACGTGATTGGCACCTCGTACGGCAAGGGCGACAAGGAGAAGACGAGCTGGTTCCGTGTGGCTAGCTTCGTCGAGGGCAAGCAGAAGGAGTACCTCCTGAGCGTGCCCAAGGGGAGTTTGCTGTATGTGGATGCGGATGCGCGGATGGATAGTTATACCGATGCCGAGGGGAACAAGAGGAGTAATTTGAGCTTGATTGCGCGTAAGTTTACAACGCCCAAGGAAGGATGAAGAAAGCATGCTAATGGGATACAGGCAACTTCGATGTCATTTCCAAGCCGAGGAACGAGGGTGTCGATGTCAACGAGGAGGGCCTCGTCCAGGAACACGGCTCTGGTTAAACTACGCTTTCGCACGCTTTCACTTTCCAATACCACGCGTATGACTTGTAATTGAGGGGTTTGAGATTGGTGGTATCGCTTGCTGAGCTTTGCGCCATAGAGAACGCAGCGGTAGGAGTACTCAGCGGACTCCGGTGGGCTGCAGGGGAAATGGCGATCGAGAGGGAATATTGTACTGCGGGCTTTTTGTACACTACATGTGCGAGTTTCATATGTATCATCTCCACTCTAGCTGGGGCTATGTTTGGATGTTGGATGGCGTTGCAATGGACAAGCTTGCGTTGCCTATCTGCGGTATCTTTACTTGAAAATCCAGACCTCATATACCTGCTAAGTGCAACTACAGCGATGAAGATCCTGTGGGCTTTTAGCTCTCATCAACCGACATCATCTGAGTGCGAATGGTGACTCGGCTTGATGATGTATGATCGAAAAGTCGCCACGTGACCGCGTGCGGCGAAATCCTCACCTCCGCGTGCCCCAACTTTTCCCACGCATCGCATTTCCCCCGCCCACCACACCTCCCACACACAATGCAGCGATCAGTCCCCCAAAGGGCGCGCATGCTTTGGGGCCACGCGCCCCGCGTCCGGTCCATCAATCGCGCACGCAGGACCTTTGCTACGGTCTCCGGCGCTGAAAAGTAGACCCCCTACCTGCTCCTCAATTGCGCACCACTGACCCGGTACAGCCCCTACGATGTCATCGTCATCGGCGGCGGCCACGCCGGCTGCGAAGCCTCGGCCGCCGCAGCCCGCTCCGGCGCCCGCACAGCCCTCATCACCCCCTCAGTCCACAATCTCGGCGTCTGCTCGTGCAACCCCTCCTTCGGTGGCATCGGCAAGGGCACCATGCTCCGCGAGATCGACGCGCTGGACGGCGTTGTCGGGCGCATGGTCGACAAAGCGGGAGTGCAGTTCCGCGTGCTGAACCGGAAGAAGGGACCCGCGGTGTGGGGACCGCGTGCGCAGATCGACAGGAGTCTATACAAGAAGTACATGATGGAGGAGATGCTGGCGTACAAGGGGCTGAGCGTGGTGGAGGGGAGCGTGGCGGATATCATTGTGGATCGGACGGGGGAGGTGGGGGGTGCCGGTTCACGGTATGGGAAGATCACTGGGGTGCGGCTAGAAAGCGGACAGGTTATTCCCGCGAGCCAGGTGGTGATTACGACGGGGACCTTTCTGGGCGGCGAGATTCATATTGGGATGGAGGCGTATCCGTCTGGGCGGATGGGCGAGGCGGCGACGTTTGGACTGAGCAAGTCGTTGAGAGAGGCTGGATTTACACTGGGGAGGTTGAAGACGGGGACTCCTCCGCGTTTGGATAAGAAGACTATCAATTTTGGGGTGCTGGAGGCGCAGGAGGGGGACGACCCGCCCACACCGTTTTCCTATCTGAACGAAAGGGTGCAGGTTGAGAAGCAGCTGCTCAACTACGAGACCCGGACCAACGAGGCGATGCACGAGATTGTACGCCAGAATCTGGACAAGTCGATTCACATCCGGGAGACGGTGAAGGGACCGCGGTATTGCCCATCTCTCGAATCCAAGATCGTGCGCTTTACGGACAAGTCGTCGCATATCATATGGCTGGAGCCCGAAGGCTTCGACACCGACGTTATATACCCCAACGGCATCTCCATGACCATGCCCGCGGATGTACAGGACGCGATGCTCAAGACCGTCAAGGGCCTCGAAAATGTAAAGATGTTGCAGCCCGGCTACGGCGTCGAATACGACTATGTCGACCCGCGGAACCTGCGCTCCTCACTCGAGACCAAACGCATAGGCGGGCTTTTCCTCGCGGGCCAAATCAACGGCACCACGGGCTACGAAGAAGCAGCCGGCCAGGGCGTCATCGCCGGCATCAACGCAGGCCTTGCGGCACAGGGCAAAGCTCCTATGGCCTTGACCAGAGCGGACGGCTACATCGGCATCATGATCGACGACCTCATCACCAAGGGCGTGTCCGAGCCCTACCGCATGTTCACCTCACGCTCTGAGTACCGCATGTCCGCGCGTGCCGACAACGCCGACGCACGTCTGACCGCCCTCGGCCGCGCCGCGGGCGTCATCAGCGACGCGCGCTGGGATGCCTTCTCCCGCGAAGCCCAGGACATCGAGGAGCTCACCGCGCTCCTCCAGGGCACCACCATGAATTGGAAATCCTGGGCCGCCCACGGCTTCACCGTACGCTCCGACGCCACCAAGCGCTCCGCATACGACCTGCTCCGCATGGCCGACACGACGCCTACTAGCCTGACCTCCGTACTCCCCGCGATCAACAACTTCAGCGAGAGAATCCGGGCGCGCGTCCACATCAACGCTACCTACGCGCCCTACGTCGCGTACCAGACCGCGTCGCAGGCACGCTGGCTGAAGGACGAGGGATTGCGGTTGCCAGAGGATCTTGATTATGAAAGTATCTTTGGACTGAGCTTTGAGGAGAAGCGGGCATTGGAGGTGGCGCGGCCTGAGAGCGTGGGCATGGCACGCCGCATCGAAGGCGTGACTCCTACGGGGGCGTTGAGGCTGCTGCAGTTTGTGAGAGGCGTGGGAAGGGAGGAGGGGCGCGAGAGACAAAGAGTAGAAGTCGAGGAGAGGAAGAAAGCTTTTCTGGATGCGGCGGGTGAGGTTGCGTGATTTGGAGGCGGCATGCTTACTTGCACCGGGCGGCGTTTTTCGAGGGATACCACTTATCTTGGGCGGGGACGTGTTGTACGCTATGTATCATATGTATATATCATAATCATGAGAGGCTGACTAGACTTAGATGTATTTATACCCACGCCGATTCTTAGATTCCATGTTTTGAGGTTACTAAGATGCAGAAGCAGACGACACCCTCCTTGATAAGGCAGCGCATTACTTCGCCTGCCTTGTGAACTTACAGCGCTGGCCTAGCAGCACTTCAGTCCACGATACGCTATAGCTCTCACGATGCCTAGCTTGATGGCCACCATGGAACGCTATATTGATGTCCACTTCAAACTCGCGTATGGTCTCATGGCGGCGGTAGTGCTCTCGCTGATCCGCTATGCCGTCACCTCAGCTCTGTTCAAGCGCGCAGCTCGCAGCACGAGTGACGCGAACACGCCGCCTATTCTTCCCCACTTTCTCCCGCTCGTCGGAAGCATCCCGTGGCGGTATTCCGGAGCCCCATAAAGGTCTCTTGATATCTGGGTAAGCAGTGCACACTCTCGTACTCATTGTCGCCGACGTGCTTCAGCACTGACCAAGCGCAGCTACTACGCTACCTTGACACATCCCTTCTGCATCAAGCTTGTTCACCAAAGAGGTCTATATCATACAAGGCCAGGACCACGTAGTCTCTCACCTCGCCCAAACCTCTACCTCAAACACCACCTTCAAAGCCTCCTTCCTGCGCCACGCATGCGCCATGTCGGAGCACGCCGTACAGTGATTCGGCAGCGAAGACGAAGAGGCGGCCAAGTACTTCGAGCGCAAGTATCTCGCTGCCCCGCCGCTGTACGCGTTCCAGCTGTCGCAGCGATTCGAGACGAACCTCGCGAGTCGCATCAGGGCACACCGCGCTTTCTCTTCTCCCGAGGGAACGGGAATGGAAGACTTCAGCGAGTTTTCGTCTACCATGTCACCGCTGCATTGCTTGATGCCATGTGCGGCCCATCCCTCCTCTCCGGCAATCCCGGCTTTCCCAGGACCTTTGGCATCTTCTGTGATAGCCTCCCAACCTACATGAAGCGTGTTCCGCGTTTGACGGCACGCAGGGCGTATGCAGCGCAGGATGAGTGCGTCGAGGCGGTGCTAAATTGGCAGACGTGGTCTGCGCGGACCTTCAACGCGGGTACAACGCCGATGGACGAGGGCGGTAATGATGGGATCTGGGGCTCAACGTTCTTCAGGGAGAGATACAAGACGTTTATCCATGATATGGGGTTTGACGCGAGGGATATGGCGGCTATGGAGTTGGGGTTCTTGTTTGGTTGAGTGGCTGCGTTCTTTAGTGACTCTAACGTAATCACAAGGGGGACCAGCTAACATATGGAGCATGAGTCAGTGCGAGTGCCAACATCACAGGAAACATGTACTGCTGCGCCATCGAAGTCTTCAGGGACAAAACTCTTCTCGAGTCCATCCGCAGAGAAGCAAAATCCTGCAAAAGGGAGAATCACATCGGCACTCGATTCGACATCAATAAGTCAGCCCAGCAGCCTCTCCTCCAAGCTGTGTTAGCCGAAACACTGCGCCTGAGATGCCACAACATGTTCATCCGCAAGACGACGGAGGCGATTGACATTTTGGGGGTGGGTGATACCGAACGAGCGCTTCGTAGTCGCATGGTCGACACCAGGTCTGTTTCCCCCGCCGATCCAACATCCGTTCAAAGCAAACTGACCCGAGTTGTCACCACAGGCCAAATGAACTCGCAAACCTGGGCCGACCCGCACGACAGCCACCCCGTGCCCACCTCTTTGCCCGCCATTTCCTCCAACACTCCGCCCCCAACGCCCCACCATCGTTCCCCATAGCAGGCAAGGAAATCTCATGGCTCCCGTTCGGCAGCGGAGCGAATCTGGACCCTCCGAAGTGTTGATATCTCGCCATACGAGCCGCCCGACCCCCCATTCTCTACGCGAGCTTGAACCCCGGTACCTGTGTCTGAAACACACCCTCTGGGTCATAATTCCTCGCCACATCGCTCAACCTCCTCCTCGTCTTCTCTGGCAGACCCGAAAATGTCTGATCTTGCACGCCTGCAATGTTGCCATAGGTAAACGTGACGAACGCGCCAGCGTCGCGGGGCTTCTTCTTCAGCTTCTCTGCAATGCTGTCGGCGATGGCATGAATCCGCGCAGAGGCGGAGGGATCCGACCACCGCATGCAGATGCTGCACGCTGTTTAGGTTTTAGAGGGTAAGTATGCAGCTGGCGATATGGATGAGAGGAGGGAAAGAAACTTACATAAGTACGGCTCGGCCTCCTCACCAAGCGCCATCACTCCAGTGCCTGCGGCGAGGTTCCGCCCCGCCGGGAGCCACAGCAGCGCCGCCATGGCGCTGGGATCAGCGTCGAACAACCCGGAGGCTTTTACTAACGCGTAGTACGTAGAGTATATGTCCAGCGTCAACTCCGCACTACCGCGGTAGCTGAACGCGCGGAACAAGCCCCTGTTTTGAGCCATCAGTATGCATTCTTCCGCAAGTCAGGACGATAGCATACCTCTTGTCATACCCAACATTCACTTTGTCGTCCTCTGCGAGGTCTCTTTGTGTTGTCATCCTCGTTCCATCACTCACAGCCTCGATGTCTAGAAAGCCCTTCAACGCGACTGGGTTCTCCACCTCGGCTGCATACGCCAGGGAAAGCACAAATAGTGCGTCACCAGAGCCACACGTTTCCGGACTGTAAAAAGTAATCACCTCCACATGCGCCTTCTCGTCGACGTCCCCCTGGATCCCCTCATGCAGCGCGGTAAATACCTGCAAAGCCGTGAGCTGCGTCCCAACTGCCACCCTTACGCCTCCCCACAATTTCTTCAGCTTCCGCGTGCGCATCGTGAAGCTTGTGACAACCCCAAAATTCGCACCGCCGCCTTTTAGCGCCCAGAATAGGTCCGCATTCTGCGTAGCATTCGCAGTGACGACGATACCGCTCGCAAGCGCGACTTCGAACTCCGTGACAGCCTCGCACGCCCACCCGACGCTTGCGTAGAAATGGCTGACCCCGCCATACAAGAGGAACCCGCCTACCCCGATGGGGCGGCTGCGGGCGCCGGGTACGACGAGCCCATGGGGAGAGAGGGCGTCGTAGATGCGGCCCCAGGTGTTTCCTGCGCCGAACTTTACTAGAGGCGTTTCGCCGTCCTGTGATGGAGAGGGAAGGAGAGAGACGTAGGTAAGGCGGGATAGGCTGATCAGGATGGAGGGCGAGGTGTTGAAGCCGGGTACGGGCATGTAGCCGCCGCTTCGGATGGCGAAAGGCGTTTTTGTGTCACTCAGGACTTGGAGAATCTTTCTGTTGCATCGTTAAGTTCTCGTCCTCGCTCCAGTTTTGAAATGGGAATATGCGGAAGTTGTCATGTGATGGAGGAGAAATCGAGGTAGACGATAGAAAGCATTGTGCACATACGCTGTCTCATCCGCATCTCCGGGCGCCACAATACCCGCCGGTCTCACATCCGCATTGTCCTGGTTCCAGAATCTCCCGTTCTCTTCTTCATATCGCGGCTCGCCTGGGCGGAGCACCGCGTGCGGGAACGCCCTTGACAACGTTTCAATAGCCTGCGTGTGCAGGAGGTCCCCCATCATGTTCCTGTGGAAAAGATATAGCGTATAAACCCTTCGCACCCGGTGTTCGCCGAGAGTAATAGATGTGCGAGTCGTGTGACCGAATTTGTGCTCATGCATCGCCTGTTCGCAAGCCCATTATATATGCCTTCGCAAGATCCGTCAATTCCAACCATTCTGAGAATCCAAGTTGGCGAAGTTCAAATAAGGCTTAGAAACTGTTTACCACGATTGTGCTAGGTCAATGTCAGACTTCTACTGCTGACGGGGCATCCCGGATGCTGTCAGCGCTATCGTACACCATTGCCTAAACGCGTACTTCTTTGGTCGGGGGAGTTGGTAAGCGCCATGAAGTGCATGTTGCTCGGGGATTTACGACATGTGAAGAAACAAGAAACCAGGATGGGATACACAGGTGCGGGCCAGGGAACCGCACAAGGATACGGTACTACTTAGCCCCGTCAGCGTTATCCCGTCCGACGGATGTGTTAGGCAACGTTACGGGTGACTTAAGCTCCCACAGTCAAATAATTGAACAAGTGGTCTATATGGACCAGGATATCATCTGGAATCGAATACAAATGACGATTCTAAAGTTGATTGGGCATGGAGTTTGCCCAGGTAATGACAGCTTGAAAAGGTCGGGCTCTAACTCTAATGAGCTAAGCGTAGCCAGAGTGAAGTTGCAGGCCTCCCCGCATCTTGGAACTACCAAACCCATCACTTCATTGCAAAGGCATCGCACATTCTAATATTGTAGTCTTTTCGGGGATTGAACGAATTTTCCAGCATGTCCGCAAAGTTGACCAAATTCAAAGTGGCAGCAGCGCACGCAGCACCAGTGTTCATGAATAAAAAAGCAACAATCAGAAAGTGTATCTCACTCATTGAAGAAGCCGCCAATGATGAAATCAGACTCCTCGTCTTCCCCGAGACCTTCGTCCCTGGGTATCCTGTGAGATGACTTGCGTTGCTTCGTGCCTCACAGTTACTCACCCTTCGCAGTATTTCATCGAGTGCTACCCTCCCCTTAGGCAAGTGGGAGCACTGGCGAAATATGCCGAAGAAAGCGTTGTAGTGGAGCCTAACGGAGAAGACATGAGCGGCCTTCAAGATGCCTGCCGACGCACCGGCGTTGCCATCAGCCTAGGCATTTCCGAACGTATCTCCGGAGGGCATACGCTCTTCAACTCCCAAGTGATCATCGACAACGACGGCACCATCTTAGGCGTCCACAGAAAACTCCAACCCACGTATGTTGAGCGCATTCTATGGGCCCAAGGCAACGGAAGCACCTTGAAGAACTGGCCGCTTTCACTTGGGTACAATATTGGTGGTCTGGCTTGCTGGGAGCATACAATGAACGGAGCGCGGCAGGCATTGATCGCGCAGAATCAACATATCCACGCTGGCGCGTGGCCAGCGCTTTCCACCATGTCTGGATTCGAAGAGGTCGCCGATGCGCAGATCGAAGCACTCATGAAGGCACACGCTCTCACGGCTCAGGTCTTTGTCATCACAGCGTCTAACTATGTTGACGAATCGTGCCTAGAATGGATGAAGGAGAACCTGGGAGAACAAGAGTTTGTCAAGGCTGGGGGCGGTTGGTCGGCTATCATACACCCCTTCTGCGCTTTCATCGCGGGTCCGCATACCGGGAGCGACGAGAAATTGATCCAGGGTGAACTCGACTTCTCCTCCATGGGCGCAGTAAAGGTCTGGATCGATGCAGCTGGTCATTATCAGAGGCCGGAAATATTGGAGTTCAAGTTCGATAATAAACCGTATTGGGCTGACGAGAAGTCGGATCGTTTCAAAGCCCAAACGAGGAATCGAAGCAGTCCGGCCGAAGATAGCACCACGAGTCCTTACACCGGCATTTTGGATGAATGACTGAATCAGGTAGCTAGCCGATACATAATTACGCAATTGATGGTAGCAAAATGACAGGATCATAATCTCAAGACAATCCTCCTTTTGAGCAAGTTCCTCCTTCCTCTACCTTCTGACCTTCCCCGCCTCCTCTATCCTTTTCATCAAGCTTTCTGCAAGGAGATTATCTTCACTATCATCATCTAAAATGATCCTACTAGCCCTCAAAAATGTCTTCCTGAATTTATTCCATTGCTGTTTATGCGCAGCCGTTTCACCTTCCGGCCTTTGGTAGAATGAATCATTCTTGCAGAACGCCGCACAGGCTTTCTCAACACCTGCTTCGTCCATAGAAAGCAGCTGACAACAATTGAAATCAAGGATCCGGAGGCTGTGTGGGCCCAAGTAGTTAGACTGAAAGATGGACGGGGCTGACTCTGCCCTTGGAGGGGCAGGACAAACCCAACGTCGTTTGCGTCGATTCGTGCACCCCAGTGCATCATCGCAAGAGCCTCTGCCATGGCTTTCATGTAGGATCTAGCATCAATGCCAAGCGCCTCCATTTGATCGATATGCAGAGGAACGTTTCGGGGACTGAAGCGCCGAAATTGCGATTTGTTTTCTTTTCTTTGGCTGTGTCGACGTCGACATCCTAGATACGGCCGAATTAGGCACGAGTCGTCGCCGGCATTGGGTTTTACGAACTGGGGTAGTCGAGGGCTGTCAGCACGGAATCGATCCACGATTTTATCGCTGATAAACCATGGGACTTTTGGAATGCGCTACTAGATGATCGCCATACAAGCGGAGTAGCCTGCTAGGAATTGATGCGAACGATCATACCACCATGAATCTGTTGCTTGGAGTAATGCATGACATTGGGATATGGTGCCCAGCGATGAGGGTGAAACATATCAGAAGTCTGAACATGTCTTCCAAAGAGAAGAAAAAAGAGAAGATATCAATGTAGGATCAATGTTCAGAATTACCGTACAGGAAGGTTTGTATGGTTCAAGCGTGCTTGGCGCTTTGACCCAATGTTGATTGGCTTGCTACCTCGTATTCATCGTACAAATTGGCGTCTGGCCTCCAGCGGGGTAGCTTTGTAACGCAGTAAGCTACTCGCTTCTCTTAAATGAGCCCCGCTCTCCATTCACAGCTTTCGAGTACCTACTCTGCAAAAGCGCTGTAGTACTCTGTGACGGGCTACGTCGTCCAAAGTCCGGATTGTCGGGTTTGACAATTTCCGCCTGAGTTAGAAGAGACAGCCACGCATTGTAGAACGCTTACTTCATCCCGATGCAACTTGCAGATCCGACCAAGGCCCTAGTTATCAAGGGAAGTGCAAGGCAACATGTTGTGTCACTCGTGTGAGGGCTCTCTCCAGCGACTCGACCTCTCGCTCGCCCAAGAGGTCGAACTTCACGCTGGTTTCGACAGCCTTATCACGAGCTCCATATCAGGATGTCAATTTTGCAGGATGATAGCATCCGACTTATACAGGCAAGAGGTAACGGACAAGATTAGAGGTGATTACAGGGTCATTGCGAACAGCATCGCGAACAAAGGCTTCATCGTTGCGTTTCGGCCACCAATTCCAGTAACTGACGGAAGCAAATCGGTTGACGTTGATGTGAAGGTGGTAGTCGAGGATTTGCGTGTCCCAGGTACGTTCCTGACGTGATCCAACAGAACCAACGTTGAAACTCATCTCAGCTGGAATATCGAAGGTTTTACAAACCTTGGAATGCTCACAGGACACACACACCGGATCTCTCAATGCATTCAAACTGGCCTCCGCCTGGCTCACCGAATGCAATACCTACCACCCCCGCTGCAACAATTCCAACGCCCTATCCACACAGCTACCCACACGCGTCATCGACGTAGGGTCGCTCCAAACCGATGAAACCACCATCCGCCTCTTAGAAACCGGCGGCCAGAAGACAGGAAGCTATGCAGCCCTCAGCCACTGCTGGGGTGGCAGCAGCCATGTTTGCTCCACGCTCTCCACGCTCCCAATCTACACGTCCAAAATCGAGATGAGCATCCTCCCTAAAACCTTCGCGGATGCCGTGCGCGCAACGCAACAGCTGGGTATCCGCTACTTGTGGATCGACTCGCTCTGCATTGTCCAGGACTCTGCATCAGACTGGGAGACTGAAGCAGCGAAGATGGGCTCGTACTACACAAGCGCTCTGGTGACCATCTCAGCCGCGCATGGAGCGAATAGCGATGCAGGCTTGTTCGTCAACCGTGATGCTCTTTCGATACAACCGTGTTCAATTGAGATCAAGCACGGCGATCGTCAGCGCCAAGCCTACGCCTACGTGCGCGACACCTCCTTCCAACTCTCACGCTCGAGTCTCGGAGAACTGAGAACGCCGCTCCCGCTGTACACGCGGTCGTGGGTGCTCCAGGAGCAAATCCTCGCCCCGCGGACACTGACATACGGCCATTTTGGCGTCTCCTGGCGGTGCCAGACGATGCGCTTTGATGAGCGCGCACCCCTTTCCATGCCAATCGAGGATTTCATCAAAGACAAACCGGGAGGGTTTGCGACGTTTCGCGGGGACCCAAGAGACGTTGAGACGACGGTGGCGGAGTTACAAAGGAACTGGATCTTTCCCCGACAAGCGGGAGATAAACACGGTCTCCAGACGTTCCACAAGCATGTGCACTGTGATCCCGCGTCTGACCATTTTGCACAGGATTGGGGTCGCCTGGTGCAGAACTACACGTCGCGTGGTATGACGCGCCAGACCGACAAACTGATTGCTATAGCGGGGGTTGCGAGCATTGCGGCAGCTCTCAAGGCCATCGAGTACAGCGCCGGAGTATGGAACGGGTCGCACGACATGCTCATCCAAGGACTGTTGTGGTCGGCTTCCAAGCGCGGAGCGCGGCTCTTCGACGTCGCGCCGTCGTGGTCATGGGCGAGTATTGAGTGTGAAGTCAATTGGCCCGGGCATCTGAGCGTGGCCTTTCGACGGACTGCGAGCGTTCTCTCTTTTGCATGTTCTGGGACTGCAGCTCGGTGTAAGGGGTCGATTACTCTTCAATCTCGGGGTCGCCGTGGCGTCATAAATAGCGATGGAGGGCCTAGGTTGATCGCGGATCAGCAGGGCGATGCGTCGTTGCCTGACACAATAGCTCCGCATTGGAAGCAAGGGGTGATAACGCTGGACGAAATCATGCGCAGTCCAACTCCACTACTTTTCTTAGAAGTTGCGACTGGCAAGGTCAATTACACCAGGACTGATAGCTTAGTGCACACCTTAGTCCTCGTATGCGACGATGAAAGCCCGGGAAAGTATCGCCGAGTAGGGTTTGCCACATGGGATGACAGTTTCTGGGATAGACCTACCGCCACCGCCAGTCAGCAAAGTCAGATGCAAGTCACAATCCATTAGATGACTCGAGGAGGTATCTTTGAAAGCCTTGTACTATGTGAACATAGATGCCTGCACCACTACTTTGAAAACTCCAACGCCAGACTTCCCGGGACTATTCAGTTGAAGATGTGGAATTTCGAGGGAAGAGTCGTTGTAAATGTATCTGAGATTTTAAAAATTACCACCTCAGTTCTTGCAGATATGATCGATTGTGGTCGGTGTTTCGATCCCAAACTGTCCTGATGAAAGTCCTCTGAACGACCGACTGGAGCCTTCACATATAATCTTGCCTCCTCGTTCATGATCTCGTAGTGAAACCACGCATGATCCGCATAGGGCATCGCCCAGCCATCATCCATCCTGGGCCCAGACGTCCAGTCCGCACAGTCAGTCATCATTGTCGCCGGCCTCATGCGCTGATATTCTGGATCCATGAAAATTTCAGGCAGGCCCTCGTCTTCGCGCAAGACCTCCAAAAGAGGCAATGGATTGATCGCTCGGTTGCCCCAACCGGTGCATCGTCATCCAGACAGATGTTGAACACTGACGATTCAACGATCTCAAGGACATGTCTGTTGTGCGTGCTGGATGATTCGAGGAGCTCCCGATTCTGAAGGCAAGAATCAGCACTGTGAGAGTTTTGGATTTGGGAGGCAGCCACTTACCTTTGCCCAGCGTCTCGGTCACCAGCAGCCAGGGTGCAAGTATATACGTTGTCATTAGAAGCATGGAAGATCAGATCAAATACATCTTGCAGGTGCTCTCACGTGATAGGTCCTTGCGCATCAGCAAGAGGTACATGAAAGATGGCCGTTTCGTAGTACAATGCAGTGGACGCTTGCAGGATCATTTTCAACCATGTCTTTGTGCCGGTGTGGTTCGCAGGTACCATTGGAAATCCAATCGACCGATTGCACGCAAAGAGGTTGTTCGTTAAGAACATCAGGCTCAAGTCCCTCGTCAACACGCATCTTGAACTGGTAGGCGACGGCAGCAACACACGCCGCGTGTTGCGCGACTCGTGCTGCATTCACACTTCGTCCTGAATCCAGCTGCAAAATATTGGAACGGGATGACGGGCAGTTGCGATTTTCGATACACGTATCAGTGTAAAGATCACACTGCCAGGAATTGACACTCAGGTCATGGTTTCGTGCACGAAGCCTTTCCCCAAGCTTCTGGCCTATGCCATCTGGTTCAAGAAACAACGATATCGATTTTCTCGTCTAGAGTAGCTGCTGATCACCAAAAAGGGCTTTCCACCCATTCAAGATTAGGTTGACATTCGTGTCGAGGTCCGGCAGTGTCAGTTGAGGGATTACGACCTGCAGTCCGAGACTGTGCTTCGACCTCAGACGGGGATCCTTCTCAATAGCAAGGGTTTGGAAGCGCAGGAAGTCTCTCCAGTCTTCGAACCTCAAGTGGGCGTGGTCGGAAAAGTTAGCTGATACGCCAGAAAAGTCATAGGACCCAAAGAACGTGTTGTCGTTGTCTAGTTGGGGCTTCTAGCGACGCCTGTTTAGTTACACCTGTGCCGGCCTAGTCTCCAAAACCTTCATGTACGGCTTCTTGTAGGTGTAGTGTTTGAGGTTGGTCGTTTCTTCCAGCTTTAGCAAGGTCACGGGAGCCGCGCCTATGGAGTTGGCGGGAGCCTTTTAGAAAGATGAAGTCTTGGGATATAGCTAGAATAGGCAAAGAGTATTCAAGTCTCTTCATCACATCTCACCGACCCCATCCACAAAGCCCACTCCGCCGCGCCGTACAACCCCCAGCACCCAGACGAGTAGGTCGTCTCACCTCCATACATGCATCGATCCTGTGATCGCCATCACTGCGCATCGCCTACGAAATTTCATCATCGTCTTTGTGCAGAGCGACATGTCACAGGTCCCACGCTCCAATCATCGTTGCATCCTAGCGGACTCGCCATCCTCGATAGACGCGGGGCCAGATAAACTCGCCAAGCCCTTTGCGCGACTCCTGGTCTCCTCCAAACCAAAATTGCATCTCTTAGCTGCGACAGAGACTTCTCTTCCTGGCATAGCCGTGTGTTTGCGCTTTCAAGGGATGGTTCCAGCTTCGTTGGTGGCTGGTGGTGAGTAGCGTCTCGCACGACTCGTAAGGATAGGGCTAACTTTAGCAGGCAAGATTGAGGTTGAGCCTGGCTCTGTCGGGACGGCACGGAAGGCACCTGTCGAGCGTTCGTACAGCCGAGGAAGGTGCATCGTCATGATGTACCGAGAGGAGGAAGTGGAGTGCATGGGTAAGCACGCAGTGAATGGCCTGCAGCACGTGACGTTACGTTACGTTACGTTAGGGTTGAAACCCTATCGCCAATCATATGCCATCTATATGCCGCTGTTCGCACTGCTAACACCTCGGTATGCATGAATTGCAGCTGTGCCATGGCCTCTTGTCTCAATTATCTTTGTGCGCCATGACCTCGTCCTTGAACATCCGCGGGAGGAAGAACTTTGTGTTTTCGTACACCAAGAAGGTCACCACGGTCGTCGGGATGACGCGCAGGGTGTTCGGGACAACGCTGTTTAAGTTAGCTTTCAATCCACATACCAATGCTATTCGGAAGTGAGAAAAGAGATCATGACCTACCCCTTGTAAAACGCCAGAAAGCCCTCGTTCCTCCACGTCTTGCGCAGCACATCGATCAACCCGCTATACTGCATCGCTGCATCGTACCGCTGCATCCTCGCGCGGATCGGCTGATACGGATACGTGATAGCGCCCGCGAGCAACTTGCTACTGCCGCTCATGTAGATATAATCCCAGTTGCTGAGATGTTCTCCTGCGGCCAGGTGCGCGCTCTTCCGCGCCTTCATTTTCTCGTAGATGGCGAACTGCACGGCGCCGTGCGCGACGCCGAGGGTGCTCGGAATGAAGCCTGCCCAAAGGCCCTTGAGGCCGCGGGTCGCGTAGACGTGGAGGAGGCCCTGCGTCATGGAGCGGTAGGCCGAGGGGTGGTTCGCGCCGCGCTCGAGCATGCGCGTTTTCACGACCCAGATGGGGTTGGTGCAGGCGCCTGTCAGGAGGCCTGAGGTCCGCTGTCAGCATGACCTCCTGCACTTTCGTCTCATCTCGCATGTCAAGGGAAGCGTACCAGCAACGACCGCCGCCCCAAAGAACTCCCCACCCCCCAGCTTCCCGCCCTCCTTCCCCCTTGCCAGCATGCCCTTGACCTCCCCATAGAACAAGAAGTACAGCCCCCACCCCAGACTGTTCCCCAGCATGTTCGGCCACAGCCCGCGATACAGCGCCCGCACGCCACCCTCATCCTGCACCACGCCGCGGATGATGCGCAGCGAGTCACCGGGCCGCGAACGCGCGGAGGTGTTCAGCTGCAGCCGGTTCTTGAGCAGGTCGAGCGGGTGCACGGTCAGGCACGAGACGACGCCTGCGCTGAAGCCTGCGACGGACTCGACAATCTGGGGGGAGATGCTGGCCGGGGGGTTGGCGGGATTGTCGGTCGCGAGGGGCGGGAGGGCCCTGGGCATGGTGTCTGTATCGTCCGGAGTTGGACGGTTCGCAGCGCGAGGACGTTTTGAAATGCGCGCTGCGCGGATATCCGAGGCCGATCGGAAGCGGGACGAAAGGGGGGTTGGTGTCGCTGTGTGCGAGGGCGCATATTTTGGCTAGGGCTGCATTATGTACAGAGAAACAGGAACAATTTACGGCACAAGTGCGGTGCGATCAGGGCATTGCAGAAGCATGAGGGACGGTGAGCGTGAAGGTGAATGGTGCGGGCCGCGTCCAAGCTCCCGTGAGCTTGGACTTTTTTCCACGTCGCACAGGCGCGGGGGACGACGTCACTTGCGTGGGTGCTTGCGCGTTTCCGCTCGACTGCACTGCGGCGGGGTGATGCATCAGGATATGTGTCAATGACCGTAACCTGTCAACGAACAACATGTGTGTTGTTCTAGTTCTAGCTGTATACAAGATGCTATGTCTGAACCCATCCCAGATCGTAAATCGCAAAGGTATCACTACAGCCTCCCAAACGAGCGTACATGCAAGCGCTGCCTTTTCCACGACAGTCGTCCATTCCTACTTCGAACAACACTCCTGCGTCCCGCTCTTATCACCTCCAAACGCCATCCGACTCAGTTTATCCACCAGCGTCCCGCCCTGCCTCACACCACTCGGCACGGAGCAATAACTCGGCGGCACATCCAAGCACGGGTTCCTTGTGAAGAAGTTCCTCGGCCGCAGCAACAGCGTCATCGGCTCGGCAGGCATCACGGGGAAGTCCTCAGGCGACGGGAAGTGCGTGATGCCGAAGGTGTGCCAGAGAACGACATCCGTGTTCGTGATATCCGCGTTGGGGTTCTCCGAAATCCACTGCGGGATGCCTTGCGAGACTTCGCCGGAAGTCTGCGGCACGTGGCGTCCTGCCGGGTGCAGCTGCCCATCGTCGTACTTCGTAACGTGCACAGCGTGGCGCGCGAAACCTGCGCGCTTCCAAACGAGGCCGCCAGGCTTGGGTAGTAGCTCCGGGACTTCGCGCGACACGAGCTTGTACGACACGGGCTTCTTTGAGTAGGGGTTGATCTTGCTCTCGTTGCACATCTCCCACGTGCGGCTCGTTGCGCCGTTGTAGTCTGTCTGTGCCTGTTCGGGAGTAGCGAGCTTGGTCTTGAGCGCGTAGAATGCGTTGCCGTACTTGTTCTCTGCGGATCCGACTTCGCCACTTCCGCGCGCGGCATCGACCATGAATACGGTATTGTTGGGGCCGTCGACGTTGGGATCGATCCGCATACAGAAGAGATGCTGGTGGTTGTGTGCGTTCACACCGGGGTAGACCTCGGTACCCCAGCCGTGAAGATCCTCGCCCTCGTTACAGGGGAATGTGTTCAAGATTCCGGTAAGCTTGATCTCGAGCTGGATGGTGCCATCTTGATGGAATATCCAATAGACACAGTATTCGTAATTGGCGGCTGTGAAGATGTGAGAGATGACGAGCTTGCGGGCGCGCGTCACCGTCACAGAGTCGTCGCGGAAGTCCGTGTGTTTGAACAGGATACCTGCGTCTTCTTCGTGGATGCACACGGCGTTCTTGATGGTGGTGGCAGCACCCGCCTTGTTCACAAATGCCGCGTCCATGTAGTGGATGGCGCCCTTGCAGTCGCAGCCTAGACTGAGCGAGTTGGTCATGTAACCACCCCCATATTCGCCCAAATCGAAAGCATGTTTTCGCTGGTGAGGATGCTCGGGGTTTCCATACGGGACCACCATCTCTGCGAGCGACAGGCGCCAGAAAGTGTCTCGTTCGGTGCCCTTGTCGTTGAAGGTGATGTTTGAGAGGACCAGACCCTCGCGGTAGTTGAAACCAATATGCAACTTCCAGTTTTGCCAGCTGATGACTCGGCCGTCCAAAGAAAACGAGACTCCCTCAGGCTGTGTGATGTTGATGGGCTTCAAGTCTGTACGGAAGCCGCCCTCCTTCTCGATTGCAGCAGCGTGGTAGTTGTTCGGCGGGGCCTTGTTAACGGGCCGTCGTATAGGCGGAACATCGATGTGAATGATTTCCTGTGTGTCGGAGTTGTAGATGGGCGTGAAGTCGAGAGGGTATGTGTACTGGCTGTCGTCGGGGTGTGGGCGGTAGTACATGAGAGCCTGCTGGAGACGAACTTTGGAACCAAATCGCTCGTCATAGCCAATGGTCCACGCTGTTCGCTGTCAGCAGTTGAGCCAAAAGCTCCGTCAAAAGACTCACGGTCGCAGTAAACCTTGTGCATGTCTTCCGGGGGTATGCCGATGATTCCGCACTGCTCAATGACCTTTGGATCCTTGCGCACAACTGACTCGACAATCTGGAGATCCTCCATGGTGATCTGCCCCAGTCAGTCTCGCCGAAGCAAGTTGGCTCTCTTGAATTCCTTACCAAGGGTTGAACATCGGGTGTCTCGTCCCATTTGATGATCTTGCCATCCGTCAGATCCACCAGACCGTCAAATACCTTGCTGCCCTTGCCAGTGCACACTACATCCGCCACTCTGTTTGGGCGAGGTGTGTGTTCTGGGTCCTTGACCCACTTCAGCATGATAGCCTTGGGCGGCTCAAACAAAGTGATCGCGTTGAAGGCGACATGGCTGTACTGCTTCCGGATGATGGAGACGGCATACTCTATCTCCGTCTCAACAAGAGGATCCAGAGGGTGCGGCGCGCGGCCGATGCCAGTGACATGGCTCGCAGCCTGCTTCAATCGATCGAGAGCCATTGGTATGTGCGGCGCTTCGAGATGTGCAGAACAGACAAAGAACGGAGCCGGACGAGCGCACCCGCAGAACGAGCTTGCCCCCTCCTCTTAAAGCATCGGCTCGCGCTCCCATAGCAGCACGCGACGCGCCTGGCGCGAAGGCACGCCCGCCAGTTCTAGAAGAAAGTCTACATGAGGTGCATAAGCGCAGCCAAGGCTATCATGATTGGGCTATCATGCCATGATGCTCGCAACGGCGACGTGATTTCGTTATCAACTGATAACACTTGGGAGGGCAATCGGGATTCCCCCACCCGATGCAGCTAGCGCGAGCTTCTCCACAGCGACAGCTCCCGCGCTGGCGGTTGCGGACCCGCGCGACAGCGCGCTGCAGCGGCTCCGCAGAAACATCGCGTGGTTGGCTGGACGGACGCAGAGCACGGAGATGCCAGCGAGCTGGAGGAGCGCGTGTAGAATGACGAGTAGCGAATTTGCTAGGCCGAACCGAGTAGGACCAGGCGAACACTGCGAGTGCGGGACGCTTCCGAAGTCGGCACCTTGGCTTCCTTAGTATGAAGTATAACTGGAGATAGACGGCCGACAGATAATATTAGGTATGCGCCTGATGTACATGTCCTGCCGTTTACACGACTAATTCATCGGGTCCGGAAAGCGGTGCCTGGCCGTCGTGGGCCGCCAACTGCCGTCGGCCTCGCGATGGGAATTACACGAGAGCAATGGCGTTATCGAAAATGAATTGACGGCAATGTGCGACGAACAGCGATTGAATCTTGGAGAAGTTAGGCTAGGGGGTGTCATGGCGCAGATACAGTTGTATCGAAACACTAGGGGAAAGGTGCCTCTTAGGCCACATCTACTACGATAGTTGTGGATGACGGTATTAGAAGTCACGATCGTATGGAGGGTCTCGCGATTTAGCATTTTCTTTCCCCGCACAGCTGTTGTTTGTAATCAATAGTAATTTATCAGGTGTGTTCAATAGCTGGTAAACGGGCTTGAAATTATCAGTTGACCCGAGGAGGATGCCGGTGCAGATTCATTAGTGCGATCTAGATAAATTCAGAACAGCATCAGCAGATTCCGATGTGCAGATTGACGTTAGTCTCAGTACATGGAGATCGTCTTTTGCACGAGGCCACTCCTGCTCGCCATCTCCCTCTCATAATCCCCTGGAACAGAAAACCGACCGACAAAGGTGTCTCCTTTCTCACACTTCCCCTTCCATGGACGGACTACGAACGGAACATTTCCTCCCCTGAAATCCCAGACTTGGTCTCCAACCTCAGTTTTCATGTGACCTTGCCCCATCAGACCTGTCTTGGTCATGAACATGCTCTGGTTTGCCATCATGCCTTACATGGTCTGCCGTGTCTTGAACTCAAAATCTATCGCATCCCCGCGCATGATCTTCCAGACGTCTTGTACATCGCTGTTCGTGGCCTTCAATTTGCGCTGCTGGTTTCCGTCCCGTACCACGTCGCCCAGAACGAACCCTACGAAAGCTTCGCCGCGGATGTAGGTGCTTACTCGGTACAGATCTTTTGAAGTGAAATCAACGAGGTCATGGCTAGAGAAAAGACAGCACACGGCAGCATCATACCAATTGTGCAGAAGGGCTTCTGTGGAAGGCACTTGCCCAATGTTTGCAACGTCGCCCGTCAAGAACCCCTTTTGAGCTTGCACAAGAACATGACCATGGACACCGGTCGAGGACAAGCACTTTTTCCCGATCTCTGCCTCAACTGCCTTGAGATCAATTAGAACGAGACCCTCATCAGTCTTGTATACATCGTAGCCGTAAATTTGATAGTAGCCATCTGGCGAGCATTTGAGGATTGATCCAGCAAAGCGCCCATGTAGCAATGTCTGGCGTACACTCCGATGGTTGCTGACGTGGAGACACCGTCAATGGTCGCAGCCCTTTCTGATTGCGAATTAAATCCTGCATCAACGTGCTAAACACTTGGGGTATGGGGATGTTGTAATCAAATATCTATGTCACCGGTAAGCGTCCACGATCACAAAGACCAAGAACCCCGTAAATCTTATCTCGAGCATTAGTCGCGTTTCGGAATCGATATCGATGGATCATCTCTAAGAGGTCGTCGTAGCGAAGCCTCGCCAAGTTAAGCCATGTCACATGTGCCATAAAGTCCGCCAGAACACGGTTGCTCACGGAATACTGAAAAAGCATATGACTGAGTAGCTGTGGGAAGCGTAATACCCAGGCTTCCCGAGCCTGGTATAAAGTAGACGACGGTAATTATCTCGAACTGCTCCCATTGCAGCGTAACGCCCTCTGGCAGCGCTGTTTCTTGTACTGTTCAGACGCGCCTACGCCCAGCGTTTCCTTCAGGTTATATAGTTCTCAAAGCTTCGATAGCTGCTCCGAAGCCATCCGGGAAGGCTAGTGGGAGGGGCTCAGCGTTTGGATTTTGCGCACGACTGGCGGCAGCCATGTACTTGAGTAGCTGTAAGCAGCATTATCATCTGCTAAAATTTCGTGTCCCACTTGAATATCGCATTCGAGGAGATCCGTCTTGTCAGCATCGGGAGGAGCTGGCAAGATCTTCAGAATGTGTATCTTCTGAGGGCTCAAGTAGAGGTCCCGACGCTTGTTGTTTCGAAGTGGAGGTAGCATCTTTATTAGACCGCGTCAGCTGGCTGGGATGTTTATGGTTCATATGTAGAGGAGCGCTGAAATTTTGTAAGTTTGCGGGCGACGGCGCAGCCCCAAGTCGTTTGACAGCTTCGCATCAGCAACCTATCAGTGGGTGTTTGGCCCCACCTCAAGCATGCGGGTCTCTTGAAGTCGGTGCAAAGTGCAGTGTAACTCCAGGGAGGCTGACCTTTCTCGTAAGCTGGATCAAACTCGATGTAGCGGATGATTGAGCGGCCAAAGCATACTGAAACCCCACGAGATCACTGAGCAGCTATAATAGGAACCGCTGAACAAAAGTCCGTAGTATTCACGAATGTAATCTCCGGTCGCCATGTATGTGACAAGCACTGAGCAAGAGAGACATAGCGTGGAAGATATTTATGGACGCAGGTGGAGACCCGGGCAGATGGTTAGGTTGGTACCCTGTCGAGGCATAAGTTATCTTCTATACGGTTATATGATAGTATCATGAACGACTTCGAGCCGGGAGCTGTTGATGGAATTTGGTGATGTTGATGTTGATGGGATGACGCGCTAATGCTCAGCTTAGCTTTCTTTGCTAACAGCAACGGCGCAAGAGTTGTCCTTGCCCGCCTTATCAACTAGCGGTTCTACTCCTACCTAGGTATCTTTCTTGTACCTGAAGTTTCCTGGGTAATATATTCAGCGTGCATATAGTGAACACGCATTCACCGCATTCCCATCGTTTAGCGTGTCCAAACAGTTCTCGAGCGTATCCATGCGTATTCGGGCGTATTTAGAGCGTATTCCGCGTATTCCAAGCGCACCCTGCTCTTCAAATGCACAATAGCCAATCGCCCACAGTGCAGTGCAACATAACCTTCCTACCTTAGAATCTCTCAATCAGCATATACCGCAACCTAGAAGATCTGCTCTTGGCCTACTATAGATGTACTCATCGACCCGCTTATACGGTGAGTACTGTTTTCTAGTTCGGTCGCTTCGACTTCATAGCACAGCGGGTAAATGCGCTGTATGCGACGCGTCCTTGATGGATATACGATGCTTTTCTGTCTTTGGAGACTGCAGTAAGCTTCTCCCTGTCGCTATACAGATATTCATCATTCAATAGCCAAATATGATGCTCATCTCTCTTTCATCCAACATCGTGCTTGCTCTCCATTTCGCGTCATCACTGGCGCTCCCTCCCGCATCATCTGACGCAGGACCATGGAAAGCACCCGGCGAAGGCGATGGTACGTTTCCTACAAACTGAGAGACATTCAGGTTGGCTCACGCCTGTAATCTCAGATCGCGGCCCATGTCCCATGCTCAATACGCTGGCAAATCACGGCTATCTCCCTCGAAATGGACGAAACATCAGCAAAGATATGGCGATCAATGTTCTAGACCAGGTACTCAACTGGGATGCGACCGTCGTTTCCGACCTCTATGACTTTGCTCAGCCAACCAACCCCCAACCGAATGCAACGACGATCAACCTGAAGGAACTGACAACGCACAACATCCTCGAGCATGATGCCAGCTTGAGGTATGCGCTACACTTAATCCTGACTTGGTTTATAAACTGACGGGTATTTTCAGCCGCCAGGATAGCGGATTCGGCCCCGCTGATGTCTTCAACTCCAAAATCTGGAACGAGACCGTCGCACACTTCACGGGTGACACCATCGACGTCGAAATGGCGACCAAAGCTCGCACAGCGCGCACCATCGCCGCAGCCTCGACCAATGCCCTTTTCACGTTCCCGCAGCTGGGCATGAATTTCCAATATGGCGAGACGGCGGCGTACCAATTCGTCTTCGGAGAGTGGAACCTCGATGCTGAGGATGTCAAGAACCGTATCTTGACGCCCAAAAATTACATAGAGTATTTTTCCAGTAGGTGGAATCCTTGACCGATGGGCTGGAGACGAAACGCTAATCGTGTGCCCCCTTTTAGAGAAGGAGCGTCTGCCGACGGAGCTTGGCTGGGAGAAGCCCGCAAACCGATTGGTCATGGATACGCTGCAATCGTTCACTGTCAGCATGATGCAACTTACTCAGACTCAGATGGACGAGGCTGCATAAGTCTTTCTTTGGGATTTGTTTGTCTGAAAGTCGAGTTGGACGTAGAATACATTCCACAAGTAGACTAGCAAGAGCCGACTCCATGTGTTCCAAACTTGCGAGCATACGGTTCGTCGAAGAGAATTGAGTCAAAGATTGCGTGGGTGATTAATGCCGTATCGTGAATCTGCGCACGGCTCCTGTGGTCCGTTTCTGAGGATATGGTGCTCCCGGTCTTTCCGAATAACTTCTTGTGCGACTTGCGCAATAGCTCCATCATCCTGGCCCGTCTGTCTGAACGTGCATCATAATCCCCATGTCCTACCGCATTAAGCTGGTCATGTGGCTTGGACAACTAATGTAGCACGACCCTTAACCCAGTTAGTCCAGGAAGCCCACTCCGAACTTATGGCTGAAACAGATGCAGTCAACTCCTCGATAAGTTGAGTCCAAAATTTCTGCCCCACCAGCGATCATGAAGGTAGAGTAATAACACACCGTAGTGCAACATGATCAACTCGACCATCGGATCACCCTGCTTTAAAAACTCCAACAACCTTCCATCGACCATTGCTGGCCAAGCCACAACGGGACCCAGATGGCTTGTTGTGGCCACGCTTTCGAAGGCCAATTCGAGGCTGTCGATACCAGAAAGATAGATTCCAAGCTTTTCCGGCTGGACGTATTTGGCGACTGTGCCTGCACGCTTGCGAAGAGCATCCATTGCGACTGCGACGTCCGAGGCTGCGACAGTTCGTTCGATCTCCACGGGAAAGCCCTGAAATAGCGAGCTAAATTTTCCAAACTTCAGAATCTCGTTAGATACGTTGCTGATGATGCGTACGCCTTAAAACAGTTCGAACATTGATACTAGGCTCTTTTGTATTCGGCAATGTCATTTCGGCGGTGAGAACCTGGAGTGGCAATCGCCATCACTGTAGTGATGACGGCGAAACCAAAAAGTGCATGCGTCTTATCTGCATTTACGTGCTTCAAGGCTTCAGTATATCGCCGTATCTCTACGTTCTAATAATGTATGGCGAGTTCGTTGTATCGCTGGCCAAGTCCCGATGAGATGAACGCTAGATGAAGAGAAGAGATCGCAAGGATTCCGTCCATCAGGAATTCGAAACGCACAGCCTCTTCTGGAATCGAAACGTTCCAGACGCTCAGATCTAGTCCGTTTGACATGCTTTCGCACGTGTGGCCCATGGGTGAACCATCAAATGGAGTTCCTCCATTCTCGTCGTCATTACTTGTAATTCTTCACGCAGCTTCTGCTATGCGTGCAAGTACAGCGTTTGGGACAACGTTTCGTTTTGGATAGATGCTGGGCTTACCGGCTCCGTGCTACCCCTTGCCGAGCTAGCCAGAGAGTTCGGAGATTCTCGTCCCACATAATCGCATTGCAAGTCACGGTCGACGCATTTTTGACATGCCAGTCGCTCCTTCCCACACTTAGACGAACGTATCAGCTAGTTGACCGTATCAAGACAACCGTGAAGAAGGATGATGGCATACCTTGTTATGCCTCCTTTCGCAGGTCAAACAGCCCACCCGGGACTTGGTGTGCGGGTTTCTGAGCTGTGGCATATAGATGCCGTTGATTGGGATAGGCGAAGATTGTTCGTGGCTGATTGGAGACCATAATGCTTGGAGGTTGTGTGAAGATTGCACACTTGGCATGGGTGTTGATCATGAGTCCCGTGACCATCGAGTTGACAGCCCCAGCTAATCTATACCAGGCCTAGCGCTAAGCACCCCTGCGCGTCAGAGTTGCGGCGGGAGCTGCGACACCTCCGAGAATGACACGCCGCAACGCGTGTCCTTCTTCAATCGCGCAATGCGCCACAAACATTAGGATTTTGCAAAATGCCTGCTCCTGCGGGGTCGTCAACCCGGCGGAACACCCCAATTACCCAGTCTCCAGGCATCTTGGGAGCTGCAGCGCGCTTCTGGGAGGTAAGCAAGGTTGTGTGTTGCAACGGTGGCCGTTGCTAATGGTTTGCTCAGCGCTCATATGCGTCCGACTATGTCGGTCTCGCTATCCTGATCGCGGGGTGGTTAGTGGTATGTATCAATCGCAGGAGGAGAAAATATATCATGTCTGACCGGACCAGCTGCAATTGCACGGCGAGCCCTTCCACCGCATGTTCTCCCTCGACAACCTATCCATTCAATACCCACATGCTGAGGTGGAGCGTGTATCAGTCAGTACGTGGCCCACTTGCTCTAGGTGACCTACATGATTGCTGATTTGTGTTTAGCATGGCTCTTTGTATACGCAGGTGCTGTGCCGCTCGGCACCCTCGTAGCTTGGGCCCTGGTTGTCCGCCCTGGCACGCACAAAGCACATGTCACCATCCTCGGATGGTTCATCTCACTGATCCTTACACTCTTTATCACCGACCTCATCAAGAACGCTGTCGGGCGGCCACGACCCGACCTCATCGCAAGATGCAAGCCTGAGCCAGGCACGCCGGACCACCAGCTCGTTACATACAAGGTCTGCACAGAGCAAGACCATCACGTACTTCATGATGGATGGCGCAGTTTTCCATCGGGACATAGCAGCTTCGCATTCAGTGGGCTGGGCTACCTGGCGCTCTTTCTGGCCGGCCAATGCCATGTCTTCAGGCCGCGAACTGACCTCGCGCGCATGCTACTTGCGCTTGCGCCTCTGCTAGGTGCTGCACTCATTGCCATCTCGCGATGCGAAGATTACCGACACGATGTATACGACGTCACCACCGGCTCTTTGCTGGGTATCTTGGTCGCCTATTACACGTACAGGAGGTACTTTCCGCCGTTGAGACACGGCAAGTGCGCAACGCCGTATCCAAATCCTGGAGATTCTACGACAGGCTTCAACAAGCTCAAAGATGAGGAAGAGCGAATTGGTGGTGCGGGCGAATTTGAATTGGAGGATATTGACGAAGGAGATGAAGAGGGTGAAACTAGGCCACTAAACAATAGGAGATGAATTAATACGTTGCGCCCTAGATTTAATGTATGACCCTAAATTTCCCCACAGCAAAGTATATCGATTGGAATTTCCCCACACCACGACTCTTTGGCTCTCCTCGAAGCTTTTTCGTAACTGGTGGAAGTTGCTGCCATCCGATTCTTCCAAACCAACATACTCTACATAATGGCCTGCGTGACTCGTCTCGATTTGCGTATTCACGACAAGGCTCTTTCACTATACTCTCCAGGGTGCCGAATCATGATCCGAATGTCTTTATATTGCCGCGTTGTGCTTCCGGGCAGGCTTTACCCGGTCGACACTTTAGATCTGACGCGCCTTCATCTACGCGCCATTACACGATCGCGACCCTGATCATCGGCGCAACGTCAAGAAAGAAAAACCTCATGATTAGTTAAACTATATAGGATCATGGGGAACGCTATGCTAGGATCTTGCAGTCCCAGCCTGACAACACGAGGACTTCCAAGATGATCTCCTCCGCGATGCAGACTTACGCCTCCATACTCCTGGTCCTTGGGCCTCAATTATGTCTCGCCGTCCCACGGCCTATGCCTTCTTTCACGCCCTCGCCTGGCAACTACCCTGCCAAAGGTGACGGTGACTTCGCGGGTGGGATCTTCAGCATCCCCCTCAACGAGCTGCCCGCGTACATTCCCCCGGGCAGCGGCACCGGCAGCGAAACCCCCACAGGCAACGGCCAGAAAACTTCTGGCAGCGGTCCCTACCCCGCGGCCATGGTGACCGACTCCAGCCTCCCAGGCCACACCATCTTCGCACCGAAAACACCCCCCGCAGGCAACCTCAGCATGCCGTTCATCGCGTGGGGCAATGGCGCTTGCACGCTGAATGCCGGCCAGTACCAGAACTTCCTAGTCGAGATCGCGAGCCACGGGTACGTGATCGCTGCAGACGGCACGCCGAATGGCAGCGGGGGCACGAGCACTCAGAGCAAGGTGCAAGATATGCGGGACTCGCTGGATTGGGCTTTCGCCGGGAAGGCGGCGAAGTACGGGAATATTGATCTGACGAAGGTGACGACGGCGGGGCATAGCTGTGGTGGGTTGGAGGGGATGAGCACTGCGTATCATGATGAGAGGTACGTCGACTGCGGTGTGGAAATAGGAAGGACGTGGGGAACTGACAGGCGGCAGGGTCAAGCGCATCATGATGTTCAACATCGCCATCTTCCAGGATAACCGCAGGTACCTGCTTTCCGAGATCAAAGTACCCGTCGCGTACTTCATCGGCGGTAAGCCAGATATGGGGTACACCACTGTAAGTCACTTATACTCATCACTGACTGCCTGCTAATCGTTGTGCAGTCCGCCAAAGACTATGCCCTCCTCAACGCCGGCCTCCCCAAGCTCCGCGTCAATCTCGATACCGGCCATGGCGGCACATACGGCGCGACCAACGGCGGCAAGTTCGGCAAGGCGGCAGTCAACTATCTGGAGTGGCAGTGGCGTGATAACGCGACGGCTAAGGCAGTCATCCTGGACCCGAACAGTGCGGGCAGCTTGGTCAAGGACAAGTGGGTCGTCGAGAGTGCGAACTGGACGTGATAGATTGATTTGGGGTCGATTTATGTACGAGTGTTGGTAGAGGAAGGTTTTGGAGATATGTCATTGGACAATACGAATGGTCATAATGATATCATCATGAATTTGAAGAGAGAGAGAGAGATGTCAATGAGACAGGAACCAAGAGACAGTGAGAAAGGTATACATGGTGACAACAATAAGACAACTATCTCCACGTACCAGACTTATCCAATCGGTGCAACGGCAAGAAGGACAGCCCATGCTCGACACAGAAGAGCACCTAGCCTCCAGCCTCCGCCAAGTGAGGGTTTCCCGCCAGCTTGCAAGGTAGGGACTGCCTAGGACGATGCTTCTTGATAAAAGCCATTCTTACGTCGCAGACTATGCTCTGACATCTGATCCATAAGACGCACCGATAGTCTCGTGGTCCTAGGACTTCCAGCAGCTCCACAGACGTCGTCCCTCCCTGGTACGAGCTTCATCAAAGCTGAAACCTTGTCAGCATAGCAGTCTAATAGACTATCAGGAGTCCCCGCCGACGACATGACCCGCTCCTCGGTGCCTGGATCATCTTGATGTTTGTTGCGAACACGCTCCGATGATGAATGACCCAAGGTAACACAGCGCGACTCAAGTTTGTGCTGCGGGTCCGCATTCTTGAACCTCTTATGTTCAATATCCAAGCCCACCTCTTCGTTGTCGTCGTGCCCTTCGTATCCATCACTCGTGTTAAAATCACAAGGTTCTGGCAGACGCTGTCGTTTCCGAGACGAAGAAGTGAGTGGGGTCAGAGTAATGTCTTGCGTTGAAACTGTTGTGCCAGACGACAAACTGCAAGGGGTGTGGTCTGTCCTTGTAGTCGACCCATTGTCTTCAGACATTTCGCCGTCCGAAGATGAAGCATCGTCTGAATCTCGTTGAGTGACAATGGGCGGCAGCGGTACATTTTCGAGACTGTAGATGCCTGAGATCTTGGCTGCTGGTGCCCGTGGCTTTCTCAATTTGTCAGCTAAGAACGACCCATCGTGACCAAAAATAACTGCTCCCCGATCTTTGAAATGTTCTGGGGGTATAGTTCTGGTCATGGCCGATCTCGTGAGTATTTGCTGAAGGCGGTTGCAGCTGCATTGCGCTCGCGTAGGCTCTGCACAGGGATCAAACAGCATTGAAGTGCCCTGGTGCCACTGCAACTTCGATCCCGATGTGGTCAGATATTTCCGGTCTAATGGACAACCCGCCGTCTCGTAGAGTCTCTGGAGGATTGGAGTGCCAGCCGCTAAGAAGTCTTTCCCTTTGGGTGCATGCTGCCAAATTCGACAGAGCCTATCGTTGCTACGCTCAACAGCGGGTACGATGATTTCCTCGAAGCCATTGGCGAGGAGCACAAGTGCATCAATATCTCGCGACAACCGAGGCCAGCCGCCATTTGTGTCGAAGAGTTTTGCTTCTTTCTTCCGGAATGGAGAATGTTGTTCGACGACTGCATTGAACTCGAAGCCTTGGAGAATGTCCCCCCAAGGCGGTTTGAAGTCATGTCCAGAAGACCTTTGTTCATCGGCCACATTCTCTGCGATAAGAAATTCGAGAAGTGACCAGATACTTGCTATCTCAGACTCGAAGGTGTGTTTCTCTTCGTCAGACAACTTGATCGACCTGTTCTTCAAGAGTACATCCTTGGCGGTGGAGTCGACTGCTATATTTGTGTCGAGAGCAATGCGTTTGCCGTCAACTTCGAAGAACCCTTGACGATGCTTGCATTGAATAATATGAAGCAGGACTTCGGAAGCGGGGACCAACCAGCCTCTTCGATCAGCGGTGTCATAAAGCACGATAGGGGTCCGTTCCGCCCAAGTGACGATGTTTCGATACGGACCATCCCGCTTGAAATGACATTTACCTTCTGTGACGCCAAATTCGAAATCCAAAGCCGCCATACCAAATTGTTGAAATCCAAGAGAGGCTTTAGAGCATTTGGTCGAAGTTGTTTTGTCGGTAGCTGCTGAGTAATAGATGTTCTCATAGTTGGTCAAGTCGGATCCCAAGCGTGATTGTGCAACTGAACACCAGCCAACAATGCTGCGGCATGTCTTCAAATCGTCAAGACTCACTTCCTCCAGCAATGCTCGCGACCCGCACTGTGACAACCCTTCATGATATGTGATAGGCGTATTTGGATCGGTGCTGAAAATTGCGTGCCATTGAATTCGATCGCCGCGCTTCCGGATTGGTATGAATATATGGGAGAAGCCTTTCATGACCACTCCGCCTTGAATCTCGACCGCGTGATGTACTCCAGAGATTCCTGCCAACAATTCCAGGGCTATTTCCAAGCCAGTTTCGTTTGCACGGTTTGGAATGGGGAACCCAGCCGCGATAACAGCACCTGAGAACAATGGCAACCAGCATGCATTTTCGGTAGCGTGTATGATGCTGTGCTCGAACTGGATAACTATATCGGGGAATTCTCGTATAGGATTGATAGTGACCTTGGGCTTTGCATAAGCGACCTGGTCACCAAACGGTGAAATTCCTAACGCCGACCCAAGCCACCCGAGTTGCTGTGCTATGTCTACAGAAAAGGCGGTTCCGCCTCTAGTAGAGAATCTGAGTTGCCCGGGGGATTTCTCTATCAAGTTCAGTGCCTTGTCGCCGATTTCGATGTCCACTGTGCTCTTTTCTTGGAGGAATCTATCCAATGCTTCGATCAAGATCTTTCCAGTCTTGGGCCATGTTTGGCTGACGTACTTTTCACATGTCGTAGCTTGAGCATAGAGCGAAGAGCCAGTGAGAACAATGACAGATCCAATTGATGGGGTTCTGTCTCCATATCGGGCGCGCATACACTGAATAACGTCCCAGTGTACATCCAATTGCGCATCGTATTGGCTGAAATGGCCGGTATGGTAGTCGGAAACTACTCGTCTAACAACGGACCGAACGCTTATCATTTGAGACACGTCGTCCCGGTAGAAACGTCGCTTGATTTCCAAAGCCATCTGATTGAAAACATCGTTGGAAACCAACATGTTGTGAAACGAGCCAAGATCTACCCAAACTTAATGCACAAAGTCATCATTTGGCCTGAAGCGCATGTAAAGACAGTAAGACCTCTAGGATCTCGACATCTAGAACATTTCTCGCTTAGGCGCGGGGAACTAATACTTACTCGTAGCTACACGGTCTCGCGGCAGCTGTTGGCCTACATCTTTTATCTGCTCCGTCAATGGCGACGAAGTGGCTGAAGAAGACTCCAGATTTTTGCAAAAATACCGAGTGATCCTGGATCTCTTGTGCCGGATAATATCTGTCGCTTCCTTGAGCGTCCAAAAAGCTCCTCCTCGAAGCTGAGGATCCGTGTCTTGAAGAGATTTTGCGATAAATTTGTTCATAATCTCATCAAGCCAAGTTGGAAGGAGGTGTTTTGGGTGAGTCGCCAGTGCATAGCCACCCCATTGTCGAGCGCCCGATTGCTCGAGAAGTGTATTCACAAACACCTCACAGACTGATTCTGGATCTGCTTTATGGTCACTGTGTACCGCGAAGCTATCCTCATCACTAAAGATATCGAGCCAGCTTGTATCACTGACGATCGAACGTTCAAGCTCTGTGTGAGATTAGTCCCGATCACCTTTCATGGCACTTCTCTCCCGACTGCTTCTCCTGGTGGCCTTAAATTCCGTGGGAGCTTACCTTCCGTGTCACTCTCTGGAGTGAGAAGCGTTGTGGCATCTGTCGTCTGAATTACAAGGAAAGGCTGTACTCTTGGACAGAGTTCATAGGTAGGCTGTAGCTTGTTAGCCTATGCTGGAGTGGACGTGATGCGTGAAACACATCTGAGGGTACCTCTTTATTATGTTCCTGTTCCTCCATATAGGGTATCGTCGTATCAGGAAGAGAAGGCACAGGTGTGGTCAGGTCCGTTTGATAGGAATAGTAGGTCCCTCCTGAATTGTTAGAAGAGTTTCTGCTCAAATCGTGAGAGATGCCGGCAAAAGTATGGCGATAATTGAACGATCTATCAATGTCCCAGTCGGGCGACTCGTCCCGATATTGGTTCACTGCATCGGATAGCTGAACAGGAAAAATAATTTGTTGTTGCTGTGATTGTTCGATGTTGCTGGGGGGAAGCGATTGGTGGTCAATAAGACTCTTCTCATTACTGCAAACTGTCACCAAGTAGTCTATCGCGGATCAGGTCTTAGGCCTCACTGCTGTTCGTGATGCTTTTGCAAGGGATTCGGGCTCCGAAAAAGTTCGTCGTGGCTCAGAACACAATACCGATTTTGATGCCGTCTGATAGTGTTGAGCTCTTTTGCACGTATGATACCCATGCATAGGCACATAGACATACCTCAGGCTATTGATCGTAGTATACGACTGGCAAGAGTAAGTTTACTGGACTCGCTGCAAGACAAGCTTTCATCGTGTGGAAGCGTGCGCCGTGCAAGGCACCGTGTGAGGGAAATGCTTCTAGAGAACGAGAAATGATAGATCCCCGCGTCGCCATGCACTGAAAAACAGCATCATAGCAGTACGTGCATGGAAATTTGCGTACCCGTCCGCAGTCACAGAAGTGAAACTTAGGCTCTTTCCCAGCCTTGCCAACTCGGCCGGTCTTGGTGCGCAACACCGAGCGGTCAGATGAAGCCGTCTTCAGACTGGCAGGCTTTTTTCTCTCTGAAATACGACTTGACCTGCGAACCATCCTCTCAACCACTGAGCGATCAGCAGGGCTCGACTGTGCGGCAGCGACATCATCTTGGTGAGTTGACATAACACCTAGCAATAATAAACAGATGCGCGAGGAACGATTTGGAGCACAAAAAGGTTCGGAAAGATCACGCTGGCGGCAGCTTTCTTATAGTCGCGAAAGTCTCAGCCTTGCACTGCCACTATCCGGTGAGATGTGGCGCGAGGTGCTCTCCAACGAAGGAGATTCGTAGCGGCTGAACACGAGAACAGGGCTTGGCACTCGCCGAGGTACCGTACCCGTAGATCTGATCAGCCTGCCATTGGTAGAAGCTGAGCATAACCCATAGTATGAATCGGAGTGTGACACCCGCAATACCGACCTCCACCAACGGGACCACGGACCATGAAACCCCCTGCGCGCAGCCTCTTGAATATCGATGCAGTACTCCCAGACTCCTTGAACCATTTTGGCCAACTTTGACAGATTGTCAAGCACGATAGCCACGAGCATCTCACACGTATGCCCAATAAACGAACCCCACACACGCGAAGGCATCACCACTCACAAAGCCCTCTCAAAACTGCGTACAGTACACGAATCCCTACACCATAACCAGCATTCCTTACCAAGTTTGACGATTCGATCACGGCTAGCCGCGCCATGACCGCAATCCCGCTGCCATTGCTACTACGTCACGCATGTCCGATGAATCCACGACAAAGCCAAATGGACAGTATGGCAGGTACGTCCGGCAAGCACCCGGCGGGCTGCATGCACCTAGCCGGCTCGACATTCACAGACTACCACACACACAGCCTGGATAGCCCGTACATGAAACAAACAGCAATAGACAAATTAGCTACAAGCAGACACCTAAGCTGTATCCTGCGCCGGCACGCTAGCGTTCCCAATCCAGCCTAGCAGCTGCTTAAACAGCCTAGCCGGAGCGATCACAGTGAACGACACTGCAGCTCTGTTCACAACCAAGTCGATGAAGTACGAAAGAAGGGGCTGCGGTTGTTCGAGCTGCATCCGGATATGGGACTTGTCTCCTTGCTGCCTCTTGCCTACGGCGCTTGTGGGATTGCACTCTATTCCTCCAGCAACACACCTCTCGCAACATTAGGCTTTGCGTACGTCATGTGGACGGCAACGGTGAATGGGTCAGCTTATGCCTGACATGTTTCAGTCGATCATGAAGCCGCTTTGCGACACCTCGTGTTATCGGTGGGTGGGTAGAGCAGCGGTCGACATGACCATGCCGTGGGAGCGCCCGTAGCATGGGAGTGAGCGTCGCAGGTAGTATCTCGTCCAAATCCAAACAGTCAGCATACTTTTTTCGAGATGCGTACGGCTGAGGGTGAGCTTACCCAGGATGGCACCTACTCCGGCCTCGTATAGCCCCTGTCAGATCGGCGTACGCGCGAAGGAACTCCCTTTGCGCCCTCGAACGCACCCAAACTCCTCTCCTCCATCACATCACTCCTTGCCCTCGCCCACGGCCAGCCACGATGCCCGCGCCGCCGCCCCTTCCCACTCCCGGCACCCAAGCCTACCTCGCCCACCGCCGCGCCGACAAGCTGCCCACCCCGCCCGGCACGCGATCCGCCAGCCCCGCCGGCACCTACAACGCCCCCTTCCTCGCCCTTGGCCTCGGCGCCACAAACATGCTCGCCATGCTGTGGACGTTGTGCGCGGGACATGGCGCCGTCGGCGTCGAGCTGCGCGGCGACCCCTCCCTCGGCATCCACTGGAACGTCCGCGAGGCGCTGTACCACCAGCTCGGGCGCATCGACGCGCTGATGCTCGCGCGGTACGGCGAGGGCGGCGTTCCGACGCTGGCGGACGGGACGACGAGGATGCAGCTCGCGAAGCTGTTTTACAGCGCGGAGACGGTGGCCGGGGATGTCATTGCGGATAAGATCGTTGCGGGGCACGACGGCGAGAAGCATCTTGCGGGGCGGATCCGGCACGTGGAGTTTGTGGATGATAGGTGGAAGAAGGGCCGGCCGCGGCGCGTGGTGAGCGTGCTGGAGAGTCCAAAGATTCCAGGGGCGCCGTGTGAGAGGGAGATTGGAGGGAATATGCGGGAGGTGCTGGAGGGACCGAGCACGTGGCAGGCCGAGGCAAAGAGCGTGCTGTTGCTGTTGCGGCGGTATCTGGAGAAAGTGGAGGCGATGGATCTTGCGCGGGCGGAGACGTGCACCGGGTTCACGCCGCGGGTGAGGCTGTTCACGCAGCATCGGGTCGTAGAGGGTGCGGGGCAGGGTTTCGTGCACAGAGACGATGGGCGCATGCAGGTGCTGATTGAGGAGGTTACTGAGATCGAGTACAAGGGGGAGACGCGCCGTGTGCGCACGCCCGGGACGCAGACCATTGATTTGGGCGTGCCGAAACTGTTCTGCATCGCGCAGGGGTCCCGAAGCAGCGATGCCGGGCGGCTGGGCTTTGTGCAGGAGGACGTCCGCGTGGAGCGAGGTGTCGGCGCCAACAAGGAGAACGTGGTCGCGCAGGCAGACTACATTGCGGGGCTTTTGGAAATGCTCGTGGACGGGCGACTACGCAGGCGGATAGCCTCTGAGTTTGGTCCCGCTGGGGACGAGTACTGGGTGCGGCAGATCGCTGTCGGCCACGAGAACGATCCTGAAATCGGGTGGGTGCTGGTGCAAGTGCCCGACTTCATGGTTTTCTGTCCCGTTGCTGCCGGGCTCGTTCCCGCAGGTACATCATCCGATGCTCCGGAGTACTTTGCAGCCTACCAGCTGCTCATCTACGACTACTATATTTCGCAGGCGGCGTTGATCCTAGGCGTAGAAGAGGCCGAGCTAAGGCGCGTGCAGATGCTGTACGGGCCCAAGATATTCAGTCTTGTAGAAAAGATTGGCCGTGATGCGCGAGTCGCAACCAACGGCGTCGTTGCTGGGGATTCCTTTGGCAATGGGCATTTCCTGACCAGCGCGGGGGCCATGGCCGGCATGATCGGGCACGCGTACCGATTTCTGGGTTATTGGAAAGGTATAGCAGATGGCAAGAGCGATGCGGAATGCATTGCCACTCTGGCGGCTGGAATCAAGCGGGACACGGAAGATCTTCTAGAAGTCAGCGCGAAAGAATTTGACGAAGCGGTGCCTACAAATTTCGGAGTGGGCAGAGGGCAGAAGGTTGTCCGGGTGAGCAACGGCGGTGTTGAAGGAACGGCCATCGACAATTACGTCGACGCGGTTCCAAAGACGGGCACGAGAACCCGATACGAGCAGCTACCGCTGAATCCCAGCGACTGGCGGAGGCTGTTCGTGCGGAATGGGCGTGTGGTGTCGGACGCGCTTCCGCCGCTGAAGGCACATCATCCAGCCTTACAGAAGCAGTCTTTGCGGGCTATGATGTGATTGCATGGGTTTGTTAGGTTCACATTATTTCTCGAGAAAGAACATGGGCCTCGCTTCAGGCTCCTAAACAAAGTCGTCAGAACGTTTACTTTTGGCCAACGCGTCTCCCACTAAAGTCCAGGGGTTGATGAGCGAAGCCATGATGCTCACGGAGCTGTTTTTGAGTACTCTGTGATGACTGAGCTTGTGCATGAAGATGCGGCCGTACAAATGATCACGGGCCGCTGCAAACCCTTTCTAACCGATATGTGTGGAGGGTCTGATGGTGTATTCACTTGATTGGTGACGGTCGAGTCCGGGGTTGATGGTAACCCAATTAGTTAGTTGCGATTATAAGCGTTCTGGCAAGCTATTTCAAGGCCGCCAAATCACGCTTGGTCGCCCGGTTGGCCTAAACAGGTAGGCGAGTGGAAGTAACCGTGCAGAAGTATTACAGGGTGGATGTACTACTTGCGGCACAGCTTACGGCCTTCCTGCGCCAGTGGAGGCATAGTTTCGCAAAGATAGCATGGCGATGCTCGATTGTTCGACTGGTGTCTGAGCCGATGGCATCGCCAATCATGGTGGGAGGGGCTGTCGCATTGTCAAGAAACAAATAAGACCCTCGGCTATAGGTATTTGAAGCGCTGTTGCAACGATAAGGCATTGCTCGACCGTTGTTTGGTCGGAAATTTGCGTACAAAAGCACGTGGCCTCCTTCCTCATGGCGGAGGATTGGCGAAGGGTTGAGGGGCTGATCCTGGACTATAACGAGAACAGCGTTTCATGACAGTTGTCGTCCAGCGATTGTGTGGGTCCCTAGGAGACTTCCAGGGCCAGGTCGAGCACGTGACTGTCTTGGTGTGCAGTGAAGACGATGCGAGACCAAGGTGAGTGTTGTCGAGATGATTGCCTCTACTACCGGCGCAAATCCAGCACATGCATGTGCGACTGTGTTCGGTAGCGAGCACCCACGAATATAGGGCCCTAGACAGATGTGGCAGCTGCTTGATTATTCTGGAAGGTTGCTTGGATAAACTTCGCTGAGGGTACGGCCGCTAGCTCTAGGGAACCAGCCACAGTCGTCGTTGGCGCCAACAGGCCTCGGTTGGCAGTTAGCTGCAGGATATATCACCACTGCAGCGGCTCATGTTTGCAGACCTTGGGGAATCGGGGGCTAATGAGAGGGCTCGAGGGATCCGCAAGCCGGGTATCATCATGGTCCACTGCGAGTGTATTGCTGTCCTTGAGATAAGAGCTACGTTAAGATGAGGCAGGAATGCAGGGCGCACCCTTATCCGGTACAGGCTAGATGGGTGTGGCCCGTCAGCCCAACCGCGCACCAAGCTTCGTCAAGACATTTGCCGTCAAGCCACGCCGCACAGCGATCCCTGGCGGGAAGAAGGAGGACGCGCCGGGCGAGATAACGCGGATATCATGCCGTATCCATGCATCACGCGGACAGGTATGTTCTGGCACGCCAGCATTGCCTAGGCAGCTCGACGTCGCGTCAAGCCTTGTCAAGCTTCTGCTAGCCTTCACGAAATGAGCCTGGGCAGGGCTGGCTCCGGGCGCAGGCACTTGATTGCGGGCGAGTTGTCGGTGGTATCGCAGGCTAGTGGAAAGCGGGGAAGTGGTCGCGGCAAGGCTCACGCGAACTGGGTGAACGTGTTGGCGCCTTCCTATCTGGGCTAGACGTTATCTGTCCGCGGTGCTTAATTAATCACAAGCAATGCTAAGCCAACCACGGCGCTCGCAGGGAGCCAGGTCGCCGCCTCCATGACGCCCGCTATCACGACCGCTCGATACGAAGGAGCTCGCGGTGCGGTCGACCATCGCCGTGACGCAGCCATCGAGACGCGCTGATAGGAACACGTCGAACAATGTGGTTGATCCTCCAGTGAGCATGTCGTGTGCCCAAGCCCTGGCCAGCGCCACCGAGGTCCAGCGGCAACCCTCACGCTGGTTCCACGGCCCCCTTCGCTGGAACCGAGTAATCTGCTGCTGGAACCAATCCAAGGAATCGCAATGGGCCCGCCCGATACTAGATTCTCCATGCATGGCTTCTCGCTAGCACTGGAATTGAGACCCACCTCCGTTAGCCCCCATAGCGTGCACGTCCGTGCAGTGGTTATCGACGTGCCCTGGCGCCGTATACGTTGATAGATTGGCGCTGGTCCGACTACATAACCGGGGTCTCGTGCCCTCCGTGCCCGTTACTCGCCTGCGTGCAATCACTCGTCGCTCTTGCGCAACCCCGCGAGGATGGCGTCCAAAGCTTTCAGCAAGAGGCTTGGCTTCAAGAGAAGGAACACTGACCAGGAGCCCGTCACCGTGACCGAGCTCTCCCACATGGAGGGGGAGAGCTCCGGCGCCAGACCCATCGTCGCCGGCCATGGAGACGCCAGTTCGGTCATCGACGAGGTTGTCCGCGACATCAGCGAGACAGAGGCAAACCAGCGCCTCAATGCCTTTCGACAAGACCACAAGTGGGACCCCAACATGCCAGAAGAGGCTATCGACATGGTTGACGCCGTCACTGAAGCTCACGACCACAAAGGCGAGGCGCAGCTTGTCGGAGAAGTCATTGAGAACTCACCGTACCCCGAGGTAACCGCTTTGCACATTCGCATTCTGTCTGTTGCTGACGTTTCAGGTCCGCGCTGTGGTTCGAAACTACGATGAAGACGTACCCGCGGGCACACTGCGAGCATGGGTCCTGGGTCTTCTCATGACTACGATTTGCTCTTCCGTAAACGCCCTTTTTCTGTTGCGTTATCCCCTCATCTTCATTGGCCCATACGTGGTGCTCCTGCTCGCGTACCCACTGGGTATGGGTGCCGCCAAGTTCCTTCCTAACAAAGAGTTCAAAATCTTTGGACTCAAGGCCAATCTCAACCCCGGACCATTCAACACCAAGGAGCATGTCATCATCGTCGCCATGGCAAACGCTGCTTTCGGAGGTGGTGCTGGTTACTTTCTCGACACCGTGGTCTCGCTCAAGAAGTTTTACAAGTTCGACACCAGCCAATTTGGCTGGGGCTTCAACATCCTCTTCGCCCTATCCACGCAATGTCTGGGCTTCGGCTTGGCCGGTTCCGTCAGAAAATTTCTGGTCGAGCCTGCGGCTATGATCTGGCCGGGTGCTCTGGTCAATGTCGGTTTCATGTATGCTCTGCACAACCACGCCCCGAGCGATCCGGCAAAGACCAACGGTTGGTCCATCTCTCGTTACAAGATGTTCATGATTGTCATGGTTGGCTCCTTCATATGGCACTGGTTCCCGGATTTCATCATTCCCGCCTTCAGTTACTTTGCATGGGTTACCTGGATCAAGCCCGACAGCGTCATCGTCAACCAGCTTTTTGGACAGACCACTGGTATTGCTCTTGGATTCCCCTTCACAGGTTTCACTCTCGATTGGGCCCAGATTAACGGATTCTACAACAGCCCTTTAATCAGCCCTTGGCACGGTAAGCTTCCATGATCTGAGCGTACATCGAAAGATACTAACCAGATTTCTTCAGCACACGCCAACACGGCTTTCGGTGTCATTCTGTTCGTCTGGATCATCATCCCAGCTCTCCACTACTCCGGCGTCTGGTATTCCGACTACCTCCCGATCCTGCAAAACAGTATCCTCGATAACACCGGTGCCGTTTACAACACTTCCCGCATTCTCACCCCCGAGCACGTTGTGGACCCGGCTGCGTACGAGGCATACTCTCCTTTGTTCCTTTCCACGTCGTTTGCGCTCTCCTACGGCATGAACTTCGCCTCCATTGCCGCTCTTATCAGTCAGACCTATCTATTCCACGGTGCTGAGATCTGGCGCCGCTGGAAGTCATCCCGGGGCGAGCTCGATGACATCCACATGAAGATTATGCGCAAATACAAGCTGGTGCCTACCTGGTGGTACCTGATCCTCTTGGCCGTAATGATCGTGTTTGCCTTTGTCTCAGCTCTCTGCTTCCCGACCGAAATGGCCTGGTACTCGGTCGTCCTGTCTCTAATCATTGCGGCTACGTGGACCATCCCCATTGGTATCATCCAGGCGTTTACCAACATCCAACTCGGCCTCAACGTCTTCACCGAGTTCATCATCGGTTACGTCCAGCCCGGCCACCCCATCGCCATGATGATGTTCAAGACCTTTGGCTATATCGTCATGACGCAGGCGCTGTACTTCTGCCAGGACTTGAAGCTCGGCCACTACATGCACGTGCCGCAGCGGTCGCTCTTCTCCGCCCAGCTCGTCGCCACCGTGTGGTCGTGTCTGTGCCAGCTCGCTACCGTGCAGTGGGCCATGGGCGCCATCAAGAACGTCTGCACAAAGGAGGCCGCGGGCTTCTTCACCTGCAACTACGTCAAGACTTTCTACAACGCGTCCGTCATCTGGGGCGCCATCGGCCCCAAGCACATCTTCTCCGGCGACGCCGTCTACAAGAACCTGCAGTACTTCTGGCTTGTCGGCATCGCCGCGCCTTTCCTGGTCTACGGCGCCGCTCGCATGTTCCCCCGCGTGAGCTGGGTCCGCAAGGCCAGCATGCCGCTCATCTTCGGCTCGCTCGGCTACGTACCCCCGTACTCGCCGATGAACATCGTAAGTCATCCCCTGACCCGTACCTTTTGCCTGTATGGAACAAGACAGATAACTGACTCCGCCATCCACAGCTCGCATGGTGCCTCTTCGGCTACGTCTTCAACAAGTACATCCGCAGCCGCTACCTCGGGTGGTGGATGCAGTACAACTACGTCACCTCCGCGGCGCTCGACGTCGGGCTCGCGCTGTGCGCCATCCTCCTCTTCTTCTGCGTCCAATTGCCCGGCGGCGCGATGCCCGATTACTGGGGCACGACCATCATCGGCCGGACGGTGGATGGCGCCGGTACGGCGGTGCGCAATGTGGTCGCGGATGGCGAGACCTTTGGGCCCAAGACATGGAAGTGGTAGGCGGCGGTTGGTCTGTGGGTGATATCTTGTGGAATAGCGAGTCCTGCCTGTGGCGATGTAATGATGCTGGAACGGTAGCTCCACGGGCATTCTGTTGGTGTGTATGTATAACGATCAATGGATGTGGTGTACTTCAGCTCCCAAAAACGACCCTTGCCACCACGTGTTCGGATAGCTTCTCGTTTCGGACAGTCCTACTCTTCGTCTCGGCACGTTCGGCCACGTGCTGTCGTGGTATATGTGCTCCTGGTGCGACGCGGAACCCAAGTTGCGATGCAAACCCGTTCCAGTGCCGGCTCCTCTCTTCCTTCTCAAGGCGATCGAACCTCACAATCTCTCTCTCTGAGAACAAAAGCAGCTCGACGTGTTTCCGCCAGGGATCGAGAGATGATGTTATTCATTGCAAGACGTTTCTTGCCGTGGAGTAGATGACATTTTCCGTCGTTGCTGTCTATTCTTGAGCCATTGAGCTAGATGAGGAAGCAGGTTCCCATCAAGGCATCGGTTTTGAGGAGTTGAGTTTGAGGTGCGTGTGTGGGACGGGAGGATGGAGCTACGCCTGCATGTCACGTGATGACAGGGCTACAAATCGACTGAACCTCGCTTTGACTTGAAGCTGATTATTATAAGCTTGGTCTCGGTGATGCGCCTTACGGCCGGGGATGGATTATAGTAGTTTCCGCCGCCCTGTGCGCAGGTGATGTTGGATTAATGAAGAAACGCGCTTAATTGTTGAACCGTCCATCTAGATTTGCTTTTCTGTTTCCTCGCCATAGATTAGGTCGTGTTCATTACTGAATACTGCCAATTGCGAACTACGACTGTGACTGCGAACGCCATATGATTGGTTGGATTGCGCCTGCTGCGTTTGCAGACGATCAGACTTCTGTTAGTGGTCCAATGCCCTGAGGCTGAGGCGCTGACCATCTACCGGTATGTCCGTGCACTGAGGCTACACTTAATACCACATGTGGAACACCCCAAGAGCTTAACTGCGTCGTCTGGAAGGCTTGAACAAATCAAACTGCATATCGAGACGTAAAGGCTCACAAGTGCTTCTATACTCCGAGCTGTACACTACGCTGAAATCGCGACGCCCTAGATGAGTAATATAGATATCTAGATCTCCTGCAGAGTTTCACTTCTTTATACCAAATTGCCTACCACGATCATTCCCGCGCATATCCTCCGCAATGAAGCTTCCACTCTACTCGACGAAAGAAGACACGGATGGTGAGAACACACCACACCATGCAGGACTCTTGAACTTTATCAAGCACAATCTAATGATTGTTGTCGCATTGATGTCGGGGCTGATCTGCATCTCGGGCACGACTATCTTCACTGTCTGGCTTAGCAGGCAGATCTTCCAGTGTCCGGACTGGGCAATCTCGTGCCATGTACCAGGCTATGTACGTGAGCTTATCCTGAATATTCTTATGAGCTCGCACTCGTAACCAGCAACATATTTTTGACCACTTCTTGCAGTATACATTCAAACCCGCCTTGCAATGGTACAAGGTTTGGCCACGGCAGTCTTCTCTATCGGAATGGCAGCCATCGCATACGCTGCACATACACTATCGGAACCTGCCCTGTGGTGCTTGCTCGCTGAACAACCCATGACTAGGCCAAGTGCAAAAATACCTGGATGCGAGCCAGGGCTCGATTCCATCTTCCCCCAAAGCCATCATCGCAGCCAGGACTTTCTCGTCGGCCGTTGTCTTACTCTGCACAGTCGTCGGTACTATAAAGCCTCTATCTGCCGCTCCACTAGTTGGTCTGGTGTATGACATTCATACCGTGTCCACATCATTCGAGAGCCAGTGTGTCCCTGGCGGCGGGATCGGACCTAGCTTCACTCAAGCGAATCCACCCAGAGAATCCACCCAAAAGCATATGAGCGACCGCACTCGATCTGTACACCTCTTGGCAATTAGTCATCACCCCTGAATCTCTGCCAGAGTATCGCGACTTTTTCATCAATCGCAGAGCGCATGCAGAACGAGGAATCATGAGCGTTTAGCTGTAGGAATGAAACAGCAGATTAGCTGTTTTGCATGGCAGCCTGAGAAGCCGATTAAAATAGGGACGTTCCTCTACTACAAGACCAACATGGGGCAGGGCCATGCTTCAACAGTCAAAGTACTACGCAGGACAAGACTCCATGTATGGGCCGACAATTACCGCTATCTCACCTCAACACATCCGATCGCTACGCTCGTCTTTGCAGCTTTCGACGGTAACATTGCTAGAGGCATAACCACCACAGATCTTCCCGATCAAGACGAAGACTAATTTCGTATCGGAAACGTCATAACAGTCGCGTGGAATTTCAATCTGGACATGCAAGATGATCATTTGCAAATCAGCCATTCTGATAGGAGCAACTCCGACCCAGTCCGGATGCAACTCTTGACCAATCTAATGGTCACGCAACCAAACAGCACCAAAGGAAACGCACAATACGATCCAATTACGAGGAAAGAAGACACCTTGAGCACGCTGGCTCTGTGGATGACCGTCGCACCAATAACAGTTGGCATCAACGCAGAAGGGACGCAACCACACTATGAATACCGTGCCGATTGGATACCAGCCCACCATACCTCATCTGCTCGCGGCGCCAACAACCAATGGACAGTACCGTACATTGAGAACTTCATACGCGTCCCCGTCGGTGCAGCCGTCCTCGGGGACGTTGTAAGCTGGCCCAGCAAACGGGGAGACGTCTCCATCACGTCCACGGTCTTCCAGTCGAAGCTGGACTCTAAGAAACCCAAGTTACTCGCGGTCCCGTCAGCCATCATTCTGATCTGTGCCTGGGTCCTAATCGTGTGTAACCTGCGATTGGCGACACTGAGCGAGGTCTGAAGAGCGCGCAGACTCCGACCATGCCCGAGGCGGCTGCTGACGACATGCAAACACCTGCTAAGCGCTCGAAGCTGGAGAAGCTTGCGGTGGATTTCAGCGTCACAGGAAGTGGGCGTTGGGGATTAGCGGTCTGCGGCAAACGCGAAGGGCTTCTTGAGAGGCATGACTGCAGTTCGCAAAGTGACCTGGGTTACGAAGGGTACAGACACTAACAAATGGAATATGGCTTGGTGCTTCTTCATGCAGCTCAAGGAAATTAGGACGCGTAACCCCTAATGACATGTTGTGCTTGCTACGTTGCTACTGTGATGTGACTCTGTCGTGGTTCTCCGCTCTATTCCGCTCTGAAGCGTCCTCTGCTTTGTCTAAACCGCACAGGGGCGCTGCCGCTGCGGCAGCAACATGCAGTTGATGAATCCCCGACTACTTTAGCTGAACTGCTCCACCACAGGGCCCAACACGTACAAATGTCATGCAATGCATACTAAAAGCCTGCCGGACCGAGTCAACATACGCTGGCATCACAATGCCCAACGTACACAATACAATACATGTCGACCCATCACAATATATAAGGGTATCTCTGCGCGTACAAACGGTAGCCACTCTCTTTGCAGGCGATGATTCCAGCCAGAACCAATACAATCATACAGCAAACGCTCCCTGCAACTTCGAGTCTGCAGCTCAGAAAAGTCAACTGCACGATGCCATCCCCAACTCAGAAGTTCCGACTAACATCCACCCCCGGCGCACTCCCCCTCCGCTCAGCCTCGTACTCGCCGCCTCCCCGCGCGCCCCACCCCAGCCTCGCAAAACTACTCTTCTTCCTCAACCCCAGTCCCCCGCCTAATCCCGCCGCCCTCTCTCCGTCGTTCTCGGCGCGCAGTTCCACACCGCTGCTCTTCCGCCGCACAATCCCGCCAACTAGATACCCCATCCTCTCGAGCGGATTCGGCTCCTCCGCGTACGGACTAATGGGCTGCACCACGCGGTCGATGTTGGTCTGGCGCGCGTGCAGCTCCGCCAGCGAATTGTGCCGGCCGGGCTGGGGCGGCAGGGCACAGGGTCCAGGCCGCGGCTTCATGGTGGAGCGGCGGGAAGTGGTGCTGCTGGAACGGGAGGCCGCTGTTGCGGCTGAGGTGCTGGAGGCAAGGGTGTAGTTTGATTTTGTGGACGAGGAGCGCGAAGGCGCGTAGATGGGACCTGGGGGCCCGGACCCTGGGCCTGCGAGGGTGGAAATTGCGCCGGTGGAGTAGGATGTCTTCAGTGGAAGGTGAGGAGATGGTGGCATGGGGGGCACTGGAGGGGCTGGGGAGAGTGGCCTGCTCGCATACGTCGCCGACCGGGGCGACGGAGGACAATGAGAGTATGATTTTGGGGTCCTGGGACGCTGGTGGCGGAAAGTAGGGCAGTGGCTCTCTGAGGGCGTAGTGGGCGTCAGTGGTTGGCCTGTCCCCGGGTGCATCAGCGGGCGGGATAGCACGGGATGGGCGTCAAGGCTGCTGAACATGTCTTCATAGCTGCCGGTGCCAAAGCGCGAGGATGTTCGTGGTGGGAATTCAGAGCCGCCGAAGGGCGGTGCTGGATAAGCAGGGTCCAATTGCTCATGGGGCATAGGTGTGGAGGATGTCGCGCGGGGGAGTGAAAAAATCCGGGGTCGTCCAGGCCAGATCAGATCCTCGACGCGATACGGTCCGATCCAGAGGCTCGGGAGGAAGTGTGGATGTGGTTATCGTACCGCAGAATCCTCAGAGGTCGCGCTCACGAAATCGGAACAATTCGGCCGAAAGTGGCAACTTTAATGCTAGCTTTTTGTTCGCGTTTGGCTAGCGATCCATCCTCCTTTTGGAGATGCACTAATCGGCCCGCAGCAGGCGGTTTGGGGGTCGCTTGAATTGCGGAGCAAAAGCGCACGCTTCAATTGGATGTTTTGCTCTGTTCTGCGATGTTTATCGATGTCGCGCATGCTAGCACAAACGCGATCTGAATGTTGACAACGTCTAACGGCACCCCCGAATACAAGAAACGTCAGAACAGGTCAATGGCAGCGGCCTGTAATGGCTGGCGTTGAGCTACGTCACGCGTAAACATTTCCTTCCTTCTCGTGAAGATGCTGCACCCCTGTAGATCCCCATTTAAGGTTCTCGTCTCGAGTGTGACGAATGACGACGAAGATTGCATAGCAACATGTCTGCCTGAGATTTGAAGGTCTCACAGGTGTACACATGAATATGTTGCTGCCACTTAAGTTGGTGGTCAGAGTATCCTACGCGTTGAGGCAGAAGGTCGGAAGTAGGCGAGGTCCTTATGCGGCTAGCGATTTGCTCCGCACTTATATCATGTGATAGACATCTGTGAGCAGAGTCAACCCATTTCATTCCATTAAAAGACCCCTACACAATCTTCCACTCCTCCGTTCTCCCACCCCCGTCGACATTCGCCCCAAAGACCACCAGCAACCCACATCCCGCCACCAATTCTTTTAACAAGCAACGTTCCACACAATCAGCACCCTCTCGGTCATACGCTGGGATATCCAGACTAGAATGCGGTATTATGGGACTATAGACAAATGAAATGACGAGAGTGTGCACAGACATGCAGATTCGAAAAATGTGTAGGACCATCATCGGGTTTACAGCAGACCACCACAAGAGCCGACTGAACAATAGAACGTGGGCATCTCACCAAAAAGCGAAGTGCAGATTGATCCTATGAGAATGAAACCTACTTCCACTTCGCCCACGCGACGGCCTCGCCGCCACAAACAATTCATGAACCACCGAGGATCAAGGCACTAACAAGCAGAGCGAAAAGTGTGCGTGATAGTCGTAGATATCAAAGCCGGATGTACCATCGGAGTCGTGGAGTGACCAGCGGAAATAAATTTACTTGTGATGTGCGGTCTTTGACATGACTTCTCCAAGCCATGTGTGTACAGCTTGATCATTAAGTGGGTGGAATTAAGCACTGGAGAATTTGAAATGATGCTGATTGCCACTGAACAGCTCGATGAGATAGTACGAGAAGCCACAACAGACTAGGAGGCAGCTTCATTAGTGCGCTGGTGGATTCGCTGACACAAGTAGTGCCACTCGCCCTTGCAAGAGCGCAGCAATGGTATCTAGGGAATTCCTTGGCATACAGACGTTGTTCTTTCTCAGTTAGACCGTTGTCGATTCCACACTGGGACTTGTGTTCCCTCGTGATTCTCATAGGTGGCGTCCCTCGTAGTCCTTAAAATGGACAACCAACTCGGTACTTCTGGGAGGCCTTGTCCATCTCTGCACTTCGGTTTCCGAAACTGTGATGATACAGATACTGGACAACATCTCCAGCAGGTAGCTCAAATGGTGTGGGTGCGCTTTTGGGCCTGATCGAGGTACCCGGCTGCTCATGGTTGCGATACCGGAAATGCAGCGGCCACAGACGGGCGCGTATGCTGCACATCCCCGTGTATCGGAACATGAGCTGCTGAAGCCTCGTTCTGTAAGCGTCTAGACCAATGGGATGACTCGAGGCCGTCGTAGCACCTGTGTGTCTGGAGGAGTATCAGTAAAATGGGGAGAAGATGGGCTGTGACGGTTGGGCATAGAGATTGCACATGTTGAGTAATAGAGTGAAGGAGCGACCTCGCTGCAGAGAAAGTGCGACAACCAGTCACCGCGTAATACATTATCGTATGCTTAGATGCCCGTCTCTTGAAAAATGATCCATTCACGCATGCGGATATATGGCAACTGTGTCCCATTAAACGCCTGCAATGCAACTCCTCCACGATCCGCGAGTGGTCACAAATGAGCACAACGCCATTAAAATCTGGAACGATGTCAGCAATGCACGCAGGTTATTCGTCCTAGATAGGGGACTCACCGTATCTCATAATTACCCGCCCTGGTCATGTATCGCACCCACTTCACGCTGCTGTAGTTACTTTTCTCAAACACCTTCAGATACCGCACCAGCAGCCCGGAACTCGTGAACATTAGCAGCGAAAAGCTCAGATTCAGCGGCGGCCTTGACCACGCTTTCTGGTTCGTCATGCTGGTCAGACTGGCTTCCGCGCTCAACACGAATTCGCTTTGTCCAGTAAACCGCGGGATCTTCCAGACAATGTTGTTGTGTTCCGGCTCGTACTTGGCTTTGCCCTGCGATGTCCGCTCCGTGATGCGCGCTGTGTTCAGAGGTGTAGGTATCCGCACGACCACGTTCGTTGCAAACAGCTTCGATCCGTAGTTGGCGCGAATCGCTATGCTGTATTCCACCTTTGTCTTTCCGACCTCGTTCACGATGGCGTGCACCTTGAAGGGCAGATTGACGTTCTCGGTCGCCCGGTATCGCATCAGTTCGAACTCGCCATCCGGAGGGATGAAGGATATTATCCTGTCCGCGTCGAACTTCCCAAGCTTCACGCACTGGTGGAACTGGCAGTCTTCCAAAGACACGCTTCCGGCTGCTGCTCTTGTCGCCTTCGCGCCCGCCTTGTTTCCAGAAGGCCCTTGCAAGTTGTCGTCACCCAGTGTTAACCGGTCGTTAAGTCCAAACTTGCACTCTGGAGTGCCCGAGAGGTATGCGCGCATGATAATCTGGCCATTGACGTCTGCTCGTAGCACAGTTCCCGTCGCCGACATCAGCAAATTTACGTCTTCAATAACGTCTACGAAGGCTTCGTTCTTGCGGTACTTGATGTCGTTACGCCGCCAGGAAGTTGCACCAGTCGCTTGCATGGTAATCTTCGATGAGTCCTCCTGCAGTTCAATTAGCATCCACAACGGACGCGTTCTCGCAGCGCGCATACCATCGCTCTTTCCGATTTAACCCCCTCAGTTGTGATATACATCTTCAGCGTATCCGTCTCGGTGTTCTGCGGGTACCCAAAGTCCAGAATCTCATCAAGCAGCTCATACACCAGCACAAAGTTGTTCTTAACAGCTTCCTCATCGAATTTGCCAAAGTACGCCTTCCCCAGCCCAATCAACCGGTATATGAACTCGAAGACCAGCGCCGCATTCGCATTGCTTTTGGTGACGGCGACCAAGTAGATGTTCTCGTGCTTGACATGGCTGAAAGTGGTGGACCCAAGTGTGAGAATCGGCGAGCGCACTTGTGCATTCGATATTACTTGGATGCGGAAGACGTCGGCGAGGCGGGGGCGGCAGTCGTTGCGGAAGGCGCGAAAGATGAGGTTTTCGCCCTTTTGGTTGAATATAAGGATGCCGGAGAGCATGGCGGAGGCGACGGGCAGACTATTCGACGGCGAAGAAGTGGGCGTCCCAACTGCGCGTGAGGGATATCGTTCACGGCGGCGTGGGGAAGGAGCAGAAGCTTGGACCACCGCCAAGCTCGCTCTATCAGGGGTTCAACCCCAAACCCATGGTTCGCAGAACACCAACCACCAATTCCGAACACAGTTCGAGTAATGCAAGCAAACGTAGTGCATGATCCTTAGCAGGTAGTGAATCTAAAGCTCCTTAAATGGAAGGTGTCTGTGTAGACTGCGTGCTACTTCCTTCCCATCGTCAACTGCGTTCATTAGGTGTGCTGTTACCTATGGTAGTTGATCATCCTTGATCAATCAACATGTCATCCGCGGTGCGTTCTTCTGAGCACTGCAAATCCCTTACTACAGTTCGCGAGAATCAGCCTTCGCCACCCGGGACAGCGATATCGCCAACCACTTTGACGAAGAGTTTCAACATCGCGCGACCTCAAGAGCAACGGAAGATACCTCTCGAGCAGGAGATGCTTTCCTCTGGAAGCTCAGGAATTGGCGCACTCTCGACACTGACCCGGAGAATCGTTTCGTACGATACTCGAATATGTTAACCATTTCGATCACAAGCCCGCATTTACCGACACACAACCAAACGAAGGATGTTGGCTACCTATGCTGTACCCACTCCAGCACTACTCTCTTGGCGGTCTCTCCATCAAGAACAACTGCAATCACCGAACGTCTGAACGAGCGATACCCAGCCACGGGTGTGGTAAACTTAAACGCCGAACGTGCGTATTGTCACACAGGAGATCTCAGAAGTATGTTGGAGATAACCGTTGGGTCGGAGATCGACAGGAACCACAGATCGGCAAATGGGCAGAAGGCGTTCTGACTGAACATGCTCTGCGCTGCTGGCCAATGTGACGACGGGACCCCGACCTTCGCGAAGAATAGAATCTACGCGCCTGTTTCAGGACCAAAGTAACGAGACTGCGAAGGCATCGACGACCACGTATAATCTAATTAGCCCCGTCGACATTTCATAGACAGTGCCAGGCCGAAGCCTTGATGGAGTAATTACCCAAAGAGAAGCACGAGAACAATGGTGCCGGCCGAAAACCGAATTCTAGTTGCATTGATATGGACAACAATATCTTACTGAAGGCAGCTAACGAGGCAATAACAGGCAGCACAGAGCATGTCGTACAACCGGAAGCGCTTATCGTTAACACGCAAGCCAGGCGCATTCCCCTCACAGTGAGCGGGAGGAACGCTTTGGACGAGGAGCACCACCTGTTTCGAAAGTTGGCTCAGAAATATTGATGATTGCCTCACGATTGGCAGTTCGTGAGGAGAGACAGAGATCGGAACAAAGTTGACACAAGCACCAGTTGTTGATATCATAGAATGCAGGACGTTTTCCAGCCATCAAATTACTTTGGCCCAATGCCAAGCTCTGCTGACACTCGTTTGGAACATTGCAACCAGAGACTAGCTACGCAAGACGGAGTAATTTGAGAAAAGGAGCAGCTTAGACGCCTAGTCCATCGCGAGGACTAGTGTCCCCCCATCAATCGCCGTTGACGAATGAGATGACCTTACATCGGCAAAGGGTAAAGAAGGATGCTTGGTTGCCCGGTGTTCACTGACGATTCTCGTGTATTACGCGTCAGGTCGTTGACTTGGACCGAAGACACTGCATCGAGAGGTGATGAAGGTCACGGGGAGTATCATGTCTGTACGCTTGGGTCTCGATCCTATGCGTGAATTCTGTGATGGGAACGCCGTGGTCATAGGAAGTATCAAACTTGGAAGTCGTCGTCTCCTACTTCTGTCCTGCCGAGCGACTCGGCATTGCATCGCCGAGATTGTTCGGGTCTCGTGACACATCCCATCATCTGGCTACCTAGGTATGCATAAACTGCCCTTCACACATTCAGGCTTTGCAAAGTGGAAAACGCAATACGTACCACAATGACCATTTTTCCTATGGAAGAGCTCCACGAGTATACTTTCCGGAGCAGCTTCCGGTTTTCTTTTTTGGGCAAGTGCGCCGTTTGCATTGTGAGCCGTTCTCCAGCCACGACAGGTCGTCATGCACTCCACAAACCCCTAAAGGCGCAGCACCCTAGAATTACCGTCCCTGCCTAGACTCCCCAGTAAAGCTTGAACGCCAGCGCGTCGAAGCTTCTCCAGCCTCAGGGGCGTGTTTCGGCGTGCTTGCGTCGTCGGCGCCGCGACGCGCAAGCGTGTGGAGTCTCGGCCTATCCCGCAACGCCTCGCCGCGAAACGAAACATGCCCATCGGCCAATCCTTACCGGACAGACGCCATTGAGGCTCTGCGTGATGAAACTTGCGATGGATGGCAGTGGCCGGTGACTTGAAACGCTGTACGCAAGCGGGAGATGGAGAGTCGTGGCCTCGGGGCTGATCACGCTGGCGCTTGCTTTCGCCGCGTCATTGTGGACGAGGGCGATGGATGTCGTACATTCTTTGAAGAGTTGGGGTGGTATAAAGATGAGAATAGTGAGCTCGTGAAATCACCATCACTCACTTCGATCACCATCTTCCTATCTACATCTCTTCCTCACTTCCTTACTTCGTCTACTTCAACTGCTTCGTGGTTTTGACAACCTCCTTTCACTTGCCTTCATTTCTCAAATCATTGTTCCGTCTCTGTCAAGTCGATTTCAGCACGCAAGCAAAGCTTCCTCCTCAATTGTTCATCATGGTTAACTTCAACCGCCTCGCCTACGCCCTGGCCATCGCCAGCTACGCCTCTGCTCAATCTTTCGGAGGCCCTGCTCCTAGTGGACCTCCTCCCAGCGGTCTTGCACCGTACGTTCGATTTTTGGAAACACCATCGTGCAATCATTAATGTAAATCTAGATCCGGCGCTCCACCTTCAGGTCTACCCTCCGCTGCCAGGCCCACCGGCCCGCCACCTTCAGGTGCTCCGCCAGCCCCATCCCGCGCCGCGAAGCGCCGTGCTCGTCGCCAAAACGTGTCTGGCCTTCCTCCTCCACCGAGCGGGACTGAGCGCCCTACTGGACCTCCTCTTTCGGGGACTCCTCCGTAAGTTCTTCTACCCCAGCTATACACAATAGTCTTGGGACTCACGGAACATAGTCCACGTCCTTCTGGAACTGGCAGGCCCACAGGCCC